GTGGGGTCCCTGGTGCTCTCTAAGCTGGGTGGTTTCCTCGCGGACATCTTATCACCCAACTAGGGAACATCTTCAGTGCTAGAAGGAAGTGGAGTTTGAAAGAAGGAAGAGGAGAGGAGGAGGACGACGACAACAACAACAGTCGGGTCCTTGGTGCTCTCTGAGCTGGGTACTTTTCATGCAGACATTTCATGATCCAACTAGGGAACATCTTCAGTGCTACGAGGAAGTGGTTTGAAGAGGAGGGAGGAGGAAGGAAGGAAGGAAGGAAGGAAGGAAGGAAGGAAGGAAGGAAGGAAGGAAGGAAGGAAGGAAGGAAGGAAGGAAGGACTGTGGGGTCCCTGGTGCTCTCTGAGCTGGGTGGTTTCCTTGCAGACATCTTATCACCCAACTAGGGAACATCTTCAGTGGTAGAAAGAAGTGGAGTTTGAAGAGAGGAGGAGGAGAAGGAGGGGGGGGAGGAAGAGGAGGAGGAGGAAGCAGAGGAAGGACTGTGGCGTCCCTGGTGCTCTCTGAGCTAGGCTGTTTTTTTTTTTTTTTTTTGCAGATGTCTCGTGACCCAACGAGGGAACATCATCAGTGCTAGAAGGGAGCAAACAGCCTAATCAAGGAGGCCCCCAAAAGACCCCCACCCACACCGACAGAGCAAACCACTGTAGATAAGCAGAGATGAGACTTCAGTCCAGGACGGGGCTTCGAACCATGCAGGGCTTCAGACAGGGGTGGGGCTGCAGATTGGGGCGGGGCTATGGACTGGGGCGGGGCTTCAGACTGGGGAGAGCTGCGTACCCATGCAGGGACATGGCAGGCTGGGGACCAGTACAGGGGCAGGGCTTCAGACTGGGGAGGTGCTGCGTATTGGGGCGGGGCTATGGACTGGGGCAGGGCTTTTTGACCAGGACAGGGCTTCGGACTAGGGTCGGACTTCAAACCATGCAGGGCTTCGGGCAGTAGCGGTCTTCAGATTGGGGCAGGCTGCAGACTGGGGCGGGGCTTCGGACAGGGGGCGGGGCTTCGGACAGGGGGCGGGGCTTCAGACCGGGGCGGGGCTTCGGACCAGGGAGGGCTGCGTACCCATGCAGGGACCAGTACAGGGCTGTGGACCGGTATCAGGCTGTGGACCGTCGCCATGCCGCAGCCCGGAACTCCTAATCATGGCTCGTCCCATTCAGAACCTACTTTCGGGGTCTCCCCCTTGGAGCCCGGCGGGAAGCGGAGGATCCAGAAGTTGCGGTTCTTGAGCAGGTTCTCCATGTTCTCCAGCCGCCGCTGCAGCAGGCTGTATTCCTGAATGAGGGTCCCCAGCGCGGCCCACTTGCTCTCCAGCTGCCCGCCGATCTCCACCGCCGTTTTCTCGCAATCCAGAATCTTCTTCTCGGCGCTTCCAGTTCTGCCTTCCAGGTCCAACAAGCGGGCGGTGTGCGAATCCACCTTCTTCTCCATGGCTTGGAAAGAAGCCACCAAGGTCAGGGCGATCTCGGCCGCCTGGTCCTCCCGGTCAAAGAGTTGGTCGGGATCGGGGATCGGCGGCGGCGGAAGGAACGACGCGGCCGCCGCATCCCGTCGAGACGCCTGCTGAGAGAGGCACGGTTACGACGCCACACCGACGCCCCGTCGCTTGGACGCCGCCACGTCATCCCCAACCTCGCCGCTACACAAGACAGCTAGTCCTCGACTTACGACCGTTCACTTTGTGACTGTTCCCGGTTACCCACAATGACTTAGGACCATTTACAACAGCTCATTTAGTGACTGTTTGATGTTACGCCACTAAAAAAAAAAGTGACTTTAGACGATTTTTCACACAAACATTGCAGTGTCCACGGATTCACATGATCAAAATTCGGACGCCTTGGAACCGACTCATATTTATGACGGTTGCAACGTCCTCAGAGTCACGTGATCAAAATTTTTGATGCTCGGCAACCAACTCGTATTTATGACGGTCGTAGCATCCTCGGGGTCACGTGATCAAAATTCGGACGCTCAGCAACCGACTCGTATTTATAAAGGTTGCAGCGTCCCGAGGTCAGGTGATCAAAATTCAGACACTCGGCAACTGACTCGTATTTATGACGGTCGCAGCGTACCGGGATCATGTGATCAAAGTTCAGACGCTCAGCAACTGACTCGCATTTATGACGGTCGCAGCGTCCCGGGGTCACGTGATCGAAATTTGGATGCTTGGCAACCGATTTGTATTGATGACTTACGACTGGGTCCTCGCGCTTACGACCATCGCGGTATTTAAGGTTGCTGTCCTTAAACAGGGAAGACTAAACAATTATTATGTTGAGGAATCCATCTCGGCTTCGTAGGCAAAGGAAATTAATTTGAAATCTACATTTGTTTTCTTTCTTTTCTTTTTCTTTCTCTTTCCTTCTTCCCTGTCTCTTTTCCTTCCTTTTCTCCTTCCTTTCTTTTTTCTTCCTTCCTTCCTATCTTATCCTTCCTTCCCTTCTTTCCTACTCTTTCTTTTCCTTCCCTCCCTTCTTCCTTCCTTCATTTACTTCCTTCTTCCCTCTCTTCTCTTCTTTCTTTTCCTTTCTTCCTACTCCTTCCTTCCCTCCCCTCTTTTTCTTCTTTCCTTCCCTTCCTTCTTCTCTCCCTTCCCTTTCCTTTCATCCTACTTTCTTTTCCCTTCTTCCCTTTCCTTCCTTCCTTCCCTTTCTTCCTTCATTTACTTCCTTCTTCCCTCCCTTCCCTTCTTTCTCTTTTCCTTTCTTCCTATTCTCCTTCCTTCCGCTTCTTTTCCTTCTTTCTTTTCCTTCCTTCTTTCCCTTTCTTCTTCTCTCCCTTCCCTTCCCATCCCTTTCCCTTTCCTTTCTTCCTTTCTTCCCTCCTTTCCTTTCTTTTCCTTTCCTACTCTTTCTTTTCCTTCCCTCCCTTCTTCCTTCCTTCATTTACTTCCTTCTTCCCTCCCTTCCCTTCTTTCTCTTTTCCTTTCTTCCTTTCTTCCCTTTTCTCCTTCCTTCCCTCCCCTTTCTTTTCCTTCTTTCCGACCCTTTTCCTTCCTTTTCTCCTTCCTTCCTTCCCTCTTTCCTTCCTTCTTTCTCTTTTCCTTTCTTCCCACTTTCTTTTCCTTCCTTCCTTTTCTCCTCCTTGCCTTCCCTTCTTTCTTCTCTTCCTTCCTTCCCGCTGCTCAGGGGAACATTTGTTAAGCGAGTTTTGCCCCCTTTGACGACTTTGTCCGCCCTCCCCCGTCGTTAAGTGAGTCGCGGCAGCTGTTCATTGGGTGGTGAAGCGAATCGGGGCTTCGTTGGACGGTCGCAAAAGGGGATCACGGAACCCCAGGACACGGCGACCGTGGTAACTACGAGTCAGCGGCCGAGCGTTCTGAATGTGGATAGCGTGACCTGGGGAGACGCTGCGACGGTCATTAAGTGTGACAAACCGTCCTAAGTCCTTTTTCAGGGCGGTTGCAACTTCGGTCACTAAATGAACTGTCGTTAAGTCGAGGACTCCCTGTATTTTAAAGAGTTTTTTTCCCCAAGAAACCAAGGTTGTCCCCAGCTCACCCCAAAATATCCCTTCCCTCGTTCTTTCTTTCTTTTCCCTTCCTTTTCTCTCTTCCTCCCTTCCATCCCTTCTTCCTTCATTTACTTCCTTCTTCCCTCCCTTACTCTTCCCTTTCTCTTTTCCTTCCTTCTTCCCTTCCTTTCCCTCGGCCTTCTCTTCCTCCGTTCCAACTTTTCCTTCCTTTTTTTTCTCCTTCCTTCCCTCCCTTTCTTTTTCTTCCTTCCTTTCCTTCCTTCTTCCCCCTTCCCTTCCTTTCCCTTCCCTCTTTACTTCCTTCAGACTTTCTTTTCCTTCCTTTTCTCCTTTTCTTCCTTCCTTCCTTTCCTTCTTTCTTCCCCCTTCCCTTCCGTTTCTTTTCCTTCCTTCCTTTCCTTCCTTCCTTTTCTCCTTCTTCCTTCCTCTTTTTCTTTCTTCCTTTTCCCCCTTCCCTTCCTTTTCTCCTTCTTCCTTCCTTCTTCCCCCTTCCCTTGCTTTCCTTTCCCTTTCTCGTTTCCTTCCTTTTTTCCTTCTTCCTTCCTTCTTCCCTCCTTCCCTTCCTTTTCTCCTTCTTCCTTCCTTCTTTCTTCCCCCTTCTTCCTTTTCTCCTTCTTCCTTCCTTCTTCCCTCCTTCCCTTCCTTTCCTTTCCCTTCCCTTTCTCTTCCTTCCTTCCTTTTCTTCCTTCTTCCCCCCTTCCCTTCCATTTCTTTCTTTCTTTTCCTTCCTTCCTTCCCTTCTTCCTTCATTTATTTCCTTCTTCCCTCCCTTACTCTTCCCTTTCTCTTTTCCTTCCTTCCTTCTTCCCGCCCTTCCTTTCCTTTCCTTTCCCTTCCCTTTCTATTTTCCTTCCTTCCAATTTTCTTTTCCTTCCTTCCTTCTTCTCCCTTCCCTTGCTTTCCTTTCCCTTTCTCGTTTCCTTCCTTCCTTTTTTCCTTCTTCCTTCCTTCCTTCTTCCCTCCTTCCCTTCCTTTTCTCCTTCTTCCTTTTTCCTTCCTTCTTCCCTCCTTCCCTTCCTTTCCTTTCCTTTTCTCTTTTCCTTCCTTCCAACTTTCTTTTCCTTCCTTCCTTTTCTCCTTCCTTCCTTCCTTCTTCCCCCTTCCCTTCCATTTCTTTCCCTTCCTTCCAACTTTCTTTTCCTTCCTTCCTTTTCTCCTTCTTCTTTCCTCTTTCTTTCTTCCTCTTCCCCCTTCCCTTCCTTTTCTCCTTCTTCCTTCCTTCTTCCCCCTTCCCTTGCTTTCCTTTCCCTTTCTCGTTTCCTTCCTTCCTTTTTTCCTTCCTTCCTTCCTTCCTTCCTTCCTTCCTTCCTTCTTCCCTCCTTCCCTTCCTTTTCTCCTTCTTCCTTCCTTCCCATCCTTTCCCTTCCCTTTCTCTTTTCATTCCTTCCAACTTTCTTTTCCTTCCTTCCTTTTCTCCTTTCCTTCCTTCCTTTCCTTCCTTCTTCCCCCCTTCCCTTCCATTTCTTTCTTTCTTTTCCTTCCTTCCTTCCTCCCTTCTCTCCCTTCTTCCTTCATTTACTTCCTTCTTCCCTCCCTTACTCTTCCCTTTCTCTTTTCCTTCCTTCCTTCCTTCTTCCCGCCCTTCCTTTCCTTTCCCTTCCCTTTCTATTTTCCTTCCTTCCAACTTTCTTTTCCTTCCTTCTTTTTCTCCTTCCTTCCTTCTTCCCTTCCTTTCCTTTCCCTTGCCTTTCTCGTTTCCTTCCAACTTTTCCTTCCTTCCTTTTCTCCTTCCCTCCCTTTCCTTCTTCTTTTTCTTCCTTCCTTCTTCCCCCCTCCTTTTCCCTTTCTCTTTTCCTTCCAACTTTTTCCTTCCTTCCTTTTCTCCTTCTTCCTTCCTTCCTTCCTTTCTTTCTTTTTCTTTCTCCCTCCCTTCTTCCCCCTCCCCTTTCCTTCCCTTCCAACTTTCTTTTCCTTCCTTCCTTCTTTCCTTCCTTTTCTCCTTCCTTCTTCCCTTCCTTTCTCTTTCCCTTCCTTCCCACTCTTCCTTCCAGCGTCCGCCTCTCCATTTCAGCCCAACATCTTGACTTTCCTAGCCCCCCCAAACCCCCAATCTTCTCTCCGGCCAGCCGTGTCACCCCAATTCCAGGAAAAAGGGGGGGGAAACTAGAGAGAATTATCCCCCCCTCAAAAAACCCAGCCTAGCCAGCCCCTCCTTCCCTCCTTGATGCATCCCCCCCCTGCAGAAAGGAGCAGGGCAAAGGCCTGGCATAGGGACTGGCCCAGGATCCCCCCCTCCCCACCTAAGGGGAGGGGGGTGTCATTAGTCACAGCTAGTCTCGGGGCCAGGGCCCGCAAGCAGCAAAGGCAGCAGTCCAGCCTGGGCACCAGGGGAGGGGGAGCCGAGGCCACCTCCCTACCCAAAGACCTGCCACAGGGGTCTCCCCCCCCCACAGCTTAACCTCTGGGCATTGCTTTGGGGGGACCATCTAGTCTCCCAGCCAGACCCCAGAGGGAGGAGAAGGCAGCAGTCTAGTCTGGACACCAGTGCCAGGGTTAAAGGGGCAAATCCTGGCCTAGAGACTGGCACAGACACCCCCCCCCATCTTGATGGGGGAGGGTCTTAGTCCCAGCCAACCTCGGGGAGGGGGGGGATCGTCCAGCCTCCCTGGGAGGCCCCAAGGAGGGCGGAAGGCAGCAGTCCAGCCTGGGCCCCTGGGGAGGGGGCAAAGCTTGCCACAGAGACTGGCATAGCCCCCCCCCCTAAATACCCCCCTCCCATCTTTGGGGAGGACTCCTTAATCACAGCCAGGCTGGACAGTCTCTCTGCCAGGCCCCAAGAAGGGTGGAAGGCAGCAGTCCAGCCTGGGCCCCTGGGGAGGGGGTAAACCTTGGCATACAGACTGGCATACCCCCCCCCATCTTTATTGGGAGTCCCAGCCAGGCTCTGGGGCGACCACCCCCTGTACAGTCTCCCTGCCAGGCCCCAAGAAGGACGGCAGGCAGCAGTCCAGCCTGGGCTCCTGGGAGGAGGGGCAAAACCTGGCCTAGGGACCAGCATCGACCCCCCCTGTAAATAGCCCCCCATCTTTATGGGGGGGGGAGTCCTTAATCGCAGCCAGGCTCTGAACAGTCTCCTTGCCAGGCCCCAAGAAGGACGGCAGGCAGCAGTCCAGCCTGGGCACCGGTGGGCGGGGGGAGGCCAATCTTGGCATTACAGACTGGCATATCCCCCCCCCATCTTTATCCCCCCCCAACATTATGGGGGGGGGCTCCCTAGTCCCAGCCAGGCTCTGGGGCGACCCCCCCCCGACCGCCGTACAGTCTCCCAACCAGGCGCCAAGAAGGGTGGCAGGTAGTAGTTCAGCCTGGGCACTAGTGTGTGTGGGGGGGCAATCCTGGCACGGAGACTGACATATCTCCGCCATTTTTATTGGGGGTGGGGCTCCCTCATCCCAGCCAAGCTCTGGGGCGACCCCCCCCGCCGTACAATCTCCCTGCCAGGCCCCCAACAAGGGCGGAAGGCAGTAGTCCAGCCTGGGCACCAGTGTGTGGGGAGGGGGGGGCAAACCCTGGCATATCACCCCCATCTTTATCCCCCCCCGACATTATGGGGGGGGTCCCTAGTCCCAGCTAAGCTCTGAGGCGACCCCTCCCTTGTACAGTCTCTCTGCCAGGCCCCAAATAGGGTGGAAGGCAGTAGTCTAGCCTGGGCACCAGTGGGGGGGCTAAAGGGGGGCACACCCTGGGCTGGCGTTCCCCCCAACATTAGGGGGGGGCTCCCTAGTCCCAGCCAAGCTCTGGGGTGACCCCCCCGCTGTACAGTCTCCCTGCTAGACCGCAAGAAGGATGGCAGGCAGTAGTCCAGCCTGGGCACCCGTGGGGAGGGGGCACACTCTGGCTTAGGGTCCCCCCCTGACATTACGGGGGGGGGCTCCCTAGTCCCAGCCAGGCTCTGGGGTGACCCCTCCCTTGTACAGTCTCCCTGCCAGACCCCAAATAGGGTGGAAGGCAGTAGTCTAGCCTGGGCACCAGTGGGGAGGTGCAAGTAGGGGCACACCCTGGGCTGGCGTTCCCCCCAACATTATGGGGGGGCTCCCTAGTCCCAGCTAAGATCTGAGGCGACCCCTCCCCTGTACAGTCTCCCTGCCAGACCCCAGGAAGGGCGGAAGGCAGTAATCCAGCCTGGACAACAGTGTGGGGGGTCAATCTCTGGCATATCCCCTCATCTTTATTGGTGGGGCTTAGACCCAGCCAGGCTCTGGGGTGACCCCCCCCCGTACAGTCTCCCTGCCAGGCCCCAGGAAGGGCGGAAGGCAGTAGTCTAGCCTGGGCACCAGTGGGGGGGTGCAAAGGGGGGCACACCCTGGGCTGGGGTTCCCCCCAACATTAGGGGGGCTCCCTAGTCCCAGCCAGGCTCTGGGGCGACCCCCTCTGTACAGTCTCCCTGCCAGGCCCCAGGAAGGGCGGAAGGCAGTAGTCTAGCCTGGGCACTAGCCCGGGGGGGGGGCAAACCCTGGACTTGGGTCCCCCCCCAACATTATGGGGGGGGCTCCTTCGTCCCAGCCAGGCTCTGGGGCGCGCCCCCCCCCCGACCGCCATACAGTCTCCCTGCCAGGCCCCAAGAAGGATGGCAGGCAGTAGTCCAGCCTGGGCACCAGTAAGGGGGGGGCACACCCTGGACTGGGGTGCCCCCCCACATTATGGGGGGGCTGCTTAGTCCCAGCCCCCCCTCCCCTCCCCACAGGACAGTCTCCAAGCGGTCAGCATGCAGCTGCAGCAGTCCAGCCTGGGCAGTGCCCCCAGCGGAGGGGGGGGGTGGCATCCCCAGCCTGGAACAGCCGGCTCTTCCTTCCTTCCACCCCCCCCCTCCCTCCGCCGCTCCTCCCGGCTCGAATCCCCGCGGCTCTTCCCGGTAACCCCCCCTCCCTCCGCGACCGCCTCTGACGGCTGTTCCCGTTACTCCCCTTCCCGCCGGCCCGGCTGGGCTCCCGCGGCTCTTCCCGCCGCCCCCCCTCCGTCGTCGAGGGGGGGGCGGGCCCCAACCGGGTTGACAGGCCCCGTCAGCTCCTTCACCCCCCCCCTCCCGCCGGTCCCATCGAGCGGCGCTCCCCCCTCCGCGAGGAGGACGCTCCCCCTCACCTGGGCCGGCGGCCCCCCCTCCATGGTCCTTTGTTGCCCCCCCCCCGCAACGGGGCGCAGCGCCGCACAACGAGGTTCAGCCGGGCGAGGAGGCGGGAGGGGGAGGAGGAGGAGGAGGAGGAGGGAGGAGGAGAAGACAGCGCCGCCGGGTCCCTGCGCCCGCCGGGTCTGCCTTGGCCGCGCCTGCGCGGAAGGGCTCGGCCGCTGCGCCAAGCGCCGGCGCTCTAGAGGCCGGCCTCGATTGGGAAGCGCCGCGCGGTCAGGCGCTTTGCGACCTTACGTTGCGTTTTGTTTTTATCACGCTCCCCCCTCCCTTTTTTTTTAATTCCCAAGGTTGGTCTTGTGTTTCTTGCTCCGGAAGTCGTCCCCGAAGGAAGCGGGCGGGTGTAGAAATGGAATCCAGGCCTTTATAAAGAGGCATTGATGGATGGATGGATGAATTGATTGATGGATGAATTGATGGATGGATGGATGGACTGACCTGGGGAATTTTCACCTTGAAAGGGCACTAAGTGTTGAATCAGCCCTGAATTTAAATGTCAGAGCAGTCTACATTTCTCAAACAAATATTTTGATAGGAACTCAGCTGAATAATCAATGAATAATGAGGATAAGATAAAAACAAAATGAAATCAATATAAAAGGAAAGCAAATCATGGTTTTATAATCATAGTTCAACTTAGTATTCAATGAAGCAATTATTCAGTGGAATGCATATTCTTCATTTTATTTCCCCCCCAAAAATATGATCAACCAGATTGAATCGTTTAATAAATGAATATTACGCATTCAATTTAACAGGAAAGGAGAGTATTCAGTGAATTGTGCGTATTTAATCATTTAATTTAATGAATCAATAGTATGCATACAATCATAAATAATAAATAGTATTATTAAATAAATATGCACATTTAATAGTTTAATAAATATGCATACTTAATCATCAATAATTTAGTATTAAATGAATAGTATGCATATTTCATAATTTAATTTAATAAATGTGCATACTTAATCATCAATAATCTAGTATTAAATGAATATACATATTTAATAATTTAATTTAATAAACAAATATGCATGCTTAATCATCAATAATCTAGTATTAAATGAATAATATGCATATTTCACAATTTAATCAATGAATATGCATACTTAGCCATCTCTAATATAGTATTAAATGAATATACATATTTAATAATTTAATTTAATACAAATATGCATGCCTAATCATCAATAATCTAGTATTAAATGAATAATATGCATATTTCACAATTTAATCAATGAATATGCATACTTAGCCATCTCTAATATAGTATTAAATGAATATACATATTTAATAATTTAATTTAATACAAATATGCATGCCTAATCATCAATAATCTAGTATTAAATGAATAATATGCATATTTCACAATTTAATCAATGAATATGCATACTTAGCCATCTATAATATAGTATTAAATTAATATACATATTTTATAATTTATTAAAACGAATATGCATACCTAGCCATCTATAATATAGTATGAAATGAATAATATGCATATTTCATAATTTAATTTAATAAATGAATATGCATACAATCAATAATATAGTATGAAATGAATAATATGCATATTTCATAATTTATTAAATGAATATGCATACAATGATCAATAATATAGTATTAAATGAATAGTATTCATATTTAATAATTTAATTTAATAAATGAATATGCATACTTAATCATAGGGTTTCCTGCCTAAGCAGGGGGTTAGACTGGATGACCTCCAAAGTCCCTTCCAACTTTAGTAGTAGTAGTAGTAGTAGTAGTAGTAGTAGTAGATTAGTATTAAATGAATAGTATGCATATTTAATAATTTAATTTAATGATCAATGAATATGCATTCATACTATGCATACAATTTATTCTTACACTATCATATTATATGATTTTGTTGTATAATAATATATAATAAATTATATGATATTTTATTGCGCCTTATTGATCATTTATTATTGGTCATAATGCAATAATGTCGTAATATAATAATATAATATAAATTATATAATAAATATATAGATGTAATGCACTTTATATAATCATGCAAATTAAAAATGGAAGATATTATCTTATTTTTGTCCAATTTAATGTATTGATGTTGTATTTGCATTCATGTTTAAACAGTATTCAATACCATTCTATTATATGTATTATATTGAATATATTATGAATATAATACAAGTATAATATTAGATTGAATTTAAAAAGTTAAATTTAACTCTTTTATTCAGTCAATAAATATTAGATTGGCACTCAATTAGTATTAAATTTGATAAATGCAGGGTGGGAAGCCAGCTGACGAGGGGGGGGGCTAATTGCTTTGAACCCCTTTCTCTTTGCCGAGGTGGAGCCGGAAGCGTCGGTGCGGTTTCACTGGAACGTGTCCTCTTAGGCGGAAGAGCGTAGTACAGCGAGGAAGAGCGACCTCTCCGGCCGCCGCCTGCAGCGCCGCCGCCGTTCGGAGGTGGAGTTGCAAGAGGGGAGGACTGCGCTTTTCCTATCGGCTGCAAATCCTCCAATAACTACTACGCCGCCCTCGGCTTACAACCGTTCGTTTAGCGTCCGTTCAAAGGGACGGCGGCACTGAAACGGCTCACGACCGGTTTTTTCACCCTGACCACCCATGATCCCAATCAAAATTCAGATAGTTGGGCACTGATTCGCATTTATGACGGTCGCAATGTCTTGGGGGGGGTCCCGTGATTCCCATTGGCGACCGCCTGACCAGCAAAGTCACCCAGGGAATCCCGATTCACTTGACAGCGTGACTCACTTAACGACTGCAGCGATTCGCTTAAGGACCGTAGCATGGAAGGTCGTAAAACGAGGCAAAAGTCACTAAAGGCATGTCTCGCTTCAGAACAGAAATTTGGGGCTCATTTGTTGGTCGTTAAGTCGAGGACTTATCTGTACCTTCCACGCTATACCACGAAAATTGATTCGCGTGTCCAAAATTGGACAATTTTAACCCGGTCACACGTTCCTTAAGGATTTTATTGGATTTTATCGTTCAACAATCCATGAATTTGTTTTCCGGATTGTCCACGCAGCATATCAAAGTCCACTTCTCTGGATATTCTTCTCTTCTGCTCCTTAGTTGCAGCTAAGACATGTACGCTTAACCGAGGACAGCACGTTGCGGGTCCCTGTCCCTTGTGTGGCTCCACCTGATCTGGGTGGCAGGAATCCACACAACCACAAGGGAGCAACTTCCCGGCTCGGCTGCCTCTTCATCGGTGGGAACTGACCTGCAACTTTGTCCGCCTCATAACCACGATTAATGCAGAGCAGATACGCTGCACTCAGCGCTGGAGGGTCTACAGCAGGGGTCCCCAACCTGTGGGCCACCATCCACCACGGGCTGTGGCTTATTGGCCAGATCGCCTAAAGAGCTGGCCAGTTTGCGAATGTGCGTGCCCAAAACCCTTGTGCAAGCATCGCGTGCATTTGCGGCGGCACTCGCGCAACTGTTTCCACGAGCGTCCCAGGTATTCGTGGACCCCCTTGTGTGAGTGTCGCGGGCGTTTGTGGGCCCACGTGCACGAGCGTCACCGAGAGTGTTGCAGGCGTCTGCGGCCCCGTTTGTGGCACTCACAGACCCAGCCGCACAATTGTCGCCGCAAGCGGCCCAGACAGTCGTGCCTCCCACTCGCTTGAGCGTTGCTGCAAGGATGGTGGGCATTCACAGCCTCACTCGCACGAGTGTGCACCACAAGCGCGGCAGGCGTTCACGACCCCACTTGCACAAGTGTCACGCGAGCGTCGCGGGCATTCACGGCCCCAATCGCACAACTCTCACTGCAAGCGTCGCCTGCGTTCGTGGCATCACACGCACAAGCGTCACCGCAAGGGTTGCAGGCATTCACTGCCCGCTCACCTAATTGTTGCCGTGTCACGGGCATTTGCACCCAACCTGTCCAAGCAGCCGGTGTTCGTATGCACACATTCACCACCAACAAAGCCGCCAATCCTGAAAGATTGAGGAACTGCGCTAAAAGATTTGTTTGTAATACAGTATTTGCAAGATCTAATCTTATTTAACTGTTTTATTTCATTTTCTTCCTATAGCATAATTCGGAACCGACCCGCTCCTCCATAGAAACACTCTGGACAATGTACAACTATGTACAGTGCTGGGAGTCCTCACTTAGTGACCATTCATTTAGTGACCGTTCCACGTTACAACCTCACTGAAAGGTGACTTCTGGCTGTTTTTCTCGCTTAAGGACTGTTGCGGTCTCCGCAGGGGCACGTAATCAAAGTTCAGAGGCTTGGCAACTCACTCGTATTTATGACGGTTGCCGTGTCCCGGGTCACGCGATCCCGGTACGACCTTCTGACTAGCAGACTCAAGGGGATAGTCTGATCGTGTTGGGGATGGGACAGCAAAACTCCCTTAACCGTTGTTTCGCTTAGCGACGGAAATTTGGGGCATAGGCCGAGGACTTTATCGGCACATGGCCCGTGCAATGAATCACTTTCACTGGAAATTAACAGGTGGTCCTGGGTTGTTCGGGCCTGACACGAGGCAACTTTCAGATGGGTGGAATTCAACTCCCAGAATTCCCCAGCTCATGCAGAGAAAAGTCCAGCCGGGATGAAAACAGAGAATAAAACTTGACACACACACCCCACCCCCAGAGTCAAGAGCCCCCTTGCAAGGGAGGGAGAAAAAAAATCAGGATTGTGCCGGCTGCCATTTTGAATTTTCTTGACCCACCCTGCTCCTTGGTCCCAGCAAAGTTCCAGGAATCAATCAGGTCAGACTTCAGAGGAGAAAAGATTCGACAATCGTTTGTCTGGAATGGTCTAAGAGGGTTTCCCGCCTGAGCAGTGGGGTGGACTAGAAGACCTTCAATGTCCCTTCCCACTCGGCTATCCCCATGGGTCTTCAGGTTAGCAGATCCTGCCTTTTGCCTCCAGCTGTGGAGATCAAGGACAGGGCTGAGGACGGCCCTGTGGTTGGTTCAAGATGGCTGCCCAAACGCTTCTCCCGCCAACAACCCCTTCGTCTGGTTCTCCCCTGGGATCTGCTGCGTGATTACGGGGGGTACGTCTCTTGTCCAGGTACAGGCTCTACAGCATCAGCCTGAACCCTGACTCCGTCCGGTTGGCCACGCCCGTCCCTCTGAGTGGGGTGATCCTCCAGCCAGATTGCCTCCCCCTCGTGCAGGCGCTGGTGTCCCACCAGGTGCTGCTTGCGAGTGAAGCTCTTCGGGCAGAGCGGGCACTGGTAGGGCCGCTCGCCCGTGTGCAGCCGCCCGTGGGTGGCCAGGTGCTCCTTACGGATGAATGTCTTCCCGCACTCCCCGCAGGCGTAGGGCCGCTCCCCGGTGTGGATCATCTGGTGCCGCAAAAAATTCGAGTGGTGGTTGAACGTCCGGCCGCACTGCCCGCAGATATAGTAGCCCGGCTTTTTGGCGACCGCGTGGGTACGCTCGTGAAGGTGCAGGTTGATCTTCAGCCGGAACGTCTTCTTGCACTCGGCGCAAGTGTGCGGCCGCTCACCCGTGTGCCAGAGGCGGTGTTTGCTCAGGCTGGCCTGATGGGGGAACCAGCGCCCGCAATCCGGACAGGTGTACGCCCTGGCCCCTGGCTGAGGACGTTGTGCGGGACCGTCCCCCGGGTCTGGGGAGACTCGGAGATGGGACTGCTGGTGCAAGGCGCACTGCTCCTCGTACAAGAAGCTCCGGCCACAGTCGGGACACACGTAGGGCGCTTCGCCGGGAAGTACCCCTTCCTGGACGACGATGGTGGTGAAATTTGCGACGTCTCCTCCCGTCTCGGCGGACTGTTGCAGTGCAGCTGTCCGGCTGTCCACCCGCATCAAGCCTTCCTCCAAGGAGGGCGACACGCCCTCGTCGGATGACCCCGGTGAGGGGCTGAACTGACCCAGGTTTCCAGGCTCTGTCTCAGCTGGGGCGGATGTTGGCAAGAGGACGGCAGCTTCTAGGAATCAAGGATCAAAAAACAAAGCATTTGGGACTGCCTTTGGAACTGTTGCCTGCGGGAAGGGATTTCCCTGCAAATTACCTGCTCTGTCTTGCGGGACGTCTTCCGCTTCACCAGGGTGTCCTTGGGGCTCACCGCTTAAAGGGGCCCCACCTTCCATCGGGGACAACGAGTCAGGTTTGGAGGTAGTACAACCTGGGGGTGGGGAAGAAAGAGAGAGAGAGAAAGAGAGACAGAAGGAAAGAGAAAGAAAGAGAAAGAGGGAAAGAGGAAAGAAAGAGAAGGAAAGAGAAAGAGAGAAAAAGAAAGAAGGAAAGAGAGAAAGAGAGACAGAAGGAAAGAGAAATAAAGAGAAAAAGGGAGAGGAAGAGAAGGAAAGAAAGAGAAGGAAAGAGAAAGAGAAAAAGAGGAGAGAGAGAAAAGAGGACAGAGAAAGAGAAAGAGAGAAGGAAAGAGAAAGAGAGAAGGAAAGAGAGAGAGAGAAGGAAAGAGAAAGGGAGAGAAAGAAACAGAAAAAGAAAAAGAGAGGGAAAGACAGAAAGAAAGAGAAGGAAAGAGAAAGAGAGAGAGAAAGAGAGACAGAAGGAAAGAGAAAGAAAGAGAAAAAGGGAGAGGAAGAGAAGGAAAGAAAGAGAAGGAAAGAGAAAGAGAAAAAGAAGGAGAGAGAGAGAAAAGAGAGGACAGAGAAAGAGAAAGAGAGAAGGAAAGAGAAAGAAAGAGAAAGAGAGAAGGAAAGAGAAAGGGAAAGAAAGAAACAGAAAAAGAAAAAGAGAAAGAGAAAAAGGGAAAGAGAAAGAAAGAGAAGGAAAGAGAGAGAGAAAGAGAGAGAAAGATGGGGGGTCACGTGATCCCCTTTGGTGAACCTCCGACAAAGTCAAAGGGGAAGCCTCCTTTCTCCTCCTCCTCCTCTTCCTGATGCTCTTTTCCTCCTCCTTCCTCCTCTTCTCCTCTTTTCCCCTCCTCCTTCTCTTCCTCCTCCTGACCCTCTTTTCTCTTCCTCCTTCCTTCTCTTCCTGACCATCTTTTCTCCTTTCTCCTCCTCCTCCTCTTTTCTCCTTCTCCTTCCTCTTCTCCTCCTCCTCTCCTCCTCCTCCTCCTGATCCTCTTTCTTCTTCCCCCTTTCTCCTCCTCCTGACCCTCTTTTTTCTTCCTCCTTCCTTCTCTTCCTGACCATCTTTTCTCCTTTCTCCTCTTTTCTCCTCCTGTCTCCTCCTCCTTCCTCTTCTCCTCCTTTCTCCTCCTCCTGTCTCCTCCTCCCGATCCTCTTTCTTCTTCCCTCTTTCTCCTCCTCCTGACCCTCTTTTCTCCTCCTCCTCCTGACCCTTTTTTCTTCCTCCTCCGCCTTCCTCTTCTCCTCCTTTCTCCTCCTCCTGACCTTTTCTCTTCCACTTTGTCTTCTCCTCCTCTACTCCTCCTGTTCTCTCCTCCTCCTCCTGATCCTTTCTTCTTCCCGCTTTCTCCCGTCTCCTCCTCCTGACCCGCTTTTCTCTTCCTCCTCCTTCCTCTTCTCCTCCTTTCTCCTCCTCCTCCTCTTCTTCCCCCTTTCTCCTCCTCCTGACCCTCTTTTCTCCTCCTCCTCCTTCCTTCTCTTCCTGGCCATTTTTTCTCCTTTCTCCTCTCCTCCTCCTTCCTCTTCTCCTTTCTCTTCCTCCTCTCCTCCTCCTCCTCCTGATCCTTTCTTCTTCCCCCTTTCTCCTCCTCCTGACCCTCTTTTCTCCTCCTCCTCCTGACCCTCTTTTTTCTTCCTCCTCCGCCTTCCTCTTCTCCTCCTTTCTCCTCCTCCTGACCTTTTCTCTTCCACTTTGTCTTCTCCTCCTCTACTCCTCCTGTTCTCTCCTCCTCCTCCTGATCCTTTCTTCTTCCCGCTTTCTCCCATCTCCTCCTCCTGACCCGCTTTTCTCTTCCTCCTCCTTCCTCTTCTTCCCCCTTTCTCCTCCTCCTGTCTCCTCCTGACCCTCTTTTCTCCTCCTCCTCCTCCTGACCCTCTTTTCTCTTCCTCTTCCGCCTTCCTCTTCTCCTCCTCCTTTCTCCTCCTCCTCCCGACCCTCTTTTCTCTTCCTCTTCAGCCTTCCTCTTCTCCTCCTCCTTTCTCCTCCTCCTCCCGACCCTCTTTTCTCCTCCTCCTCCTCCTCCTCTTCCTCCTTTCTCCTCCTCCTCCTCCTGACCCTCTTTTCTCCTCCTCCTCTTCCTCCTTTCTCCTCCTGACCCTCTTTTCTCTTCCGCCTTCCTCTTCTCCTCCTCCTCCTTTCTCCTCCTCTGCCTGATCCTCCTTTCGCCCTCCTCCCCATCTCCCAAAACGTCCGGCCCAGCGTCCCTTTGCAGGTGCCATCAGATTCAGGCCCAGTTTATTCCCACCGCTTCCCAGAGTTGGCCTCCCCATCCCTCGCCCCCTTTCCCCAAACCTCCCTTTACCCCTTGAGACCAAGGACTCCTCCGTCTTCTGCTGCTCCTTGGGCCCCGAGTTCAAGTCCTCCCATTCCTGTTCGGAGCAGTAGACCGAGACGTTGCCAAAGTTCACCGGGACCTGGAAACAAACAGAAGCCGGGAGACCCCAGATCAGGCGGGGAGGGCATGGGCCCAAAAACGCGCCCCGCTCCTGGGACCTCACACCCCATTTCTTAGTACACACACACACACACCGCTGGTGTGGTGCCCACAGTTGGCAGGGAACCGAATCAAAGCCAGTCAAAACCCTGTCTGGCTTTGCGGGCAGGCTGGACGTAGAGCTTGTAATAATAATGAATGATGGCTAGAAGGGCTATTTCTGTTTTTTTATGGTTTTAAAATGTTTTTAATTAAATATATTTTTTTAAAAGTGTGAACTGCCGAGTCTGGTTTGCTAAGATGGGCGGCTAGATGGATGATCAATGGATAGAAAGACAGACAGACAGCTGCACAGATGGATGATAGATGGATGGATAGGTAGGTAGGTAGATAGACAGACAGACAGACGATAAAGACAAATAGACAGATGATACAGACAGATGGATGGTAGATAGATAGATAGATAGACAGACAGACTGAGACAGACAGACAGATGATAAAGACAGATAGATAGATGATAGACAGACAGATGATATAGATAGATAGATAGATAGATAGATAGATAGATAGATAGTCAGACAGACAGAGACAGACAGACAGATGATAAAGACAGATAAATAGATGATAGACAGACAGAGACAGACAGATGATAAAGACAGATAGACAGATGATAGACAGATGGATGATTGATAGATAGATAGACAGACAGACAGACCAAGACAGACAGATAGATAGATGATAGACAGACGGATGAGATAGATAGATAGATAGACAGACAGAGACAGACAGACAGATGATAAAGACAGATAGATGATAGACAGACAGATGATAGATAGATATATAGATAGATAGATAGATAGATAGATAGATAGTCAGACAGAGACAGACAGACAGATGATAAAGACAGATAGACAGATGATAGACAGATGGATGATTGATAGATAGATAGACAGACAGACAGACAGACTGAGACAGACAGACAGACAGACAGACAGATAGATGATAAAGACAGATAGATAGATGATAGACAGACGGATGAGATAGATAGATAGATAGATAGATAGATAGATAGTTAGATAGACAGACAGACAGACTGAGACAGACAGATAGATGATAGACAGATAGATGATAGATGGATGATATAGATAGATAGATAGATAGATAGATAGATAGATAGATAGTTAGATAGACAGACTGAGACAGACAGATAGATGATAGACAGATAGATGATAGACAGATGGATGATAGATAGATAGATAGATAGATAGTCAGACAGACAGAGACAGACAGACAGATGATACAGATAGATGACAGACAGACAGACCGAGACAGACAGATGATAAAGACAGATAGACAGATGATAGACAGATGGATGATTGATAGATAGACAGACAGACAGACAGACTGAGACAGACAGACAGACAGATAGATGATAAAGACAGATAGATAGATGATAGACAGATAGATGATAGATGGATGATATAGATAGATAGATAGATAGATAGATAGATAGATAGATAGATAGTTAGATAGACAGACTGAGACAGACAGATAGATGATAGACAGATAGATGATAGACAGATGGATGATAGATAGATAGATAGATAGATAGATAGATAGATAGTCAGACAGACAGAGACAGACAGACAGATGATACAGATAGATGACAGACAGACAGACCGAGACAGACAGATGATAAAGACAGATAGACAGATGATAGACAGATGGATGATTGATAGATAGACAGACAGACAGACAGACTGAGACAGACAGACAGACAGATAGATGATAAAGACAGATAGATAGATGATAGACAGACGGATGAGATAGATAGATAGATAGATAGATAGATAGATAGATAGATAGATAGATAGATAGATAGACAGACAGACTGAGACAGACAGATAGATGATAGACAGATAGATGATAGACAGATGGATGATATAGATAGATAGATAGATAGATAGTTAGATAGACAGACAGACAGACTGAGACAGACAGATAGATGATAGACAGATAGATGATAGACAGATGGATGAGATAGATAGATAGATAGATAGATAGATATGGATGATAGATAGATAGACAGACAGACAGAAGTTGGATGATAGACCAATGGATGATAAATGGATAGAAAGACAGATAGACAGATAATAGATAGACAGATGGATGATAGATGGATGCATGGATAAATAGATAAATAGATAGACAAATAGACCGATGGATGATAAAAGGATAGAAAGACAGATAATAGACAGAAGGATCATAGATGGATAGATGGATAGACAGACAGACACAGATGGATGATGGATAAATAGATGACAGATAGACGATAGATAGATGGAAACATGGATGCTTTAAATAACATGCTTTAAGAGGGGAGGACTTCCACTCCCAGAATCCCCCAGCCACCATGATTCAAGGGGGATGGACTGCAAGTCCCAGAATTCCCTCACCGGTTTACCACATAAGGAATTCTGGGAGTTGAAGTCCACCCATGCTGGCACGGGAATTCTGGGAGTTGAAGCCCGCCCCTCTTCAAACAGCCACGTTCAGTGACATTGATCTAGCGAGGCCAGTTTGTATACACGGCTACGTTCACACGATGCCTTAACCCCGGGCTAGGAAGACCACCGTTCATATACGATGCTCTTCCCCGGCCGCGTGCGAGGACCGAGTGCGAAACCTGCCTAGCCCCCAAACGGCCTGCCTGGAGCTCCCCACCCAGCCCCCCGCTGAGCCCAAGCCCAGATCAAGCCAGGATTGACTGATTCCGACCTGGGAGGCCTCTCCGCGGGCGCCCGGCGGGAAGTTGAGCACCCAGCAGCTGTAGTTCTTCAACAGCTCCTCCATGTGGTCCAGCCTCTTGTGAAGCTGCCCGTAGGCCTGGATCAGCCTCCCCAGGGCGTCCAGGTGAGGGCTGAAGTCGGTCACGTGCTTCTCCGTCCCGGAGATCTTCCGCTCGGCCAGGTCGGCCCGCCGTTCCAGCCTCCGGAGCTGTCCCGTGTGAACGTCCACCTTCCTTTCCACCCCCTGCAGGGCCGCCAGCACCGTCCAAAGGGAGACCTCGGGCGCTTGGCAGCGCGACGCCGTCTCGCATCCTGGCTTGGGAAGGGTCCAGAAAAGCCCCGGAGGGGGCGGGAGGACAGCTCGGTCCCAGGGCAACATCTGGGTTGGGGGGGAAGAGAGGGGGGGGTAGAAACAGGGAACGGAAGGCAAGCTGGTCAACACCCCATCCTGGGTTGTGTGCATGCGCTCGAGTTAGATGTTTTAGAGCAGGGGGGTCTTCAACCTAGGCCCTTTTCTGACTGGTGGGACTTCAATTCCCAGAATTCCTCAGCCGGGATGCTTGAAATTTACAGGGGGCTTCAACCTGGGCCCTTTTCTGACTGGTGGGACTTCGACTCCCAGAATTCCTCAGCCGGGAGGCTCCACGACAGGGGTCTTCACACTGGGCCCTTTTGGGACTGGTGGACTTCGACTCCCAGAATCCCTCAGCCAGGCACTGCCTGGCTGAGGAATTCTGGGACTTGAAGTCTACCAGTCCTAAAAGGGCCACGTTTGAAGACCCCTGTCTTAAATCTAACAAACAAAATGGAGGCTGGCTGAGGAATTCTGGGAGTTGAAGTCCACCAGTCCTAAAAGGGCCATGTTTGAAGATCCCTGTCTTAAATCTAACAAACAAAATGGAGGCTGGCTAAGGAATTCTGGGAGTTGAAGTCCACCAGTCCTAAAAGGGCCATGTTTGAAGATCCCTGTCTTAAATCTAACAAGCAAAATGGAGGCTGGCTGAGGAATTCTGGGAGTCGAAGTCCACCAGTCCTAAAAGGGCCACGTTTGAAGACCCCGTTTTGGGGTTTGATGGCTATTAAGGGGGTTTGACTCTTTTTTCTGGTTTTCAAAGCTTTTGAAAATTGTAATTGTAATTTTTTTTTAAAAAAAAAATCTCAACTGCCCAGTGTTGTTTGCTAAGGTGGGTGGCTGTAGAAATTAGATAGATAGATAGATAGATAGATAGATAGATAGATAGATAGATAGATAGATAATAAATGGGTAGATATAGTCAGATAGATATAGATAGATAAAGAGAATAGATGTAGTAAGATAGATAGAGAGAAAGAGAATAGATGGATAGCTAGATATAGTCAGATAGATAGACAGATAGACAGAGAGAGAGAATAGATGGATAGATAGATAGATAGATGATGGATAGATAGATAGATAGATAGATAGATAGATAGATATAGTCAGATAGATAGACAGAGAGAGAGAGAATAGATGGATAGATAGATAGATAGATAGATAGATAGATAGATAGATAGATAGATAGATAGATAGATAGAGATGATGGATAGATATAGTGAGATAGCTAGAGAGAGAATAGATGAATGGATGGATGGATAGAGATAGATAGATAGATAGATAGATAGATAGATAGATAGATAGATAGAGAGAGAATAGATGGATAGATAGATAATAGATGGATAGATAGATATAGTCAGATAGAGAGAGAGAATAGATGGACAGATAGATATAGTCAGATAGATAGACAGATAGAGAGAGAGAGAATAGATGGATAGATAGATAGATGATGGATAGAGAGATATAGTCAGATAGATAGACAGAAAAGGAATAGATGGATATATAGATAGAGATGATGGATAGATATAGTGAGATAGAGAGAATAGATGGATGGATAAATGGATAGATAGATAGATAGATAGATAGATAGATAGATAGATAGATAGATAGATAGATATGATGGATAGATATAGTGAGAGAGAGAGAGAATAGATGGATAGATAGATAGATAATAGATGGATAGCTAGATATAGTCAGATAGAGAGAGAGAGAATAGATGGACAGATAGAGATATAGTCAGATAGATAGATAGATAGAGAGAGAGAATAGATAGATAGATAGATAGATAGATAGATAGATAGATAGATAGATAGATAGATATAGAGATGATGGATAGATAGATATAGTCAGATAGAGAATAGATGGATGGATGGATGGATAGATAGATAGATAGATAGATAGATATAGTCAGATAGAGAATAGATGGATGGATGGATGGATAGATAGATATAGTCAGATAGAGAGAGGATAGATAGATAGATAGATAGATAGATAGATAGATAGATATAGTCAGATAGATAGATAGAGAGAGAGAATAGATAGATAGATAGATAGATAGATAGATAGATAGATATAGATAGATAGATAGATAGATAGATAGATAGATAGATAGATAGATAGTCGGTTGCTACATGTTTGAATTTTGATCACGTGACCCCGGTCGTTAAGTGTGAAAAAAGTCCTAAGGCCCTTTTTGTAACTTCAAACCATTTCTAAACGAACGGCCGTTAGGTCGAGGACCCCCGTATTAGGCCGTCAGCCTGAATGTACGAGAAGTTTGAGCGTCCCGGGATCACGGGCTCTCCTTTTTTGCCACATTCCCGACAGGCTGTGTCAACGGAGGAAGCCATACGGAAGCCCTACCACCTGGTCATTCAGAGCCTGTGAGGAAAAGAAACAAACCGTTGTGGCAAAAATCGCCCCGTCACAATTGTATGAAACGCAACCATTTTGTGCGCGAGGGCGAGAAAAAAAAAAGCCCTCCCCTGGATCCAGGGGTCCCCGAGGGTCCGAATGCCTCTACGGTCCCCCCCTCTTCCTTTCGAAGGGTGATTCCCCCAAACCGCCAACCGGAAACCATGACAAACCCACGGTCTCCTACAAACCACGATTTGTGGTTTAGCAGGGGGCACAAACGCCGATGCTTACAAAACCCCAAGACAAACCCACTGGCAGGCCCACTGCTGTTGACAAACCACAGTTTGCGATTTAGAAGGGGGTGCAAACTCAGCAAACAGAAGAACGGAGTTGGAAGGGACCTTGGAGCTCATCTAGCCCAACCCCACCCCCCCCTGCGCAAGCAGGAGACCCTCCCTCTGCCATTTCTGACAGATTGTGGTCCAGTCTCTTCTTGAAAGGTTCCAGCTTCCAACTTCTGAACCACAACAATCCCACTGGCAAACTCACTTCCGCTCACAAACCACAAATCGTGGTATAGCAGGGGAGGCAAATGCAATTTTTTTTAAAAAAAAAAGCACGACAAACCCATTAGCAAAGCCCCGCTTCCGCTTACAAACCTCCAATTCGTGCTTTAGCAGGGGCTGCCACAAACCACAAACCCACTCCGGCTTACAAACCGCGCGTCGTGGCTTAGCGGCGGGCGCGCGCGTACCAGCAGACATTGGAAAAAAAACCCACCCCAAACCCACTAGCAAACTCACATATCGTAGTTCAGCAGGGGGTGCAAACTCAGACCTTTCAAAAAAAAAAGCACAACAAACCCACTTCCGCTCACAAACCACAAATGGTGGTTTAGCAGGGGGCACGTGCAGATGTTTAAAAAAAAAAAGCATTACAAACCCGTCAGCAAAACCCTGCTTCGGCGTACAAACCTCCGATTCGTGCTTTGGCAGGGGCTGCACCCTGACAAACCCACTTCCGCTCATAAACCACGAATCGCAGCTTAGCAGTGGGCACGCGTGCACGCATCAGAAGACATTTTGGAAAAAAAAAAGCCACTCCAAACCAACTAGGACAGTGGTTCTCAACCTGTGGGACGGGACCCCATTTGGGGTCGAACGACCATTTCACGGGGGTCGCCAAACAACGCAGTCCGCCATTTTTCCCCCCCTTTTTCTTAGCTATGCTCCTCCCTTTTGTTCTATTGGCTTTTGAAATAGAGTCTAATTTTGAATAGAGTCTAATTCTATTGGCTTTCCAAAGCCAATAGGAATGGTCCAGGCTGCCTCTGCCCTGCTGAGCCCGCCAAAAGTCCCGTTCTGCAAACGCTGCTGCACCCGTTGAGTAGTCCTCCACTTACGACCGGTTGAGTAGTCCTCCACTTACGACCGGTTGGGGGGGGTCGCGGCATTAAAAAGGTTGAGAACCACTGAAGTAGGAAATCGTGGCTCAGCAGGGGGTGCAAACTCAGACCTTTTCTTCCCCCCAAAAGCGCAACAAACCCACTTCCGCTCACAAACCACGAATCGTGGTTTAGCACGGATGGGGGGGGGAGGGCCAATTCCTCAGACTCGCCCAGCTGCGGAAAGCAACCCAACAAACGTCGAAAGTTACTAAGTAGCAAATGGGAGGGGGAAAAAAAATCAGAAGGTCCCCTTGACGGACAGCTCCAGGGAAAGCGGGAGCGTTTGCACCCCGCCCCCTTCCCCGGGGTCTTTTTCTCCTGGGGAAGGGGCGGCTGAGGTGGGAGGGGGGGGCGATGGGCATCCTAGCCTAGCTCCTGGGCGCCTGCAGAGCGCCCGAAAGGCTTCCGAAGAAAGCAAAAAAAAAAAAAAAAAGGAAAAAGCTGGGAAAGGGCCCTTGCAAATCTCTCCGGACCGGGAGGGCGAAAGGAGAAGGTCCCCAACCTACTCCGTGGCGCGGAATACCTGAGCCGCTGGTTCCCACGGTGCTGCCATGGCGTTTTCCCGGGATCTGGGGAGGGGGGGCTGGGCGGGGGGGCTGCAGAGGAGGGGCGGCGGCCCGCTGGGGGGGTGGTGGGGGGGTTTCAAGAGGAAGGGGAGGAGCCGCGCACCCGCAGCAGCGGGCAGAGCGGCCGAACCCCCCCCCTCCCCTCCCCAGCTCCGGCTAGGAGCGCACCTGGGTGTTTGGCAAGCTGCGGAGAATTGGCGGAGGGTGGGAATTCCCTGCTTATTTGGGGGGGGGGGTTGTCTGGGGGCTTTTGTGGGGAGGGGGCTCGGCCGGAAAAGCTGAGCGAGGGAAGAAGCGGGCCAGACCCGGGAAGGAAGGAAGGAAGAAAGGGAGTAGGGGAGGGAGAGAATAAAAAGGAAGGAAGGGAGGTATAAGAAAGGAAGGAAGAGGGGAGAGAAGGAGAGAAAAAGAGGAAGGAAATGTGTGGAGAGGAAGGAAGGAAGGAAGGAAGGAAGGAAGGAAGGAAGGGAGTAGGGGAGGGATAGAATAATAAGGAAGGGAGGTATGAGAAAGGAAGGAAGAGGGGAGAGAAGGAGAGAAAGAGAGGAAGGAAATGTGTGGAGAGGAAGGAAGGAAGGAAGGAAGGAAGGGAGTAGGGGAGGGATAGAATAATAAGGAAGGGAGGTATAAGAAAGGAAGGAAGAGAGGAGAAAAGGAGAGAGAGAGGAAGGAAATGTGTGGAGAGGAAAAAAGGAAGGAAGGAAGGAAGGAAGGAAGGAAGGAAGGAAGGAAGGAAGGAAGGAAGGGGAGACCGGGCAGTCTCAGAAGACCTGGTTGCGCGCGTCCCCCCCTCCCTGTCCCCCCCCCGTCTGCCCCTCTGAGTTTGGGGCGGTGGAGGGGGGGGTATTGTGACAGACGTCTCGTGACCCAGCTGGGGAACGTCATCCGTGCAGGGAGGAAGGGTCCCTCTTATTTTTGGCATACTTGTATACGAACCCCTCCCGGCCTGGATGGTGTTCCCTAGTTGGGTCATGAGACGCGGGGGGGGAGGGGGGGGCAGGAAAGCCACACACACACACACACACACACACACACACACACACACACACACTCAAAGAGCACCAAGGAGCCCCACGGTCTGTTTTTTTTTTTTCCATCCTCCGTCTCCTCCCCTTTTGCTCGCTCCCTTTCCTCTTCCTCCTCCACTCCTTCCTTCTTTTCCTCCCCTCCTCCTCCTCCCCTCCTGTTCCTCCCCCTCTCCCTCCCCTTCTCTTCCTCCTCCCCTTCTCTTCCTCCCCATTTCCTACTCCCTCTTCCTCCTCCCCTTTTCCTCTTCCTCCCCTTTTCCTCCTCCCCATTTCCTCCTCCCCTTTTCCTCTTCCTCTTCTCCTCTTTCTCCCCCTCCCCTTTTCCTCCTCCCCCTCTTCCTCCCCTCCCGTTTTCCTCCTCCCCTTCTCTTCCTCCCCATTTCCTACTCCCCCTCTTCCTCCTCCTTTTCCTCCTCCTCCTCTTCCTCCCCCTCCCCTTTTCCTCCTCCTCCCCCTCTTCCTCCCCATTTCCTCCCCCCTCTTCCTCCTCCCCTTTTCCTCTTCCTCCTCCTCCTCTTCCTCCCCTCCCCTTTTCCTCTTCCCCTTCTCTTCCTCCCCATTTCCTCCTCCCCTTTTCCTCTTCCTCCTCCTCCCCTCCCCTCCTCCCTCCTGTTCCCCTTTTCTTCTTCCTCCTCCTCCTCCCCCTCTTCAAAGTTCATTCCCTTCAAGCCCTGATGACGTTCCCTAGTTGGGTCACGAAATGTCTGCAAGGAAACCAGCCAGCTTAGGGTCCTTCCTTCCTTCATTCCTCTCTCTCTCTCTCTCCCTTCCTTCCTTCCTCCTCCTTCTTCTCCTCCCTTCTAGCCCTGATGATGTTCCTTAGTTGGGTCACAAAATGTCTGCAAGGGAAGCACCCAGCTCAGAGTCCTCCCTCCCTCCCTCCCTCCCAGCACTGATGATGGGGAGGTCTGGGAAGTAACTCCCCCACCCCCAGATGGCCAGCCGAGGCCAGTCCTCAAGAGTCGGAGGGAGGCTGCCGCAAGCAGGGGCTGGACTAGATGATCTCCGGAATGCCCTCGAAGGCAAATCCACCGGCGTTCCTGCTCGGCCCAGGACAGCCTGCGAATTGGCACATCCTCGCCCAAAGCCTCTTTCCGAGGTGCGTTCCCACCGCATCTCGAACCCAGGACCCTTAACGGGCCAGCCGGGGGGCCCCCGGGGGACCTAGGGCCACGACAGGCTGCTTTGGTTTCCCCGCCCCAAACATAGCGGGCTTGAGTGGGTGGGGGGGCTTCGACCCCCCCCCCTTTCCCCAGAACGCTTTGGATTTGCCCAAACTGACAATTAAAAGGATGTTCGGATGGTAGCCAGGAGAAGTTTAAGGGGGGGGACGCATGGGGAATTGTGGGTATTACGTGGGAGGGGGTCAGAGGGCAGGTTTGAGCCCCTCCCGGAATACACCTAGTCCCCTAGTTACGACCCCAAAATTTCGGTTGCCGACGGAAGTATTTGTGGAGTGAGTTTCACCCCGTTTGACGTTGCTTCCCCCCCCGCCGTTAAGCGGATCTCTGCCTTTGTGAAGCTCATCCCGCGGTCGTTAAGCGAATCCGGCTTTTCCCCCCTCCCCCTTTGCTTGTCGAAAGGCCGCAAAAGGGACCCGTTTTCCACGCTTAACGACGGCTGCGGCATCCCCCCGTTGTTATGTGACCCACATTTGCGATGATCGCGGTGTCCCGGAGGTTGCGGGATGACGTGAGCGTACCGTCTGAAAGAGGAGTCAGTGACCCGTTTGGTTGTGTCCTGATCATGTGACCCTAGCAAGAAGGCAGTCGGAGTCGCACATGTGAAAAATCGTGGGGTGACTATTTTTCAGCACTGTTGTAAACTTTCAATGGTCACTAAAAATGGCGTCGTAAGTTGAGACGTATCAATGCAGAACGGTTACCAAGCTCCCCAAATCGGTGGCAGTTAGAACTTCAGAACTGGAATACAAGTACATTTTGGGTGGGTGTAGGTTTATTGTAAGTGTGAATGATTGCTACGTGAATAGTCACACGCTGAGGACTAGTGTGCTGACACGGCCTGGCTGTGTCTCATATCTTCCCGTAAAAGGGGAGGCGATAGATATCCATGGCCTAGGACCCCAAGAGTTAGTGATTCAGAGGGGAAAATTGGGATCAAGAGCTAACCTAGCATTTGTCAATCTGGGCAACGTGAAAAAGTCCCAGAATTCTCCAGGAGGCATGCTTGAACAGGAGAGGACTTCAACTCCCAGAATCCCCCAGCCGGCATGCTTTAAGAGGGGTGGACTTCAAGTCCCAGAATCCCCTGGACAAGATGCTTTAAGATGGGTGGACATCAGTTCCCACAATCCCCCAGGCTTTAAGAGGAGTGGACTTCGACTCCCAGAATCCCCCAGCCGGCATGCTTTAAGAGGGGTGGACTTCAACTCCCAGAATCCCCTAGCCAGCCATGCTGGCTGGGGAATTCTAGGACTTGAAGTCCACCCGTCTTAGTTGTCCAGGGTGACACACACTCTGCTAATCCTTGCTGCCGTGTTAATATGGATGCACAGGAGGGTCACCAAACATTCACGAGGACCCGGATTCGAATCCTACCTGATCTTTTCGATTGAAGAAGAATCCCTAATATTTGCAGCCTCCGGATGTTCGCTTACCTGCTAGGTAGGATGGTTCAACTCCGGGAAAACTCCATTTTCTTCCAAAAAGGACCCAACCGGGTGGGATTCTCCAGGCCAGGAAAACCACACACCCTCCATAAACGGAAGGGAACAGAGAGCGCGCGAACGATTGTGCTTCTGTTGCAGAAACCAGCCGCGCCAATTCAGACTCCTGTGTTGTGTGTCAACACGTCCCGAAGTCCGTGGTGCCTGGATTTGAACGCGGATCCGGCAGAAAACACGGTTAACCCAACCCAGATGCCTTGGGGGGTGGGGGGGGGTCTTGCTTTCCCACCCGGGGGCGTGACTGCGGTCCAAACCAGCGGAATTTTAGGAAGCCATGTTTGGAAGTGGATTCCGTCTGCCATTTTCACCAGAGAAAGAACCTCGCGTTACGACGGGAACGGAAGCGGCCCGTCGTGGTTGTGTAACTCCTGATGTTTGTAAAATTAGGTCATTAACGTGACAGCTGGGCCAATTTTGAGATCTTTTTTTTTTTTGAGGTGGTCGTTAAAGTGACGGCTGTGATCGTTAAGCGACGGCTGTAGTTGCAAAACAACGGTGATCGTTTAAAAACCACTACCGTCGTTAAGTGAAAAATCCAAGGGGGGGGGGTCGGAAAACCATGGTTAAAAAGAGGTCGCCTGATAGTTGGAAATGATCATAGACACAACTCGGGTGCTAAATGTCCCAAATTTGGTCGTGTGATCACCCAGGGGGAAGGTTACCATGGAAACTTTGAATACAGGTTACAAGTCACCCACTGAGACAGTCGTTAAATGAATTTTGCACCGTCGTAACTACGAGTCCGTTGCTAAGTTGCCAATTTTGATGACATGACCCCGAAGAGGCTGTAAGGGTCCTCAGGGTGAAAAAGTCGTAAGTCACTTTTTTGAACGGTCACTAAATGAACTGTTAAGTCGAGGACTAGCTGTAAGCCCCGGATAGGTCCGGCGGAACTTCGAACAGTCACTAAGTGATCGGTCGTAAATTGAGGACTACTTGTATAGGATGGGAAGCGTCAGGATAGCTGGTCTGAGCTCAGGAACGGTCCAACCACCCTACCCCAAACCCACAGACGAGAAAGACACCAGGGGAGACACACTGAACTGACATGTTTTGCCAAAGAAAGTGATACAAAAACCAACAATCACCGGCAGCCACAGACCAAACAGCGGACATCACACAGAAGAAAAGCTGGTTTCTCACAGTCACCTCGGCCGACACTGAGTTCAACAACATGGCAATCCATAGCTAACTCAACCGATATTTACAAAGGTACCTTGAAAGAAAGAAAGAAAGAAAATAACCGACACCACCACAACGATGGAGGGCAGATCTCTGTGCGTGAACCGGGGAGCCAGGCAACACAAATCCTGCTGGGGACATCACACTGTGAAACCACGCGACGCAAGAGCTGGGCGTCCGAGCGGAGGCACCAGGACCACTGGCCGAAGTTGTTCTCGCTCGGACACGCGCCCTCGGCAAAGAACCAAATACGGTTTTTCGGAATTAAAACGGAGAAGGAGGACAGACACACCAACTAAGAACAAGGACCTGGGTAACGGGCGCAGGTGGGTGTTTCCAGTTCCACCGAGGTGTGGGAGGACCGGGACCCCCACCCTGAGCGAGCAGGACTGAAGGACCCAGAGATCCATTTGCTCCTCGCCACGGTCCACCGCCGTGTTGCCAACGTCTTCAGCGCGCGGTGCCATCAGGAGTACGTCGATACGGGTGCGTGTAGAGTACACGCCGCAAGGAGGACTCGTACGGCAAGTGGACGGGGCAAAGAAATGCGTGGAACTGGGGGTGGGGGGCTGGAGAGAGCAACAGGGGGGGATTTGCTGGCCCTGTCTTCCCTCTCCCTACTAGGCATGCAAGGAGGGGCAGGGTGGGTGGGCTACAAGACCTTTGCAGCCCACTCGAGTGCAATCAACGCCCGACCTCCTCGAACGGGAGCAGGCCACAGCTTACGTGTCGGCATCCAACAGGTGTGCCCAATGCAGGACAGAAGAGCAATTGATGCTCCTGTCCTCTCCCCCCCCCAAGTATTCATTTCCCCACCACCGCCCCGGTGGGGCACCCCCCCCCAAAGGCTGGCGCGTCCCTTTCCGCTGGGCGCAAGCACCGCTACGGCTGCGGAGGCTTCAGGCCCATCAGCCCCGTCTGTGTTCCCAGCACCAGGTGGCGCACGGTGGGGGTGCGGGCGTGGATTTTCTGGTGGCAGTTCAGCGACTCCTTGTAGCGGAAGTTCTTCCCGCAGGTGGCGCACTGGTAGGGCGTCTCGCCCGTGTGGACGCGCCAGTGTTTCAGCAGGTGGTCCCGCCGGATGAAGCTTTTCCCGCACTCGGTGCACTGATACGGCCGCTCGCCTGTGTGGATCCGCTGGTGCCGCACGGCTTTGGAGAGGTCCCGGAAGTCCTTGCCGCAGTAGGTGCAGGTCAGCGGCCCGTCGCCTTTCCCCGCGTGGAGCTTCTGATGGAGGAGGAGGCTGACCTCCAGCTTGAAGCTCTCCTTGCACTGGGTGCACGTGTACGGACGCTCCACCATGTGGTTTCCGGGCCGTTTCACCGCGCCGGGTTTCGCGGTTGGGCTCCTTTGTGGCTCAGGGCGCTTGTGCACTTTGGGACGGGCAGGAGTTGGGGCCCTCTGGATGAGCTTAGCCTCCGGGCTTCCGGGAGGTTCTGGCACCAGGTACGCCCCGCTTCCACCGTGGGTCTCCTGGTGGCTGGCGAAGAGCTGCCGGTCTACAAATCCTTCTCCGCATTCGCAGCAGATAAAGGGGCCGGTGTCAGCTTCCGCAGCTGAAGTGGCCGAGTCCTCGTTTTGTGACTCGGGCACCCCCTGCCCCGACTGCCGGAGGAGCTTTTTCGGCAGGGTGAGGGACAGAGATTGGCTCTCGCACAGCAGCTCCTCTCCAGGACCCTGGAAAACGTCCGTCCACTTGCGGGGGAACAAGCTGTCCGCCTCATCCTCCAGCAACTGAGGGGCACCTGGAGAAAGAAAAAGCCACAGGTAACTGAGGAAGGACACACCCAGCAGGCCGGCCCATAGAGGTAAACCCTATTCTCCTTTTTTTCTGCACATCCCACGCTGCCGTCTCCTGCTCGGACCCTCGTCCTACGAGCCGAGAGATCGGCCAGGGTAGCGTTCCCAGCAGCGGGGAGAGGGGATGGTTCCGTACGAGGGACGGGCAACTGCGCGAATGCACGGACAGCTCCATTGGCGCGCACACTGTAGACGGGCGCCTACCGCGCGCGCCAATGGAGCGTGCGGGCACGCGCTCCCCTGCTGCTCGGGCGAGTCAAGAGGTGCGTGCACATTCACTCGCCTGCCGTTTCCGTGGCCGAGTTGCAAACACCTCACGGCCCGCTAGTAGAGATTGCGGACGCCTAGGCCAGGGGCCCTCCGACTCCAAATTGGGGTCCTTCCTTCCTGATCCCTTGTATATATCCCCATATATTTTCCCAGAAGGGACAAATCGCGTCAAACGAGACACGGTAAATGGCCGCCGTGCCCGGTGAAAGAGAGCGCCGGGCGCGGATTGGTGAACCACCAAGTCCGAATCCCTCCTGTCACTACTCACTAAACTCATTGTCAGAACTTCCATTTGACAGTCGTTCCGTATCAGTCCGCCATGGAGCCTGGGGGGTGGGGGGTGGGGGGAAGGTGGCTAGTCGTCAAGGCCGTTTTTCTTGGGAGACGAATGCAGCCGCAAAACAGCCTACACCAGGGGTGTCAAAACTGCCCGGATGCGTCGTGGGGGAAAAGTCGCGATACGTCGCGACACGTCACGTGATGTTGTGCGTTCGACCCACCCCTGGCCTACACGGAGAATGACAGGTTCAAAAAACCATCTCTTTTAAAACTGATTGGACAACGGAGGGGAAACCAACTACGGGAAGCGTCTGAGAGGGAAAAGTTACACCTAAGGATTTGGCGCGCCAACCTCGGTTCCGGCTTTGCTTTACGGTCACCCGCTTGACCTTTAGAACACGGTACTTGAGAAGAGTATCGTGTTCTAAAGGTCAAGTGGATTACCGTAAAGCAAAGCCGGAACCGAGTCAAGGATCGTTCTTGCTTAAAGGATCAAGTTGAGGCAGGACTGACACTCAAAGTAACCTAGCGCAGCCTGGGATATCCCGGACGAACCCCCTTGAGGTGTCTCACCGTCCTCTGTCAATGTCGCTGTGGCATCACAAGCAACGCACCCCCGTCGAATGACGGGGGGAAAAGAGACACTGGGGCCGATCCTGGTTTCCAGATTCCCGAGCACAGCTGGGCACCAGCCTTCCCCGGGAACATTCCCGACTGGGTTCCCAAACCCTTAACGGGTCCTCAGCCCCTCCCGCCTTCCCTGGTGTCCCGTCTACTCTCTTACCCATGGCGCAGTCCCCAGGGATTTCTCTGGCCTCTACGCCCCCCGTGCTTTTGACGAGAGACAGATCATCTGGCTCGATCCAGGAAGTCCCGTGGAGAGCCGAAACAGGCGATCCTGTGGCACGGGAGAGAAAAACCAGGATCGTCACCACCGGATCCCCACATTCCAACGCTTTTTCTGCCATTTCCCCCTTCTCTGCGTTGCGCTAGCCAAATCAGTGTTCTTCAAACGCGGTGACGGCAAAGTGGGCGGACTTCAACTCCCAGAAGTACCCAGTCAGCATGCTTTCCGTTGCGTCAGTGGTTCTCAACCTTTTTAATGCCGTGCCCCCCTCCACCGGTCGTAAGTCGAGGACTACTCAACCGGTCGTAAGTCGAGGACTACTCAACTGGTGCAGCACCGTTTGCAGAATGGGACTTTTGGCGGGCTCAGCAGGGCAGAGACAGCCTGGACAATTCCTATTGGCTCTTGAAAGCCAATAGAATTAGACTCTATTCAAGAGAGTCTATTCTATTGGCTTTCAAAAGCCAATAGAATAAAAGGGAGTAGCACAGCTAAGGAAAAGGGGGGGGAAAAATGGCGGACTGCGTTGTTTGGCGACCCCCGTGAAATGGTCGTTCGACCCCAAATGGGGTCCCGACCCACAGGTGGAGAACCACTGCATTGCGTGGACTTCATGCTGGTGGAGGAATTCTGGGAATTGAAGTCTTTCCCTCTTAAAGCATGCCGGCTGGGGGATTCTGGGAGTTGAAGTCCAACTCTCTTAAAGCATGCCGGCTGGGGGATTCTGGGAGTGGAAGTCCACTTTTCTTAAATTTGTCAAGGTTCGCCAACACCGCTCAAGAGAAACCCTATTAAACCCCCAAGTCGGCTTCATTCACACAATATCCTACTACCTCCTCCCCCAAATCCAGGGCAGTTGGAAAAACTACACTAAGAGCTTAGGATGAAATTGGAAATCGACAAGATATGGAGGGGAAGGTTCTCCAGCTCTGGATGCCAAATTCCAGCAGCTGAAAACCCCTCGACAAACGAATTTTGAAACCTTTGAAAAAAATCGTCACAACTTCTCGAACCCACAAAACAGGAGGGAGGGGAAGACCGGAGGGGAAAATGGCCACACAACTCACCTGCCCTGTCCCCCAAGTCGGACTCTTCGTGGCGTTCCCCTTCTCTGCCGTCGGCCTGCTCCGAAGCCTCTCCTTGCTCAATCCGGGAGAGGAGATCTGGTTTGGAGACGGCTGCGTCTACGGAGGACAAGACAGCATCAAAGTACGGGTATTCATCGACTTACAAGCGCTTGTTTAGCGACCGTTCCACGTTACGACGTCGCCGAAGGGACTTGACGACTTTTCGCACACATACGACCAGTTGTAGCATCCCCGGGGTCAGGTGATCAAAAAAAAAATAGCACGCTCGGCCGTTGACTTTGTTTCTCGTCACCAAAGGTTTCTTTCTCGTCGGCAACGGATTCGTATTTTTGACGGTAACAGTGTCCCGCGATTTCCCCCTTTTTTGCGACGAGAAACAAAGCCGACGAGAATTCCCTATTAGTAACTTAAGCGGTTCGCTGAACCACTGTGGTAAGACAGGTCACGAAACGGGAGAAAATTCACCTCACAGCGGTCTCGTTTAGCCGCAAAAATCTGGGGCACAATTGTGATCGTACGTCAAGGACGACCTGTATACCGGAGAACTCGCTTGGGGTTCGGAAAGCGTCAGAATGAGGATGGTGATCTATGGCGCCCGAAGGTGGACCCTTCCCACCCTGGACCAGCCGGGACACCCGTTGCTTCTCTCGGGGCGAAGCCACACAACCGTCTGGCGATGCGACGACAGAGCCACAAAACCACCGAGCCGCACTGAAATCGCCTGTCCGGTTTCTCTCCGGGAGTCCCGCGGCTGATCGATGGCGGCCCAGTCCTGACGCCAGCCCGCTCTTACCGACGGAGACCACCGCCTGGTAGTTGTGCTTCATGATGTGACGATACAGGTCCTTTTGGCTTTCGTCCAGGCCCCTCCACTCTTGCTCCGAGAAACTGCAGGAGGCGTCGTCAAACTGCAAGGGGACCTGCAACGGGGCGACAACTCGGGGTCGTAAACAATGTAGACCACAACCTTCCAGTTTTGCGGACCGGCGGGGCGGAGGGAGAGGGCATGGTACCAGCGGTGTGTGCACGCACACAGCTCATTTATACAAATGGCGTGCACGTGCGTGCGCGTAGCTCATTTGCACAAGTGGCATGCACATGCGCGCACGTAGCTCCTTTATACAAGCGGCGTGCATGTACGTGCGCGCAGCTCATTTGCACCAGCGGCGTGCATGCCCGTGCACGTAGCTCATTTGCACCAGCAGCGTGCATGCCCGCGCACGTAGCTCATTTATACAAGCGGCGTGCATCCGCATGCGTGCAGCTCATTTACACAAGCGGCATGCACATGGGCTTGCGTTGCGCTCAAGTGGAGTGCGCGCCGCTCACACGCTGCACGTCAAAATAAGGCGTGCATCTGCGCACGCTCGCTGGCCGCTTCCGTGGCCCGGTTGCAAACTCCTCACGGCCTATTAGTGGGCTGCAGCCCACCGGTTGGGGACCCCTGATTTAGATGAGAGGATAGAAGGGGAACTCGTCAAATTTGCAGACGATACCACGCTGGCAGGAACAGCCAACCCTCCAGAAGATAGGCTAAGCGCCCAGAAGGATCTGGAGAGACTTGAACCCGGGGCCCTACCTAACAAAATGAAATTCGACGTACATAAAACTGTTTTACACTTAAAGAAGAAAAACGGAATTTACTGGTAAACAATAAGTGAAACCGGCCTCAACAGTAGCAACTGCGAGAGGGACCTAGTGGACAATCAATTAAATAGAAGCCGGCTGGGGGATTCTGGGAGTAGAAGTCCTCCCCTCTTAAAGCATGCCGGCTGGGGGATTCTGGGAGTTGAAGTCCTGTCTTAAAGCAGGCCGGCTGGGGGATTCTGGGAGTGGAAGCCTACCCGTCTTAAAGCAGGCCAGCTGGGGGATTCTGGGAGTGGAAGTTCACCCCTCTTAAAGTAGGCCAGCTGGGGGATTCTGGGAGTTGGTCCTCCCGTCTTAAAGCAGGCCGGCTGGTGGATTCTGGGAGTTGAAGTCCTCCCCTCTTAAACCATGCCAGGTGGGGGATTCTGGGAGTTGAAGTCCACCCCTCTGAAAGCATGGTGGCTGGGGAATTCTGGGAGTGGAAGTACACCCCTCTTAAAGCATGGAGGCTGGGGGATTCTGGGAGTGGATGTCCTCACCTCTTAAAGCATGCCGGCTGGGGGATTCTGGGAGATGAAGTCCTCCCCTCTTAAAGCATGCTGGCTGGGGGATTCTGGGAGTTGAAGTCCTCCCGTCTTAAAGCATGCCAGCTGGGGGATTCTGGGAGTTGAAGTCCTCCCGTCTTAAAACAGGCTGGCTGGGGGATTCTGGGAGTGGAAGTTCACCCCTCTTAAAGCATGCCGGCTGGGGAATTCTGGGAGTTGAAGTCCTCCCCTCTTAAAGCATGCCGGGTGGGGAATTCTGGGAGTTGAAGTCCTCCCCTCTTAAAGCAGGCCGGCTGGGGGATTCTGGGAGTGGAAGCCCACCCTTCTTCAAGCACGCTGAATGGGGGATTCTGGGAGACGACGTCCAGCCTCTTAACGCTTTCCAGTTTGGGAATTCTGGGAGCCGCAGCCTCAATTTGCCAACACCGCTCTACGAAACACCCGTGTTGCCCCTCCTTCACACGACGCCAATGCCTCAACTCCCCTTCTGCCCGTCCGGCAAAAACCCAGCCCATCGCCCCGGCAGGCTAGCCCGGCCAGTGGATTCCCCCCCCCCCGCCTCCTCTCACCTTCGGCGTCTCCCCCTTGGCGCCCGGCGGGAAACGCAGGATCCAGAAGTTGCGGTTCTGCAGCAGGTTCTCCATGTTCTCCAGCCGGCGCTGCAGCTGCCCGTACTCCTGGATCAGGGTGCCCAGCGCGGCCCACTTGCTCTCCAGCTGGTTGCCGAATTCGACGGCCGTCTTCTCGCAGCCGTCCAGCTTGGCCTCGGCCCGGCCCACCCGGCCTTCCAGGCCGAGGAGCTGCGCCGCGTAGGCGTCCACTTTGGCGTCCACCGCTTGGATCTCCGCCACGACGGTCAGGGAGAGCTCGGCCGCCTCGGGCAGGACGTCGGCCGCGGGGTTTGGCGCGGGGAGGCCGAGGGGCTGGATGGAGGCCGGGGGGGGGAGGTCCATGTCCCACGGAAGGCCCTGCTGTCGAGGGAGACACACAGACACACAAACAGAGCAACGGGTCACGCAGTTCTCGGCGTAACGACCGTTTGTCGCCCGACTTTGCTCAGCCCGTAACGGAAGGGGGGGGCAAAGATCCCGAAGGTCTGCTCATTTTCCCCGGAACGCGCAACCTTGGACGGGACTAGAACTCCCCCGTCGCCTCGCGATCGGCCCCAAAATCGCCCAGCTGGCTTTGGTGCCCGAAGGCGGGACTAGAACTCACCGTCACCCGGTGATGGGGCCAAAGTCACGCAGCTGGCGTTCGTGCCTTAAGGCGGGACTAGAACTCACTGTCGCCTGGTGATTGGCCCAAAGTCACCCAGTTGGCTTTCGTGCCTTAAGGCGGGACTAGAACTCACCGTCACCTGATGATTGGCTCAAAGTCACCCAGCTGGCTTTGGTGCCTTAAGGCGGGACTAGAACTCACCGTCGCTCGGTGATTGGCCCAAAGTCACCCAGCTGGCTTTCGTGCCTTAAGGCGGGACTAGAACTCACCGTCACCCGGTGATTGGCCCAAAGTCAACCAGCTGGCTTCGGTGCCTTAAGACGGGACTAGAACTCACCGTCGCCTAATGATTGGCTCAAAGTTACCCAGCTGGCTTTTGTGTCTTAAGGCAGGACTAGAACTCATCGTCGCCCGGTGATTGGGCCAAAGTCACGCAGCTGGGTTTCGTGCCTTAAGGTGGGACTAGAACTCACTGTCGCCCGGTGATTGGCTCAAAGTCACCCAACTGGCTTTCATGCCTTAAGGCAGGAGTAGAACTCATCGTCGCCCGGTGATTGGGCCAAAGTTACCCAGCTGGCTTTCGTGCCTAAAGGCGGGACTAGAACTCATCACCTGGTGATTGGCCCAAAGTCACCCAGCTGGCTTCGGTGCCTTAAGGCAGGACTAGAACTCACCATCGCCTAATGATTGGCTCAAAGTCATCCAGCTGGCTTTCGTGCCTTAAGGCAGGACTAGAATTCACCGTTTCCTGGTGATTGGCCCAAAGTCACCCAGCTGCCTTTCGTGCCTTAAGGCGGGACTAGAACTCACCGTCGCCCGGTGATTGGCCCAAAGTCACCCAGTTGGCTTTCATCCCTTAAGGCGGGACTAGAACTCACCCTCACCCGGTGATTGGCCCAAAGTCACCCGGCTACTTTTCCATGCCAAGGCAGAACTAGAACTCCCATCTCCCTGCTTCTGATCTTTCCACCCAACAGCCTCTCTATTGCAAGGGACACAAAAGCTCGATTTTTTTTCCAGCAAACGCACAACTTTTCAAGCAGCCTCCCTCCTTCCTCTCCTATTTAGCCTCCTCCAGCACTGGGTTCAAATTCCTCCCCCAGAAAATGTCGGGGCAATCTTCTGGGGGAGGCCGCTGGAGGTCATCTCCTGCCCAGCCCAGCCCAGCCAGCAAACCCAGATCCCAAGCTAGAGGTGGGCGTACCTTGCAGGACACCCCCATCCCCACCACTGGGACGGTGAAAAGGGCACCACGAGGAGATCCCTCCCCACCCGGCGACCATTGCCAAGGGGGCAATCCACACCTGGGAGGGGTCCAGACCCCAACAAGGCCAGCCCGGCCCCGCCCACCCACTGCCAAACCTTGAGGTGGGTCGATCTTGCAGGGCTTCCCCCCATCACCCCCTCCATCACCATCACTGGGCAGATGGAAAGGGAACCACGAGGAGATCCCTTCAGAGGAAGGAGGCAAATCCAGATTTCCCCCCCCCCTCAGTCCAGGCCAGTAACTAAATAGTGAGGTGGACAAACCTTGCAGGAACTTTCCCCCCCCTCCCACCGGCAATCAACATCACTGGTCGGGTGGAAAGGGCACCACAAGGCGATCCCGTCCCCGGAAAGTCAGCCTCGCAAGGGGCCAATCCACGCTTGGGAGGGGTCGTTACCATCCAGATCTAAACTGGGAAAAGGACCTCCACTCCCATCATTCCACTGGGCAGGTGGAAAGGGAACCTTACTGGGCAGGTGGAAAGGGCACCACGAGGTAATCCCTTCCCAGCCAAGTCAACCTCGCAAGGGTGGGGGAGGCATCTAAAGCTTGGGAGGGGTCCAGACCCAACCCAGCCACCCAACCTTGAAGTGGGCGGATCTTGCAGGAACCCCTCCACCCATCATCATCCCTGGGCAGGGGGAAAGGGCACCACGAGGCGATCTCTCCCAAGCATCAGAGCCTGGCAAGGGGGCAATGCGAGGGCCAGACCCCGCAGGCCAGCCCCGCCCACCCACCCAACTTTGAGGTGGGCAAATCTTGCAGGACCCCCTCCGCCCATCCCCATCGCTGGGCCAGTGGAAAGGGCACCACCAGGCAATCCCTTCCCAGCCAAGTCAGCCTTCCAAGGGTCCAATCTAAGCGTGGGAGGGCTCCAGACCCAACCAATACAGGCCAGCCCACTTGAGGTGGGCAAATCTTGCAGGAATCCCCCCACCCACACAATCGCCATCATTGGGAGGTGGAAAGGGCACCACGAGGCGATCCCTTCCCAGTAAGCCAGGCTCACGAGCGGGGGGCAATCCAAGTTTGGGAGGGGTCCAGCCCCCCCTCCAAACCGAACCCAGCCCCAGACCTTGAGATGGGCAGGTCTTGCAGGATCAGCCCTTCACCATCGCTGGGCAGGTGAAAAGGGCACCACCAGGCGATCCCTTCCCAGCCAAGTCAGCCTGGCAAGTGGGGGGGGGAGCAATCCAAGCTTGGGAGGCATCCAGACCCAATCCAGCCACCCAACCTTGACGTGGGCAGATCTGGCAGGACCAATCTATCGCTATCAGTGGGCAGGTGGAAAGGGTACCACCAGGAGATCTCTTCCCAGCAAATGATCCTTGCGAGGGGGCTAATCAAAGCTTGGGAGGGATCCAGACAGTCTAGCCAGCCCGGCCCAGCCTGGCCGCTGTCAAACCTTGAGTGGGTAGATCTTGCAGGACCTCCCCCCCCATCATCCCCTCCATCATCACCACTGGGCCGATGGAAAGGGAACCACGAGGAGATCCCGTCACAGGAAGGAGGGGGCAAATCCAGATTCCCCCCCCCCCAATCCAGGCCAGTCCAGCAATCAAACAGTGAGGTGGGCAAATCTAGCAGGAACCTCCCCCACACACCCCAGTCACCATCACGGGGCAGGTGGAAAGGGCACCACCAGGTGATCCCTTCTTGGCAAATCAGCCTCGCAAGGTGGGGGAGCATCCAAGCTTGGGCGGCGTCCAGACCCAACCCAGCCACACAACCTTGAGGTGGGCAGATCTGGCAGGAGCCCCTCTGCCCATCATCCCCATCCCTGGGCAGGTGGAAAGGGCACCATGAGGAGATCCCATCCCACCTGTCAGCCTGGCAAGTGGGGGGGAGAAAGTCATCCAAGCTCGGGAGGGGTCCAGACTGCCCAACCTTGAGGTGGGCAAATCTTGCAGGACCCCCCCTCCCCAATCACCATCGCTGGGCAGGTGGAAAGGGCACCACGGGGAGATCCCTTCCCAGCCAAGTCAGCCTGGCAAGTGGGGGGGGGGACAATGCAAGCTGGGGAGGGGTCCAGACCCAACCCAGCCACCCAACCTTGAAGTGGGCAGATCTGGCAGGAACCCCTCCGCCCATCACCACCTCTGAGCCGATGGAAAGGGCACCACGAGGAGATCCCTCCCCATCAAAGGGGCAATCCTGACACACACCCCATCCACCCAATCCAGGCCAGCCCAGCAACCAAACCTTGAGACACCCCACCACCACCACCCCGGCCCCCAATGACTAACCCTGGGCAGGTGGAAAGGGCACCACGAGGCGATCCCTTCCCAGCCAAGTCAGCCTCGGAAGGAGGGGGGGGCAATTTAAGCTCAAGAGGGGTCCAGACCTAAATCAGCCACCCAGCCTTGAGGTGGGCAGATCTGGCAGGTCCCCCTCCGCCCATCACCACCCCTGGGCAGGTGGAAAGGGCACCACCTGGCGATCCCTGCGCAGCAAAGTCAGCCTGGCAAGTGGGGGGGGGAGCCATCCAAGCTCGGGAGGGGTCCAGCCCCAACCCAGCCATCCAACCTTGAAATGGGCAGATGGGGCAGGAACCCCTCCCCAATCACCACCCTTGGTCTGGTGGAAAGGGCACCACAAGGAGATCCCTTCCCAGTAAATGAGTCTCGCAAAGAGGGGGGGTGCAATCCAAGCTGGGGAGGTGTCCAGACTGCCCAGCTTCCAAACCCCACAAGATCTCCCCCATCACCACCCTTGGACAGGTGGAAAGGGCACCACGAGGCGATCCCTTCCCCGTCAGTCAGGTTCGTGACGGGGCAATCCATGTTTGAGAGGGGTCCAGCCCCCCCCCAAAATCAAACCCAGCCCCAAACATTGAGATGGGCAGGTCTTGCCGGATCTGTACCATCCCCACCCCTGGGCCGGTGGAAAGGGCACCACGAGGCGATCTCTTCCCAGCCAAGTCAGCTTGGCAAGTGCTGGGGGGGGAGCCATCCAAGCTCAGGAGGGGTCCAGCCCCAACCCAGCCACCCAACCTTGAGGTGGGCAGACCTAGCAGGACCCCCTCCCCAATCACCACCTCTGAGCCGATGGAAAGGGCACCACAAGGAGAACCCTCCCCATCAAAGGGGCAATCCAGACACACACACATACCCCAATCACCCAATCCAGTGCCAGCCCAGCAAGCAAACCTTGAGACACCCCTCCCGCACCCACCCACCAACGCCATCCCTGGGCAGGTGGAAAGGGCACCACGAGGAGAACCCTCCCCATCAAAGGGGCAATCCAGACACACACACAGACACACACACACACACACACACACCAACCACCCAATCCAGTGCCAGCCCAGCAAGCAAACCTTGAGACACCCTCCCCCCGCACCCACCCACCCACCCACCGCCCCCCCCCATCGCCGTCCCTGGGCAGGTGGAAAGGGCACCACGAGGAGATCCCTTCCCAGCCAATGAGCCTCTCCAAGGGGAGAGGGCCATCATCACGAGGAGAAACCATCAAAGGGGCAATACATACACACACACACACACACACACACACACACACACACACACACCAACCACCCAATCCAGTGCCAGCCCAGCAAGCAAATCTTGAGATACCCACCCACCCACCGCCCCCAATCGCCGTCTCTGGACAGGTGGAAAGGGCACCACGAGAAGAACCCTCCCCTTCAAAGGGGCAATCCACACACACACACACACACACACACACACACACACAAACACACACACACACAGAGAGAGAGAGAAACACCCCAACCACCCAATCCAGTGCCAGCCCAGCAAACAAACCTTGAGACACCCCCCCTGCACCCACCGCCCCCCCACCGCCGTCCCTGGGCCGGTGGAAAGGGCACCACGAGGAGATCCCTCCCCATCAAAGGGGCAATCCAGACACACACACACACACACACACACACACACACACACACCAAGCACCCAATCCAGTGCCAGCCCAGCAAGCAAACCTTGAGACACCCTCCCGCACCCACCCACCCACCGCCCGCCCCCCCCTCGCCGTCCCTGGGCCGGTGGAAAGGGCACCACGAGGCGATCCCTTCCCAGCCAATGAGCCTGGCCGAGGGGAGGGGGCCATCCCAGCTGGGGAGGGGGTCTAGCCCCCCCCAGATACAAGCCCCCTCCCAAGGTGGGTGGGGGGGATCGACCTCTCCCAGCTAGAAGACCCCCCCCTCCCCTCCTCCCTCCCTCCCTCCCCAGCCCCGCCCGGACTGCGGCAAGCCCCCCCCCCGCCTCCTCCCCACTCACCTGGGCGGGGCTCCACTCGGCCATGGCCCGGCTGGGCTGGGCTGGGCAACGGCGGGAGAAGCGGAGCGAGGCGGGGACGGAGCGGCCGGTCGGTCCGTCGGTCGGTCCGGAGCGAGGCGGGTTGGTGGGTGGGTGGGTGGGGGGGCTCCGCTGCGGTCCGGTCCAGGAAGCGACGGGGGCTCCGCGCAGGAGCCGCAGCGCCGCCTCGGCCTGCAGCGACGCCGCCTGGCCGGAGGTCGCCACTGCAGCCGCTCTCCGATCCCTCCCCCATCCAGGCTGAGTTTGGGGGGGGGGTCTGGAGCCCCTCCCAAAGAGGGGAGGGGTCTCCTAGGTGGGAGGGGGGAGGTCCCTCCCCCATCCAGGATGAGGTTGGGGGGGGTCTGGACCCCCTCCCAAAGAGGGGAGGGGTCTCCTAGGTGGGAGGGGGGAGGTCCCTCCCCCATCCAGGATGAGTTTGGGAGGGTCTGGACCCCCTCCCAAAGAGGGGAGGGGTCTCCTAGATGGGAGGGGGCGATCCCTCCCCCATCCAGGCTGAGTTTGGGGGGGTCTGGACCCCCTCCCAAAGAGGGGAGGGGTCTCCTAGATGGGAGGGGGCGATCCCTCCCCCATCCAGGCTGAGTTTGGGGGGGTCTGGACCCCCTCCCAAAGAGGGGAGGGGTCTCCTAGATGGGAGGGGGCGATCCCTCCCCCATCCAGGCTGAGTTTGGGGGGGTCTGGACCCCCTCCCAAAGAGGGGAGGGGTCTCCTAGATGGGAGGGGGGGAGGTCCCTCCCCCATCCAGGCTGAGTTTGGGAGGGTCTGGACCCCCTCCCAAAGAGGGGAGGGGTCTCCTAGATGGGAGGGGGCGATCCCTCCCCCATCCCGGCTGAGTTTGGGGGGGTCTGGACCCCCTCCCAAAGAGGGAGGGTCTCCTAGCTGGAGGAGGGCAATCCCGCCCCCTCCAGGCTGAGTTTGGGGGAGTCTGGACCCCCTCCCAAAGAGGGGAGGTCTCCTAGCTGGGAGGGGGCGATCACTCCCCATCCAGGCTGAGTTTGGGGGGGTCTGGACCCCCTCCAAAAGGGGAGGGGTCTCCTAGGTGGGAGGGGGAGGTCCTCCCCCATCCAGGATGTTTGGGGGCTTCTGGACCCCCTCCCAAAGAGGGGAGGGGTCTCCTAGATGGGAGGGGGCGATCCCTCCCCACCCAGGCTGGGTTTGGGGGTCTGGACCCCCTCCCAAAGAGGGGAGGGGTCTCCTAGGTGGGGGGGGGCAATCCTTCCCCATCCAGGTTGAGTTTGAGGGGTCTGGACCCCCTCCCAAGAGGGGGGGGTCTCCTAGATGGAGGGGGGGAGGTCCCTCCCCCATCAGGCTGAGTTTGGGGGGGGTCTGGACCCCCTCCCAAAGAGGGGAGGGGTCTCCTAGGTGGGAGGGGGCGATCCCATCCAGGCTGAGTTTGGGGGGGTCTGGACCCCCTCCCAAAGAGGGGAGGGGTCTCCTCGATGGGAGGGGGCGATCCCTCCCCATCCAGGCTGGGTTTGGGGGGTCTGGACCCCCTCCCAAAGAGGGGAGGGGTCTCCTAGATGGGGGTGCGATCCCTCCCCCATCCAGGTTGAGTTTGAGGGGTCTGGACCCCCTCCCAAAGAGGGGAGGGGTCTCCTAGATGGGGGGGCGATCCCTCCCCATCCAGGCTGAGTTTGGGGGGGTCTGGACCCCCTCCCAAAGAGGGGAGGGGTCTCCTAGGTGGGGGGGGGCAATCCTTCCCCATCCAGGTTGAGTTTGAGGGGTCTGATGGGGGGGGGAGGTCCCTCCCCCATCCAGGCTGAGTTTGGGGGGGGTCTGGACCCCCTCCCAAAGAGGGGAGGGGTCTCCTAGGTGGGAGGGGGCGATCCCATCCAGGCTGAGTTTGGGGGGGTCTGGACCCCCTCCCAAAGTGGGGAGGGGTCTCCTAGATGGGAGGGGGCGATCCCTCCCCATCCAGGCTGGGTTTGGGGGGTCTGGACCCCCTCCCAAAGAGGGGAAGGGTCTCCTAGATGGGAGGGGGGGAGGTCCCTCCCCCATCCAGGCTGAGTTTGGGGGGGTCTGGACCCCCTCCCAAAGAGGGGAGGGGTCTCCTAGATGGGAGGGGGGCGATCCCTCCCCATCCAGTTTCAGTTTGGGGGGGGGTCTGGACCCCCTCCCAAAGAGGGGAGGGGTCTCCTAGATGGGGGGGGCGATCCTTTCCCATCCAGGCTACGTTTGGGGGGGTCTGGACCCCCTCCCAAACAGGGGAGGGGTCTCCTAGATAGGAGGGGGCGATCCCTCCTCACGCAGGCTGACTTTGGGGGGGGGTCTTCTACCTGGGAGCGTGGACTTTGCCGGGATGGGATCTCCTCGTGGTCTCCTTTCCATCCAAACTGGGTTTGGGGGAGGGGTCAGGAGCCCTCCCGCCCTTGGATTTTGCCCCCTTGGCGAGGCTGCCTTGGCCGGGAAGGGATCTCCTCGGGGCGCCCTTTCCCCCTGCCCACGGAGGGCCCGCAGGATCCGCCCACCTCGAGGTTTGGTGGGCGAGGTTGGCTTAGATCTCCTCGTGGTGCCCTTTCCGTCAACCCGACTTTCCTCCTCTTCCTCCACCCCCCCCCCAAAAAAAAAATCGGATCAGGAGTTGCACAGACAGCCGGTCTCCTACCTCGCAGGGTTGTGGCTTGGATGGCAGGGGAATGGAGCCAGGGAGGGGCCAGCAGGAGCGTACCGCAGGGGGAGAGGCGGGAGGGGAGGAGGGAGAAGGGAGAGGGAGGGAGAAGGGGGGGCAACAAGTCTGAGGGGTGGCTAGTCCTGGTGGGGGGGTCAAATTGGGGACCCTGAGACCCTCCAGTCGGGAGGGGATTCTTGAGGGAGAAGGGTAATAATAATAATGATGATGATGATGATGATGATGATGATGACAACGACGACCCTGGAGGTCATCTAGTCCAACCTCCTTGCTCAAGGAGTCGATCCTGACGGAATCATATTGGAAGGGACCCTGGGAGGTCATCTAGTCCAACCCCCTTGCTCAAGGAGGAGATCCTGACGGAATCATATTGGAAGGGACCCTGGGAGGTCATCTAGTCCAACCCCCTGCTCAAGAAGGAGATCCTGACGGAATCATATTGGAAGGTACCCTGGGAGGTCATCCAGTCCAACCCCCTTGCTCAAGGAGGAGATCCTGACGGAATCATATTGGAAGGGATCCTGGGAGGTCATCCAGTCCAACCCCCTGCTCAAGCAGCAGATCCTTACAGAATCATGTTGGGACTTTAGAGGTCATCCAGTTCAACCGCCCCCCCCTCAGGCAGGTCGGTGGAAGGGAGGGAGAAGGGGGGAGTAGGTCTGGGGGTGGCTAGTCCTGGTTGGGGGGGGGTAAATTGGGAACCCTGAGACCCTCCAGATGGGAGGGGATTCTTGAGGGGGAAGGATAATAATGATGATGATGATGATGATGATGATCCTGGAGGTCATTTAGTACAACCCCCTGCTCAAGGAGGAGATCCTGACGGAATCATATTGGAAGGGACCCTGGAGGTCATCTAGTCCAACCCCCTGCTCAAGGAGGAGATCCTGACGGAATCATATTGGAAGGGACCCTGGGAGGTCATCCAGTCCAACCCCCCTGCTCAGGCAGGTCAGTGAGAGGGAGGGAGGGAGGGAGGGAGGGAGGGAGAAGGGAGCAGTAGGTCTTGGGGTGGCTAGTCCTGGTGGGGGGGGGGCGAATTGGAGACCCTGAGACCCTCCAGACGGGAGGGGATTCTTGAGGGGGAAGGATAATAATGATGATGACGATCCTGGAGGTCATCTAGTCCAACCCCCTTGCTCAAGGAGGAGATCCTGACGGAATCATATTGGAAGGGACCCTGGGAGGTCATCTAGTCCAACCCCCTTGCTCAAGGAGGAGATCCTGACGGAATCATATTGGAAGGGACCCTGGGAGGTCATCTAGTCCAACCCCCTTGCTCAAGGAGGAGATCCTGACGGAATCATATTGGAAGGCACCCTGGGAGGTCATCTAGTCCAACCCCCTGCTCAAGGAGGAGATCCTTACAGAATCATGTTGGAAGGCACCCTGGGAGGTCATCTAGCCCAATCCCCTGCTCAAGGAGGGGATCCTGACGGAATCATATTGAAAGGGACCTTAGAGGTCATCCAGTCCAACCCCCTTAGTCTGGCAAGTCGGTGGGAGGGAGGGAGGAAGGGAGGGAGGGAGAAGGGGGCAGTAGGTCCTGTTGGGGGAGGGCGGATTGGGGACCCTGAGACCCTCCAGAGGGGAGGGGATTTTGAGGGGGAAGGGTAATAATGATGATGATGATCCTGGAGGTCATCTAGTCCAACTCCCTGCTCAAGGAGGAGGAGATCCTGGCGGAATCATATTGGAAGGGACCTGGGAGTCATCTAGTCCAACCCCCTGCTCAAGGAGGAGATTCTGACGGAATCATATTGGAAGGGGGCCTGGGAGGTCATCTAGTCTAACCCCCTGCTCAAGGAGGGGATCCTGACGGAATCATATTGAAAGGGACCTTGGAGGTCATCCAGTCCAGCCCCCTGCTCAAGAAGGAGATCCTGACGGAATCATATTGGAAGGGATCCTGCGAGGTCATGTAGCTCAACCCCCTGCTCGAGGAGATCCTGTCGGAATCATATTGGAAGGGACCCTGGGAGGTCATCCAGTCCAACCCCACTGCTCAGGAAGGTCGGAGGGAGGGAGGGAGGGAGAAGGGGGGAGTAGGTCCTGTTGGGGGAGGGCGGATTGGGGACTCTGAGACCCTCCAGAGGGGAGGGGGGAGGAAGGGAGGAGGGAAGAAAGTTAGGAGGGAGGGGGCAGGGAAGGAGCAGGGGACAGCCTCCCCTCCCCTCCTCCTCCCTCCCCTTCTCCTTTCCCCCCTCCCCCCGGCTTTTCCAGACCCCCCCCCCCCGCTTCCCCGCCCTGCGTGGAAGAGAGAAAGAGAGAGAGAGAGACCCTCGTGCAAAGCCGCTGGAACTCCCCGCCACCTGAGCCGAACATCGGGAGTTCCGTCCGTTGCAGCTGCGAACGAAGAACGGGACGACCCCTCCCCTCAACCTCCCCCCTCCCTTTAACGGCCAGTGCAGCAGCTCCGGAGCCCGGACGGGGCAGATCGAGCGGGGTAGGGGGGGGTCTCTCCCCACTCCCCCCACTAAACCCCGCACCCCCCCCATTTCCAGGCAGTTGGTATGATCTGGGATACCCTTGGCTGGCTGGCTGCCCGTTTTTGGGTGGGTGGGGGGTCTTCAGGGATGAAGTGTTGCCCCCTCCCCACCACCAGCCCTGGGACCCCTCCCGGCATTTGAAAAGGGGGAGCAGAGCAAAGGCTCTTTGTGTGTTTGTGTGTGTGTGTGTGTGTAGCCCCTCCCACTGGAGCTGGAGCAGACCCTCCCCCCAGGAATTGGGTGGGAGGGGGTCCCTCCGGCCTCTCTTTCTCCCCCCCGTCCATTCAAGGGTGCAAAGAATAATGAGGGGGTCTTTCCACTGGCCCCCCACTTTTTCCCTTTCTTCCCCATTTGGAGAGAGTTTAGAGACCTGGAAAGAAGAGGGGACTTCAACTCCCAGAGTTCCTCAGCTCGCCGCGGAAGCCCGGATTTGGACTCCCAGATTTCCGGATGGGGGATTCTGGGAGTGGAAGTCCTCCCCTCTTAAAGCAGGCCGGCTGGGGGATTCTGGGAGTTGGTCCTCCCAAAGAATGCCAGCTGGGGGATTCTGGGAGTGGAAGTTGTCCCCTCTTAAAGCAGGCTGGCTGGAGGATTCTGGGAGTTGAAGCCCATCCCGCTGAAAGCATGCTGGCTGGGGGATTCTGGGAGTTGAAATCCACCCCTTTAAAGCATGCCGAATGGGGGATTCTGGGAGTTGAAGTCCTCCCCTCTTAAAGCACGCCGGCTGGGGGATTCTGGGACTTGAAGTCCTCCCCTCTTAAAGCAGGCCGGCTGGGGGATTCTGGGAGTTGGTCCTCCCAAAGAATGCCAGCTGGGGGATTCTGGGAGTGGAAGTCATCCCCTCTTAAAGCAGGCCGGCTGGGGAATTCTGGGAGTTGAAGCCCATCCCACTGAAAGCATGCTGTCTGGGGGATTCTGGGACTTGAAGTCCTCCCCTCTTAAAGTATGCCGGCTGGGGGATTCTGGGAGTTGGTCCTGCCAAAGAATGCCAGCTGGGGGATTCTGGGAGTGGAAGTCGTCCCCTCTTAAAGCAGGCCGGCTGGGGGATTCTGGGAGTTGAAGCCCATCCCACTGAAAGCATGCTGTCTGGGGGATTCTGGGACTTGAAGTCCTCCCCTCTTAAAGCATGCCGGCTGGGGGATTCTGGGAGTTGAAGTCCTCCCAAAGAATGCCAGCTGGGGGATTCTGAGAGTTGAAGCCCATCCCGCTGAAAGCATGCTGGCTGGGGGATTCTGGGAGTTGAAACCCACCCCTTTAAAGCATGCCGAATGGGGGATTCTGGGAGTGGAAGTCCTCCCCTCTTCAGGTGGCGGCCCTTCCACCAGACCTCCCCAACCTGTTCTCCCTTTGCATCCTGCCCCCCTCCTTATTGTGTCCTCCAGCCCACAAACACACCGTGCCCTCCCTGCCACACACACACACACAGAGTCACACACACAAACACACACACAGACACAAACAGAAAAATTTCCAGCTGCCAGGAACAGGGTTTTTTTTTTTTTCCCCTGGCCCCTCCTAAACTGGGGTGGCGCTGCCGGGTTTCTTTCGTCAAGGCACCATTGTTTGCCTGCCCGGCCTACTGGCGGGCGCCCCGTCCAATCCCGGGCAGAGAGAGATGCTGGAGAAGCGGGCAGCACCAATGGGAGGAGGCGATGTAGCCGGGCAGAGGCTGGGCAGGGCCAAGGGAGGGGGGGGGCTGGGACAGGCCTGGGAAAGGGGGGGGTAGGAGGAGGCGAGCCTCGCCATGGCCTGTCTGCCCCGGGCTTCGGGGTGAGGCCTATGGACCAGTTTGGGGGTCGACCTGCCCACCAGGTGATGCTCCAGCATCCTTTCTCCTCCTGCATCCCTGCCACAGCATCCACAGACGGTACCCGCAGGCTGTGCTGAGCACCCAGCCGGGCGGCAGGTGGGAGGACCAAGCCAGGCCAGCAGACCACAAAACCCCTCTTCCCCAGCCAGGTGAGGGGTGGGATGGGGCGTCTGGTCCACCTGGAGGACCCCTCAGGTGAGATCTCAGCCCGCAAGGGGGGGGGAGAGCATGGGACCAGGAAGGAGGTTTCCTGCCCTCCTGTCTTTGCATCCGGCCGATTGGGAGAGGGGAGGGAAGTGGATGGGTGGGTAGATTAGATTCAGGTTTGAAATAATAGGGGGGGGCGGTCTCCGGCTTGAGCAGGGGGCTGGACTAGAGGACCTCCGAGGTCCCTTCCCACTCTGTCATGCTGTGATTCTGTAAGGGTCTCCGGCTTGAGCAGGGGGCTGGACTAGAGGACCTCCGAGGTCCCTTTCGACTCTTCTCCTGTTGTTCGGGGGGGGGGGTGGAAGGGGCCGCACGGGTGGGCCGGGCCACAAGGCCACTGGGATGGAAGGCATGTAAATCCTTTCCCTCCATAACTTCGACTCCCAGAATCCCCCAGCCGGCATGCTTTAAGAATGGAGGACTTCCACTCCCAGAATCCCCCAGCCTGCATGCTTTAAGAGGGGGGGACTTCCACTCCCAGAATCCCCCAGTCTCCATGCTTTAAGAGGGGGGGACTTCCACTCCCAAAATCCCCCAGTCTCCATGCTTTAAGAGGGGGGGACTTCCATTCCCAGAATCCCCCAGTCTCCATGCTTTAAGAGGGGGGGACTTCCACTCCCAGAATCCCCCAGTCTCCATGCTTTAAGGGGGGGGGGACTTCCACTCCCAGAATCCCCCAGTCTCCATGCTTTAAGAGAGGGGGACTTCCATTCCCAGAATCCCCCAGTCTCCATGCTTTAAGAGGGGGGGGACTTCCACTCCCAGAATCCCCCAGTCTCCATGCTTTAAGAATGGAGGACTTCCACTCCCAGAATCCCCCAGCCTGCATGCTTAAGAGGGGAGGACTTCCACTCCCAGAATCCCCCAGCCGTTATGCTATAAGAGGGGGTGGACTTCAACTCCCAGAATCCACCAGCCCGCCTGCTTTAAGAGGGGAGGACTTCAATTCCCAGAATCCCCCAGCCGGTGTGCTTTAAGAGGGGAGGACTTCCACTCCCAGAATTCCATGCTGGTTGGGGAACTCTGGGAATCAATGTCCCCTCATCTTAACGTTGCTCAGCTTGACAAACTCTGCTCTCAGAAGCTTTTTGCTCCTTTTTTTTCCCCTTCTGAACTTTCAACGGTCGCTAAACAAATCGTCGTAAGCCGAGGACTAACTACTACTGGTGTCAATTGTATAATGTCTATTGGTACAATGCCCAGAGTCACTTAGGCAGGGTGGTGCCTAAAGATGATAAACAAACAAACAAAGAAATAAAGCTAGTCCTTTATTTAGCAACCCGACGTTACGACCGCTTTGAAAACAAAGTGGCTTACGACCAGTTTTTCACGTTTAATGACCATTGCCGCTTCTCTATGGTCCCACGATCAAAATTCGGATGCTGGGCAGCTGACTCACGTTTACGACGGTCGCAGCGTCCCCCGGGGAGGTGTCACGTGCTCAAAATTCAGACGCTCGGCAACCGACTCATATTTACGACGGTCGCAGTGTCCCGCGGTCACGTGTTCAAAATTCAGACGCTTGGCAACCGACTCGTATTTACGACGGTCGCAGCGTCCCATGGTCACGTGATCAAAATTCAGATGCTTGTCCACCGACTCGTATTTACGACGGTCGCAGCGTCCCATGGTCACGTGACCAAAATTCAGACGCTTGTCCACCGACTTGTATTTACGACAGTCGTAGTGTCCCGCGGTCACGTGTTCAAAATTCAGACGCTTGGCAACCGACTCGTATTTACGACGGTTGCAGCGTCCCACGGTCACGTGATCAAAATTCAGACACTTGTCTACCGACTTGTATTTATGACGGTCGCAGTGTCCCAGAGTCACGTGTTCAAAATTCAGACGCTTGGCAACTGACTCATATTTACGACAGTCGTAGTGTCCCGCGGTCACGTAATCAAAATTTAGACGCTTGGCAACCGACTCGTATTTACGACGGTCGCAGCGTCCCGCAGTCACGTGCTCCCAATTCAGACACTGGGCAACCGACTCGTATTTACGACGGTCGCAGCGTCCCACGGTCACGTGATCCAAATTCAGACGCTTGTCCACCGACTCGTATTTATGACGGTCGTAGTGTCCCAGAATCACGTGCTCAAAATTCAGACGCTTGGCAACCGACTCGTATTTATGACGGTCGCAGTGTCCCAGAATCACGTGCTCAAAATTCAGACACTTGGCAACCGACTCGTATTTATGACGGTCGCAGTGTCCCAGAGTCACGTGATCAAAATTCAGACGCTTGGCAACCGACTCGTTTTTATGACGGTCGCACTGTCCCAGAGTCACATGATCAAAATTCAGACGCTTGGCAACCGACTCGCATTTACGACAGTCATAGTGTCCCGCGGTCCCGCGATCAAAATTTAGACGCTTGGCAACCGACTCATATTTACGACGGTCGCAGTGTCCCAGAGTCACGTGATCAAAATTCAGACGCTTGGCAACCGACTCGTATTTATGACGGTCGCACTGTCCCAGAGTCACGTGATCAAAATTCAGACGCTTGGCAACCGACTCGTATTTACGACGGTCGCAGCGTACCCGGGGTCACGTGATCCAAATTCAAAGGAGGCAAAACTCACGTAGCCAGTGCCTCCCTTAGCGACCGACGTTTGGGGGGAGGGGGGTCGATGCTGGTCGTTAAGCCGAGGACTCCCTTTTAGTGACATTGATAGAAGACTCGTCCCAGACTCCCAGGAATGGGGGGGCTCCAGAGCTGAGCGGGTTCTTCTTCCGTCCCCTGCAGGTTTGGCTGGCCTCTGAGTACCCCGCGAGCGAAGAGCTGGGCGATGCATCTGCCGAGCCGCTGAGGATGATGAAGGAGATGGAGGACGAGCAGGAGAACTGCAGCTATCAGGGACCTGGTGGGTCTCCAGCTGATTTTTTTTGGGGGGGGAACTCTGAAAATTTTTCCTTTCTTTCTTTTTTTGGGGGGGACCATGGCAGTTTGTCCCGAGACAGACAATGGCCTGTTCGAAAAGAGACGGGCCGGGTGGAGAATCGCGGTTTAATTTGAATAGAAAACGGGAAGTTCACGATGGAAGGGGGGGGGGGCTTGGTGCTCTCTGAGCTGTGTGGTTTTCCTTGCAGACGTCTCAGGACCTAGCTAGGGAACGTCATCAGTGCTGGAAGGAAGGAAGGAGGAGGGAGGGAGGAAGGAAGGAAGGAAGGAAGGAAGGAAGGAAGGAAGGAAGGAAGGAAGGAAGGAAGGAAGGGGAAAGGACTGTGGGGTCCTTGGTGCTCTCTGAGCTGAGTGGTTTTCCTTGCAGACGTTTCATAACCCAACTAGGGAAGTCATCAGAGCTGGAAGGAAGGAAGGAAGGAAGGAAGGAAGGAAGGAGAGGAGGAGGGAGGGAGGGAGGGAGGAGAGGAGGAGGAGGGGAGGGAGGGAGGGAGGAAGGAAGGAAGGAAGGAAGGAAGGAGAGGAGGGAGGGAGGAGAGGAGGAGGAGGAGGGAGGAAGGAAGGAAGGAGAGGAGGAGGGAGGGAGGGAGGGAGGGAGGAGAGGAGGAGGAGGAGGGAGGAAGGAAGGAAGGAAGGAAGGAAGGAAGGAAGGAAGGAAGGAAGGAAGGAAGGAAGGAAGGAAGGAAGGAAGGAAGGGGAAAGGACTGTGGGGTCCTATGTGCTCTCTGAGCTGAGTGGTTTTCCTTGCAGACGTCTCAGGACCTAGCTAGGGAACGTCATTAGTGCTGAAAGGAAGGAAGGAAGGAAGGAAGGAAGGAAGGAAGGAAGGAAGGAAGGAAGGAAGGAAGGAGAGGAGGAGGGAGGGAGGGAGGGAGGGAGGAAGGAAGGAAGGAAGGAAGGAAGGAAGGAAGGAAGGAAGGAAGGAAGGAAGGGGAAAGGACTGTGGGGTCCTATGTGCTCTCTGAGCTGAGTGGTTTTCCTTGCAGACGTTTCATAACCCAACTAGGGAACGTCATCAGTGCTGGAAGGAAGGAAGGAAGGAAGGAAGGAAGGAAGGAGAGGAGGAGGGAGGGAGGGAGGAGAGGAGGAGGAGGAGGGAGGGAGGAAGGAAGGAAGGAAGGAAGGAAGGAGGGAGGAGAGGAGGAGGAGGGAGGAAGGAAGGAAGGAAGGAAGGAAGGAAGGAAGGAAGGAAGGAAGGAAGGAAGGAAGGAAGGAAGGAAGGAAAGAAGGAAGGAAGGGGAAAGGACTGTGGGGTCCTATGTGCTCTCTGAGCTGAGTGGTTTTCCTTGCAGACGTTTTATAACCCAACTAGGGAACGTCATCAGTGCTAGAAGGAAGGAAGGAAGGCAGGAAGGAAGGAAGGAAGGAAGGAAGGGAAGGAGGAGGAGGAGGAGGAGGAGGAGGAGGAGGAGGAGGAGGAACTGTGGGGTCCTTGGTGCTCTCTGAGCTGGGTGGTTTTCCTTGCAGACCTTTCAGGACCCAACTAGGGAACGTCATCAGTGCTAGAAGGAAGGTGGGAGTTATGGAGAGGAGGAGGGAAGGAGAAGGAGGAAGAGAGGAAGGAGAGAGGGAGGAGGAGAAGGGGAAAGAGAGAGAAAAGGAGAGGGAGGAGAGGAGGAAGGACTGTCGGGTCCTGGATGCTCTCTGAGCTGGGTGGTTTTCCTTGCAGACGTCTCAGGACCCAACTAGGGAACATCATTGGGGCTAGAAGGGAGGATGAGGAGGGGGAGGAGGAGGAGGAGGAGGACGACGACGACGATGACGACGACTGCGGGATCCTTGATGCTGAGTTGGGTGGTTTCCTTGTAGACATTTTATGACCCAACTCGGTAACATCATCAGTGCTAGAATAGAATGGATTTTTCAGGGAGGAGGAGGAGGAGGAAGAAGAAAAGAGGAGGAGGAGGAGGAGGAGGAGGAGGAGGAGGAGGAGGAGGAGGAGGAGGAGGAGGAGGAGGAGGAGGAGGAGGAGGAGGAGGAGGAAGAAAATGACGGTGGGATCCTTGGGGCTCTCTTAGCTGGGCGGTGACCTTGCAGACGTTTCTTTACCAAACTAGTTAACACCATCAGGCTTTGCCTTCTTGACTCTTGCAAGGACATTATCGAGTTAACCTTGCTCTGCTTTTTTTTTTTTTTCCTCCCCCCCCCCCGCAGAAGAGAGCTGGCAGCCCACCATTATCAAACAGGAGGAAGAGGAGGAGGAAGAGGGACTGGAGGCGCAGCTGAGCCGGCTGGCGGCCGCCAGCGCTTCGAAATGTGCCACCAACGGGCTCCACCAGATCGTCCAAAAGCTGAGCGGCGCCGAGCCCCTGCAGCTGGTGGGACCCGGGGCCACCAGCGAGGAGGTCGTGCTCCTGGACTACAGGGTGAACCCTTTAATTCGGGCCGGCAGACCCCCCCTGGGGGAGACGTCCCACTGGTGCCTGGAATGCGGGAAGAACTTCGGCCAGAAATCTGAGCTGGAAGCCCACCAGGCCAAGCATCACGCCGGGCAGAACTCCTACATCTGCGGCGACTGCGGGCGCAGCTTCATGGAGCACATGGCGCTGGCGGCCGGGCAGGGGGGCTGTGCCGCCGGACACCCTTTCGCCCCTTCCGGCAGCCGGAGGAAGGGGCCGGCCCTGAGCAACGAAGCCGGGGTGCAACGCAAGGAGCGGAAAGAACTCTCTCTGCAGGAGAAGGTCCGCGTGCTGGAGATGCTGGAAGGGCCCAAGGTCTCGCAGAGCGAACTGGCCAAGCGGTTCGGGGTGTCCCAGCCCCAAATTTGCCGCATCATCAAGAACAAGGAGCGCATCCTGGCCGAGTGGGGTAAAAACCCCAACCCGGCTCGCAAACGCAAGCTGGAAGACAGAGCTCCGCCTGGCGGCGACCGAACGTTCCTGCAGTGGTTCGAACGCAGCTGCGGACACCCGTTCCCGGCGGACGGCAGACTTTGGCAAGAGAAAATCGCCTTTGGAGGGGGAGAAGCCGGCTTGGAGACCACCCTTCCGTGGCCGAACGGCTCCCCGGCCAAGCCCAAAATCAGCCCCCGGAGGGCCCTTCCGGAGAAATGGAACCGGGAAGTGCTGGAAGAGGATGACGACGAAGACGAAAGTCGCTGGGAAAGTACGACGCTGCCGTGTATCCTCAGCCACTACGATCTTCCCAACGTCTACGCTTGCGGGGAGACCGGGATGCTGTTTCGGGCCACCCCCGAAGATCTGGCGTCCCGGAACGGCAGCGAAGGCCAGGACCAGCTGACCATCTTGCTGTGCGCCAACATGGACGGCTCGGATAAGAGGGACGTGCTGATCGTGGGCAAGGCCGCCCGTCCGTTTGCCGGCCTTCGGGGCTTGTCTTCCGCCACCTACCGGGTTCAAAACCGGGCCTGGATGACCCCGGCCATCTTTTCCGAGTGGCTGCAGAAGTTTAACGAGGAGGTGAAGCATCAGGAGAGGCGCGTGGCCCTTTTCGTGACGCAGTGCGCCGCCCACCCCTACGCCGAGCTCTCCAACGTCCAGATGGTCTTCATGCCACCTCACGTCGCCTGGCTGCCTCCCCTGGAGCAAGGGGTGGTCCAGAATTTCAAGTGCCACTATCGGAGAAGGATGTTGACCCACCTCTTGGTCAAGGACCACGGCAGAGCCTCCAGCCCCTCCACCGGCCAGCTCTCCCAGTTCCTCAGCCTCCTGGATGCCATCCACCTGGTGGTCCAAGCCTGGTCCGAGGTCTGCCCTCAAACCATCGCCAACTCTTTCAAAGCGGCCGGCTTCAGCGCGAACCCCCGTCTACTTACCCCGCCGTTGGAAGTGGTCCGAGCCCTGGGCTGCAAGGATCAAGATCAATTTGAGCAGTTCGTTTTGATGGACGAAGGGCTGGAGTGCTTCGGAGAACAGGACGGCGTGGACCCGACCAGGGAGACCCCTCGAGAGCAAGAACCCAACTCGGCGAGAGGAGGAGGGGGGGAGGAGGAGGAAGAGGAGGAGGAGAAGGAGGAGGAATCGGCCCTCTTCTCCTGCCCCTCCAAGCCGGACGTCGTGGACAGCTTGGCGAAGCTACGGCGCTACCTGGAGTGCCACGCCGTGTCGCCCAACATCTTCCAGACCTTCTACCAGCTGGAGGATCTCATCCACGCCCTGGCTCTCTCCGACATGCAGTTAGCCAAAGGGAGATCTTGCCAAGATTGACTCTCAACGTAGCCCTGGAACCGGTGGACCATTCCGGATCCCTGAAACAGGATGTCCAGGAATCCACTGACGTGCGGTTTGTTTTTTTGGGGGGGAGGGTCTTCTGGACACCCTGTACAGTCTCCAAGTAGTTTTGGCAACGTAGCATCGAGTGAGAATCCTGCCGTTTTCCTCCTGAGAATTAGAAGCATGCAGAGAAGAACTACAGAGTAGCCGTAAGACACGAGCGAGGGGGAATGTTTTGTGGACCTAGCTGTCCACAAATTCTTCTCGCGGGGAAGCTGGGGAGGGAGCAATGGGCAACTCGGCTTCCTTTTGACCCGTGACCCGACTTTTGCTTACACACCACGTTGTGTGTGTGTGTCTGTCCAATTGTGACTTTTAAACCATGGCTTTGCCTAGGGAAGCCCTCTCCACTAGCGGTTGAGTACAGGTTTAGGAAAAGTGGGAAGGCCGCTGCGGATTGCCGCGTGTGGATAAGTGAAAGCCCTGGGGGTTCCCAGGGGGAGGGGCCGAACAATGCCACACCCACACAGGCAATCGAGGGGAGTCGGTCCCATGCGACGGGTGCAAAGGACAGCCACGGCATCCCACCCGCGCGTGGGGCGAGGGGCCTTGTCCTCTGACTTGTACGGGACACCGTAGATCAGTAGGAGACGTAATATCGGTCCCTTGGCCTGTACGGGAACATACCTCTATCTATAGAGGATCGACGATGTTGGGTGGACCACGGAGAAGGCTTAACGGTTGGGGAGAGAGGACCTTAGGGGTCATGGCGCCCGAACAGGGGCTCTTCTTCTGGCATCCTGACGGACGCCGTGACCAGACTTAGTACTCTTCCCCAAGAGGAACCCACAGCAGGATCGGGGCGACAAAAACATGACAATAAAGGTTATCTTATCTGAGTAGCTGTGGGGCATCTGGGGAAGTTGGCCCACTTCCCTGAGAATTTCTGCAGGACCTCAACCTCCTGGGGCGGGTCTTCCATTTCAAGCCCTCCTTGGTCACCAGCCGTGGAGCAGACCACCCCCTCGTTGGAGAAGACCACGCGTGAAGGCCAGAAGCTACGTCGGGGACAACAGCAACTTGGAGAGAGAAAGTTTTAGAGTTTCCCAGAATCCCCCTGGTTTTTGAAGAATAAGAGTGAGGGATGTAGGAGGCTGTTTAGACACCCCCCCTCCCCTGGGCTCGTTCTGAAGGACTTCTCTGACGGGATGCCAATAAAGTGTTCAAAGGCCGATGTTTGTCGTGGGTTTGTTATGGAGATCCGTGTGTTGCTTTGCCCAGATAGACACAAGGACAGTATCACATTCTGCATCAGAGTAATAATGGCGGGACTTCTGGGGTATCCTCAGTCGTGCGTCGTTTGCTTCACAGCCTCATGACCACCACACAAAAGATTTTTTTATCTATCTATATCTGTACCGACATCTATCATCTCTCTCTTGTCCATCCATCAAATTGATCATCATCCATTCATATCTATGTCATCCATTAATCTCTATTATGTCTGTCTGTCTATATCTATCTACCTACCTACCTACCTACCTACCTACCTACCTATCTATATCTATCTATCTATCTATCTATCTATCTATCTATCTATCTATCTATCTCTACATCTGTTGTCTAATTTATCATCTATCTGTCTGTCTATGTCTGTATCTATCTATATCTCTATATCTACATCTGTTGTCTAATTTATCATCTGTCTGTCTGTCTATATATGTATATCTATATCTGTTGTTTGTATATTATCTATATCTATCTCTGTCTGTTGTCTAATTTATCATCTATGTCAGTGGTTCTCAACCTGTGGGTCGGGACCCCATTTGGGGTCGAATGACCATTTCACGGTCGCCAAACAACACAGTCCGCCATTTTTTCCCCCTTTTCCTTAGCTGTGCTACTCCCTTTTATTCTATTGGCTTTTGAAAGCCAATAGAATACTCTCTCTTGAATAGAGTCTAATTCTATTTGCTTTCAAAAGCCAATAGGAATTGTCCAGGCTGTCTTTGCCCTGCTGAGCCCGCCAAAAGTCCCATTCTGCAAATGGTGCTGCACCAGTTGAGTAGTCCTCGACTTACGACCGGTTGAGTAGTCCTCGACTTCTGACCGGTTGGGGTCACGGCATTAAAAAGGTTGAGAACCATTGATCTATATCATCTATCTCTATCTATCTATCTATCTATCTATCTATCTATCTATCTATCTATCTATCTATCTAATTCATCTATTGTCTAATAATTTATCTGTCTATATTGATATCATCTATCTATCTCTATCTCTATCAACATCTGTTGTCTAATTTATCATCTATGTCTGTCTGTCTATATTTATCTATCTATCTATATCTATCTATCTATCTATCTTATATCTATCCGTTGTCTAATTGTCTATATCATTATCATCTATCTCTCTATCTGTTGTCTAATTTATTATCTATCTATCTATCTATCTATCTATCTATCTATCTATCTATCTATCTATCTAATCCATCTATTGTCTAATTTTTCTGTCTATATCATCTGTATATCATCTATCTCTATATCTGTCTATATCATCTCATATAATCTCTCATCTATCTCTATCTATATCTTATATCATCTATATCATCTCTATATCTTATAATCTATCATCTGTATCTATCTATCTCTATCTAATCCATCTATTGTCTAATTTGTCTGTCTTTATCTTCTATCTACTGTCTGTCTATCTATCTATCTATCTATCTATCTATCTATCTATCTATCTATCTCATATCTATCTCATCTATATCATTAATCAATCAAGCTAGCTATCTTATCAATCTATATCTTCATTCTATCATCTCTTACCTATCATGTCAATCTATCATCTATCTAGCATATCACCTAATCATCTATTTATCCATCCATCTACATATATATCTATGTATCTATTATATCCATTTATATCTTATTATGTATCTATTCACTCCATAATCCCTCCGTCAATCATTTCCCCCTTCCCTCCCTCTCTCCCTCTATCCATCCAATCCTCCATCTACATCCGTTCATCGGCTATACATCTGTGCACAGCTGTGTGACTAACTTCACACCCGCAGCGATTCCATGATTGGAAGAACGATAGCGAAATGGGGCGAAGCCCCCTTTAATGACCGCTAAATTTGGGGCCGAATTGCCACCGTTAAGTCGAGGACGACCTGTGGTATAATTTTCAACGGGTGACAGAGTTAAGGTTTTTCTTTTGTTCCAGACAAATAGGGAAAAAAATGGGTTCCGAACAAAAGTTGACCAAAATTTATTGTCTCTAAACTGTTTTTTTTTTAATCAAAAAGACTCTCGCAGTTTGCTTTCTGTGTGCATAACGGTGTTTGCACACGTTTAACAACTTCCCAACTCAACACCCTACTAGACAGGGTTTCTCAACCTTGACAATTTTTAAGACACGTGGACTTCAACTCCCAGAATTCCCCAGCTAGCATACATTAAGATGTGTGGACTTCAACTCCCAGAATTCCCCAGCCAGCATTCTTTAAGAGTGTAGGACTTCCACTCCCAGAATCCCCCAGCCAGCATCCGTTAAGATCTGTGGACTTCAACTCCCAGAATTCCCCAGCCAGCATGCTTTAAGAGGGGTGGACTTCAATTCCCAGAATTCCCCAGCCAGCATACATTAAGATCTATGGACTTCAATTCCCAGAATCCCCCAGTCAGCGTCCATTGAGATGTTTGGATTTCAACTCCCAGAATTGCCCAGCCAGCATGCGTTAAGAGTTTCCTACCTAAGCAGGGGGTTGGACTAGAAGACCTCTAAGGTCCCTTCCAACTCTATTATGGTTATTGTGTAGACTTCAACTCCCAGAATTTGACGCTGGCTGGGGAATTCTGGGAGTTGAAGTCCACCTGTCTTAAAGTTGCAAAGGTCGAAGAACGCAGTTTCCACAGCACTGTGAGTAACGAACATGTACAAAATCCAGCTACTATTCATATATGCAGATTCTTTTGTTAATGAGCAATATTGATTAATTAGGTTAATAGATTTAATATTTTGTTTCATCAACGGAGCAACTGATAGAAGATTGCTGGCTCCTGAATCAGGGATTTCCCCACTCTGTTGTGAATTCTATACTTATACATGCCTGGCATGAAGGACTTAGCCTGGAATCTTAAAGAGCCGGAAGGAAGCCAGGGGTCATCTAGTCCAACCCCTGCCCTGGTTGCAGGACTCTACTGCCGTCTCTCTGCCAGATGCATGGGGAAGCTTTGAAAGCTGCCGAGGGCCGTCAGCTCAGAGAGTTCGAAGCCGTCTTTCTCAATCTTTGCACCTTTTCAGACTCCCAGAATTCCATGCTGGCTGGGGAATTCTGGGAGTCGAAGTCCGCACAGCTTCCAAGGGCTATGGTGGAGAAGCGCTTCTTTAAAGCCGAGTTCCCCAACCTTTCGGGATTGGCGGCCCAGAGGGGGCAAGGGGCAGGCACGCAAGTGAGACCGAGAGCAGCGGTGACATTCGCACCAGGTTCCCGGCACTTGTACGAGTAGGGCGGCGAGTCCCCGTGACACTTCAAGCGGGGACGCCGAATTCCCACGGCGCTCAAGCAAGCGGGGCCCCGAATGCCCACGACACTTGCGCCGCAGCCCGCAGGTTGGAGACCCCTGTATCAAAGAGACAAATCGATAGAGAAGCGGACTCTCTAGCATGCCCAGTCTCGATGGCCTTTTGCAACCAGGACCCTCAGTGGCAACAGCAGGGGAAACCAGAACCAGAGCAGTGATAAACTCAGGATAAGCACTGTCGCTAAACGAATTTTTGTAAGCCGAGGACTAGTGCTAGACTAGACTCGTATTTATGATGGCTGTGGCGTCCTGGGGTCATGTGATCAAAATTCAGACGCTCGGCAACCGACTCGTATTGATGACGGTCGCAGCGTCCCGGGGTTACATGATCAAAATTCAGACACTTGTCAACTGACTCATATTTAGGACGGTCGCAGCGTCCCGAGGTCATGATCAAAATTCAGACACTTGGCAACCGACTCGTATTTACAACGGTCGCAGCGCCCCGAGGTTGTGACCAAGATCCAGACGCTTCGCAATCGACTCGTTATTTATGATGGTCGCAGCATCCCGGGGTTACATGATCAAAATTCAGACTCTTGTCAACTGACTCGTATTTACGACGGTCGCAGCGTCCCGAGGTCGTGATCAAAATTCAGACACTTGGCAACCGACTCGTATTGACGACGGTCGCAGCGTCCCGAGGTTGTGATCAAAATCCAGATGCGTCGCAATCGACTTGTTATTTATGATGGTCGCAGCGTCCCAGGCTCATGTGACCAAAATTCAGACGCTTGGCAACCGCCTCGTAGTTATGACGGTTGCTCACGTGACCCTGGGACATGGGAACCCGGATTCATTTAACAATCATTGTTACTAACTTGAGAATTGAAGTGAGTCACTGCAAGAAAGGTCGTAAAATGGGGCAATGTTCAGTTAATGTTTCACTTTTTAATAACCGAAATTGGGGTCAAGGACAACCATGTATTTGTGAGATTTGATGCCTCTCCCACTTGTCAAAGCAAGCCGGAAAAACTGTCACAAAATCCCCGCTAATTATTCAAAGCGGGAAAGTTACAAATTCTTGACATACTATTCCAATCCAATGTAATACATACAGATGGTCCATGACTTACGACTCACAACATGTGTCTACGTGACCATCGCAACATCTTCAGCGATCACAATTTGGGCACCGGGCTACCGGCTAGCATTTAAGACGACTGCAGCCCTTGGGGTCACACAATTCCAAGTTGTGACCTTTTGTGTGAATTTTGAGCCAGAAATATCCGGAGTCACTGAACAACTATATTGATTGGCTTAATGACTGGACTCGCTTCACGACGGCAGTGATTCGCTGAAGGACCGCCGTAAAAAGGGTGGTAAAGTCGGGTCTGACTCCACTTCCCACTTATGATGGAAATTGGGGTCTGAATTTGAGGTGGCAAATCGTATGCCGTAAATCGAGGAGTGCCTTTACCGACTGTTTCTCGGGGAGAATCTTAAAACCTCAGGACGCTTTACATCTTCTCCGTGCCATCTATTTGAGGGTGGAAAACAAATAAATAAGATGGGCTTGTGTGTTAGAAAACACACACACACATACACATACACGAGACAAACACACCCAACACAAGAGCCGAGCCAGCGGGTGATTTTTTTTTTTTAATCCCCATTTATTAGCTTTAATCTAGGTCGTAAAAAGGGTGCAGGACAAATAACAAGCACTGGCCTATCCGAGCATCAAGAGTCACAGGTACGTTTGAGGATATTCCCAGCAGCCCTTGGGGCTCCAAAGGGAGTCCCGGTTCAAACGGTGGAGTGCCGCTTCGCCTGAAACGGTTGCCGATTCGAGTCCGAAATCGGGTGTGCAAGGCAGGAGGAGAGGGGGAGCAGAGGTGCTGGGAGATGGGGTCCTCCTCCTATTTTCCCAACCTCCCCCTCTCCGCCAGATTTGCATGGAAATCATGGTTAGACGCCCAAGCCAGGATGGCGGCATCAAGGATAACAGGGCAGCCAGCCTCGTTCTGGACGAGAGAATGAGGCAGTTTCTGAAGACCGACGAGAGATCAAGCTCCTTTTTCTACCCTCCCTCACTAAGGGGGTTGTCCCAATTGAGGCAGTGTAGTCCGAACTTATTCAATTCACAGCCATGTTTCTGTTGTCACACATCTGCCATGTAGTGCAGGGGTCACCCTCGGGAGATATGGGCGCCGTGCATCCCGGATGTGAGGCCTGGTGGGCTCAAGGAAGCCGAGGAATGGGCATGCAAGAGGACTCGCGAGAACCAGGGTAACAGGCTCGCGAGAATGCTAAGTAACCTCACACCCTTATTTTCAGAGGAGGGGGCTTCCAGGGCACTGAACTGGAACTCGGTTCCTGGGGAAACATAACCACTTCCAGAAAGCTAGTTATGACCCCAGGCGCAGCGACGCCACCGAGTTTCTCCTGCTTGCACAATCCTGGCGCGAGCTGAGGCTTCCTCACCAGGACGAGAAATTTGGGGAACAAAATACGAAACATCTCCCCCCCCCCGAATCAAGCAGGAGCATGATCGTCTTCCGAATGCTGCCGTAAACCTATCCTCTGACAATGTGGGGGTGGGGGAGGAACGATCCCCCTCGATCTCGTGTCCCGACGTTCGGCTCGCCTCGCCATCTCAAGCGCCTTGAGGGCGCTGCCAGCTGCCCGTTCTCGAACGAGCGGACACAATCCGTCCTCGGGCGCGAGGTCGGCGCGGCGAGGTGCACGCACAGGGGTAAACCAGGATCATTCGCCGCAATGTCCTCGGAAGTCTCCGGATGTGCGACCGAGCATCTGTCACACAGTCCTCGGAGGTCTCCGGGCGTGCGACCGCCTTGCAGGAAGATACGGGGGGGCACTGCCTCTCCAACCACGGTGATGTGGCGCCAACCATCGGCGAGCCGAGCCCCGGGAACCTTCTGGGATGAGAGCGGCGTCACAAGGGATAAATAGAACTTTATTTAAATAAACATATCTCAACATCTTTGTACAAATTACAAGTCCCCAGGTCCAGAATCCTAGGTGCCAAAGTTGGCCGATGGGCCCTTTAGGAGATCCACCAGGATGTCCAAGAGCTGGCTGTGTTGGTGGTGGAGGTCTCCGGGAATGGCCGCCATCTCGTAACAGAGGCAGGTCTCCACCATCCGGGAGAGCGCCACCCGGAAGTCGCGAAGGAGCCGTATGGTGTACGAGTCGCCTTCCAGCACCAGCAGGTCACTGTCGACCAAGGAAATGGTGGCCCGCCAGCCGTCGTCTTGGGAAGAAAGGACAGAGAGGTGAAGCGGCTTGAGGACAATTCTTACATCGTATATGCCGGCGTATTAGGCGACCCGGCGTATAAGACGACCCCCGTCTTTATCGCCGAGCTGCATTCCTAGAACGTCGTCTTATACGCCGGAAACTACCAGTATTTACGGCGTATAAGACGACTCGGCATATAAGACAACCCCCGTCTTTGGTGCCAAGTTTAGCGCTTCCGGAAGTCGTCTTATACGCCGGCATATATGGTACATTAATTGATTTTTTTTGTTAAAAAACGTATCGACGTACGACAGCTCTTTTAGCGACCGTCCCAAGTTAGAACGGAACTGGAAAAAGGGATTTAGGACCGTTTTTCACACTTACAACCGATGCAGCATCCCCAGGATCATGTGATCAAACTTCAGATGCTTGGCAACCGACTCGTATTTATGACGGTCGCAGTGTCCCGGGATCAAAATTCAGACGCTTGGCAACCGACTCGTATTTATGACGGTCGCAATGTCCCGGGATCAAAATTCAGACACTTGTTGCCGACTCGTATTTACGGTTGCTGACTCGTATTTATGACGGTCGGAATGTCCCAGGATTATGTGATTCAAACGCTTGGCAACTGACTCACATTTATGACGGTTGCAGGATGACGTAATCTAACTTCAGACACTTGGCAACCGACTTGTATTTGTGACGGTCGGAATGTCCCAGGATTATGTGATTCAAATTCAAACGCTTGGCAAACGACTCACATTTATGACGGTTGCAGTGTGCCGGAGGTCACGCGATCCCTTTTCGCGTCCTTCTAACAAGCAACGTCAACGGGGGATCACTTCACCACCGTGTTACTAACTTGACAACCGCAGTGATTCACTTAAAAAACGCGGGAAGGTCGTAAAATGGGGCAAAACTGACTTAGCAAAAGCACTTTCTGACACACATGGGCAGCTGGTGGGAGCCTGCAAAGCGTGAACCTTGTCTAATGGAACGTAAAGGTAGTCCTTGACATACGCCACAGCCCAAAATTCCCGTTGCTAGTTCGAGACGTTTGTTAAGCGAGCTTTGCCCCGTTTTATGACCGTTCTTGCCAGTTATTAAGCACATCACTGCGGTGAAGTGAGTCAAATGGTGGTTACAATGAATCCAGCTTCCCTGTCAAAGATCCCAAAAGGGGATCACGTGACCCCGGGACAGTGCGACCGTCGTAAATGTTCGCCATTTGCCAAGCGTCTAAATTTTGATCTCGTGACCAACGGTTGTTGAGGGTGAAAAACAGTCACAAGTCACGTTTTTTTTCAGTACCATTTGTAACTTCAGTCAGTAAACAAACTGTTGTAAGTGGAGGAGTACCTGTAGGTAGGAAAGACCGAGGAACATTCTTTGGGGGACAGAGAAGGGAGAGAATCAACTGTCTGTGACGGGGAGGGGTGAGGCCAGCGGTTCCCAACATATTGGCCACTGGGCTGCGTGAAAGGCTCGCCAATGCGGACGTATGCGCATGCACGCACAGCCCCAACTTGCCGACGCGTTGACGTGAGCGTCACGGGCATTTGTGGCCCCATTTTCACGAGCGTCGTTGTGACTGTAGCGAGTGTTTGTGGTTCCAGTTTCCTGAGCGTCGCCGCAAGCGTTCATGGCCTCGCTCACGTGAGCAATGGGTGTTCATGCCCGTGTGAGCACATGTGTTCAACCCCCCTCTCCACAAAACAATCCCTTCTTAACCCCCGTCCCCCACATGCTCTGGGCCACAAACCCCCAAAAGGTTGGGACGCTCTGTTCTAGGCAACAGCGCGGGACATTAGCCAAGAGACAGGGAATCCGATTCCTCACCCCGCACGTAGACATCCGTATCGGTCATCAGCAGCACCGCCAGCGGATGTACTTGCGAGGAGTCGCGCACGAAGACGCCGCCGTTGGACTTGACCGCCATGAAGTAGGTCAGCCAACGGCTGTACAGCTTGGAGGACTCCCTGCGGAGGAGAAAGCGAGGGATATCGCATGCGTCGGCTCATGCCTATGCAGCGAACCAATTGGCGCCCCGGGAGGGACCGGCTCTGCTACCTGTTGATGGTGGATTTGTGCAAAAGGACGGTCCCCGCTTTGGTCCGGTAGGTATAGCTGTTCGGTTTGAACTTGCCCTGTCTGGTCACTTTCCCTTGCCGGACCTGCGAGGAAAAAAAAAGAACATAGAGTGACGGCGGTTCAATAATACGATACTGACAGCTGTCTTCCGCGGGAACTAATCAACGGGAGAAGCAACCTGGCATTACGGAGACATTTCCTGACAGTGAGGACAATGAACCAGTGAAACGGCTTGTCACGGGGAGTTGTGGGTGCATGAACACTGGCGGTTTCTAAGAAGAGACTGGACAGTCACTGGTCTGATATGCTATAGGGTCTCCTGCTTGAGCAGGGGGATGGACTAGATGACCTCCAAGGTCTCTTGCAGGCCTATAAGGCAGGAAGGCAGGAAAAAGAGTAGGATAGATGGATACAAGGGAGGGATGGAGAGAGGGAGGGAAGACAGGAAGAAGGAAACGAGACAGGAAGGAAGGAAGGAAGGGGGATAGGAAGGATGGAAGAAGGGATGGCTGGATGGATGGAAGATTGGAAGGAAGGAAGGAAGGAAGGAGAGGAAAAGGAGTGGGAAGGATGGAAGAAGGGATGGATGGATGGTTGGAAGATTGGAAGGAACGAAGGAAGGAAGGAAGGAGAGGAAAAGGAGTGGGAAGGATGGAAGAAAGGGTGGATGGATGGATGGATGGATGGAAGGAAGGAAGGAAGGAAGGAAGGAAGGAAGGAAGGAAGGAAGGAAGGAAGGAAGGAAGGAAGGAAGGAAGGAAGGAAGGAAGGAAGGAAGGAAGGAAGAGGGTCCACCTATTCTCCAAAGCACCAGAAGGCAGGACAAGAAGCAACGGAGGGAAACCGATCAAGGAGAGGAGCAACCTGGAATCATGGAGAAGCTTCCTGACAGTGAGGACAATTAACCAGTGGAACAGCTTGCCACAGGAAGTCGTAGTGCTTCATCATCGCTGGAGGTTTTTAAGAAGAGAAAATGGACAGCCACTTGTCTGAAACGGTATAGGGCAGTGGTGGCGAGCCTATGGCACGCGTGCCAGAGGCGGCACTCGGAGCCCTCTCTGTGGGCACGTGCGCCACACCCCGGAGATGGCAACTGTCCCTCTTCAACTAGCCGCCCGCGAACTCGCCCAGGTCCCACGTGGCCGGATGCATCCCAACATGGCTGGTTTCCCTCCCCCCTGTCGCAACCCTCCTGGCCTCGCATGCTCTCCTTTTCCCGGGCACGACCCACTGCATCGTCTCTTCAGCTGTCCGCCATCTGTCCAGCTCAGAGGCGGCGTCTCTGAACTGCTGGTGGCGGGCTGCGGCGCCCGAATGCACTGCTCGAAAGGCCGGCAGGCTGTGGCTGCTTACGGACACTGTCGGCCCCCATGCGCTCGCTGGCCTCCGTGCGCGGGGGCCGATGGTGCCCTGCCTCGCCTCGCCTCACCCCGCAGGACGAGCCTCCCGCCCGCTGCCCCAACTGCCAGAGACCCCCTGGATCTCCCCGAACCCTCCCCGTGAGCAACATCAAGGTGACCACGCCCACCCTGGCCACATCTCTCCAGTCGGCCACGCCCACCCAGTGGGCCACGCCCGCCCGGCACCCAGCGATAAATCAGTGGGTTTGGGGTCGCGGTTTGGGCACTCGGTCTCTTTAAAAGGTTCGCCCTCACTGGGATAGGGTCTCCTGCTGGAGCAGGGGGTTGGACTAGATGACCTCCGAGGCCCCTTCCAGCTCTCTTCTGATTGATAAAAAGAACTCCTCCCATCCCTATTTCCCAACATTCCTTGGGAGCTCCTAAGGCGGCTTGTTAGATACCGCATCTCCCACTGAGGTGGAAAGCCAGGTGCTGGACTCTCTGGCAGGCAGAGATAGGGATGAGAACCGACAGGGAGCGTTCACATTCGGGGTCCCTAACTCATAGGGCAAGCCACTAGAACAGAAAAATAAGGAAACCCCCCCCACCGCTTCTCGCACTGATGACGTTCCCTAGTTGGGTCATGAAACGTCTGCAAGGAAACCACCCAGCTCAGAGAGCGCCAAGAGGCCCAGAAGTGTCCCACAGCCTCTCTCTCTCTTTCACACACACACACACACACACACCTGGATGAGGTTGGGGTACAGCCCGGCCATCAGGACTCCCTTCACCAGTTCCTCCTCCTCGCTGTACTGGTTGCACACCGAGGACGGCAAGAGGCAATCCGAAGGCGTCGGAACCAGGTAGGCTTCGTAGAGGTTTTCGGAAAACTGCTTCACCAGGCCTGCGGGAGGGGCAGAGAGAGTGGACTTCAACTCCCAGAATTCCCCAGCGAGCCTTATCATCAATGCAGGCTGGTTGCCAAAGACAAGGGGAAGTCCTCGAATAACAACCGTTTGCTTAGTGACCGTTCAAAGTTGGAACGGCCCTCAACCGGTTTTTCGGACCGTTTTTTCACACTAACGAGTGTGCTAGCGTGCCCAGAATCCTATGATCAAAATCCAGACTGACGAGTGTGCTAGCATGCCCAGAATCCCATGATCAAAATCCAGACTGACGAGTGTGCTAGCATGCCCAGAATCCCATGCTCAAAATCCAGACGCTTGGCAACCGACTCGTATTTACAACGGTCGCAGCATCCCGGGGTCCCATTGATCAACATTCAGACGCTTGGAAACTGACTCGTATTTATGACGATCACAGTGTCCCGGGTCCATTGTAAATAAAATTCAGATGCTTGGCAACCGACTCATATTTACGACGGTTGCAGGGTCCTGGGGGACATTGTGATCCTCGTCGACTTTCTGAAATCAACGGGGCAAGTCGGATTCACATAGCAACCGTGGGACTAATTTAACCACCAGTGACTCACTTAATGACGGGGGCAAGAAAGGTCGTAAAATGGGGCAACCCCCCCGAACAACTGTCTTGCTTAGCAGCGGAAACGTGGGGCTCAATTTTGGTCATGAAGCCGAGGATTAGCTCTAGCCAGATTTTGATGACACGACGGTCGTAAGGGCGAGGACTTGTCGTAAGTCACTTTTGTCCGCCTCCTTAAGAATTGCTTCTCTCTCTCTCTCTCTCTCTCTCTCTCTCTCTCTCTCTCTCTCTCTCTCCCCCTCTGTTCTTTTTCCCAAGATAAATGAGGGTCAGCTGTATTTATTAAGTAATCAAATTTATACAGCCTCCCACCTTAAGGAAAGCGACTTCCGGTAGATTACAACGGATCGGGCGAGACAGTGAATAAACGAGACATTCGTTAGTTAACGTGGTTAGATCGTTGTTATTAAAAATGAATTTAAAATGATAAAAGGGAAGCTTACAAAACGGGGAAAAAAGGAGAACAGACGGAGGGGCGGTGATGCCGCTCCGAGGATCGTGCTGCTTACCGTTGATAAAGCGCAAACTCGGGGCGTAGAGCGAGTAATCCTGCAGGTAGTCATCGCGCGCGCGGCTGTCTCTGCGCCGGAGGATGTCTTCCCAGCCCGCCACAGCCCGCACGAACGCCAGGTGGTCGCTACCACTTTCTCGACTCAGGATGGCCTTGGCCTAAGGGGGGAACCGTTGCAAGAAAAGACAGAATAAAGGGATCTCGGAGGTCTTCTAGTCCAACCTTTTGGGACTGACTGACGCCCACAGTGATCACAAGTGCGTATGACGGTCACAGTTACCCTCGCAGGAGGGGGGCTGCAAACGCCTGTGAAATCCGTGGCAATGCTTGCGATAAGGGGCCCATGAGCACCCATAACTTGTTCTAGAAGGATCACAAATGCCCACGATAGTTGTGGCGATACTCGTATGAATGGGGCCGTGAATGCCCAGGACACCCGTGGCGATGCTCATGCGAGAGGGGCCGTGAACGCCCACAACGCTTGCGCGAGTGGGGACACAAACATCTGCGACAGTCCCGCGACTGGGGCCAGAAACATCCGTGATACTAGTGATGATGCTCAAGCGACTGGGGCCACAAACGCACGACACTCATGGAAACTCGCACGAGTGGGGGCCGTGAACACTAGCTTGTGCTAGTGGAGCTACAAACACCAATGAAGGTCGCGGTGACACTCGTACGAGTGGGATTGCAAATGCCCGTGATGTGGCAACGCTCGCGTGAGTTGGGACACGAACATCCACGACGCTCGCACAAATGGTGCCGCAAACACCCGTGACACTCCTATCGTACGAGTGAGACCATGAACAGCTACGATGCTCGTGTAAGTAGGGTCCCAAACATCCACGATGGTCCCGTGAGTGGGGGCACAATCGTTTGTGATGCTCGTGCAAGCGGGGCTGCGAACGCCCAGGACGCTCACACAAGTGGCGCCACAAATGTCTCTCAAGCTTGCGGCGACACTCGCGCGAGCGAAGCGGCGAACACGAAGTGGGGCTCTGCGCACCTGGGCACATCAGCCAGCCTCGCGCTCGACCTGGTGGCCGGTAGGAGGTAGTGGGTTGTGACCCACGGATTGGGGACCCTGTTGTAGTTCAACTGCAGGATGGTGGGGGAAACGCATCCAATTCGGTCGCCGGCCTCACCCGAGACAAGAAGCCTGTGGGGTCCTCACCTTGTCCACCTCCGTACGGTTCTGCAGGCTACTGCTGAAGGGGTCCCGGGTGAGGCAGGAGACGATGAGGAGGAGCGGCTGGATGCAGCGATAGATGGACGCCAGCACGATGGCCTTGGCCAGCCGGGGGTCAGTGGAGATCTGGGCCAGGCGCTTGCCCAGCGTGGTCAAAGCCTCTCGGTGGTCCAGCACGCCTGGAAGAGACTCGGCGTGAGCGAACGGAGAGGCGGGAAGAAAACAGACACCCGTCGGCCGTTTGAACCCCAGAACTCACCGATCTCCTGCAGTAGGATGACGGCCTCGTCCACCGCTTTGATGTCGGGGCTGTCCAGGGCTTTGGAGAGGAACTCGACGGCCTGCGAGTCAAAAAACCAGGGGCAATTCAATTCCCTTCAGAGCAGAGCTGGAAGCGACCTCGGAGGTCATCCAGTCCCACCTTCTGCTCAAGCAGGAGACCATTTCAGACGAGCGGCTGTCCAGCATCTTTTGAAGAGCCTCCAGGGATGGGGCAACCTCCACCGGATGTCATCCCATGATTCTGTAAGGGTCTCCTTACAGACTGGATCAGGGCTTTTCAACCGGTGGCACGCGTACCACTTGTGGTCCGTTAACAAGTGGCAGGTGGTCCGCAGCCTTGCCTAGCCATGTGTAGTGGGGGAGGGAAAGAGCCAGCACGGGCAAAGACTTACTGTGAGAGAGTCCTCTGGAGCTGCAGAGTGGCTGGGGCGAGGCAAAGGCCCCAGGCTCACCCTTCTGCATGAGAAAGGAGGAGGAGGGGGGGTGGAGACAGGAGAGGCTATAAAAGGAGGCAGTTTGGGCGGAGAGGGAGAGAGGAAAAAAAAGCAGCAGCCTTGGGAGGAGGTGGAGTCAGCTCTAGCTGAACGGAAAGAGGAGGGTGAAGGGGGGAGAGGAGAGATCAAGCAGGCCAGCCATGAGCCGATCTACAATTTCTGTGGCAGCCCCTGTGCTGGCAGCAACAAACAGGCAGGAAATGCAGCAGGCGAGGGGCTGCCCTCCACGAGGAATGAAAAAAGGTAGCATCAGCTGGAGGTGAGACACGGAGGGAGGGAGATGGGAGAGTGGAAGGATCCTTACGTGCTTTTGTGACTTTGAAGTGCTGGGGTTTGTGCAACGTGGGCGTTCTGCTCTTAAGGAGTGTTTGGCAATTTCTATTTGGCCGATGTCTCCTGTTAGCTTCTATTGCTCTGCCATTGTCAGCTGTAAGTTTTGCTGCAAGGGATTTTGATGTATTTTTCTCCTGAATGGATTTTGCCTGCAGCATTCCTTTACTTAGGAATGGAACCATTTGGGGAGGCTGCCTTAGCCGGCAGCCAATACTTACTACATTTTTTTCCCCCCTTGCTTAAGTGCCGGCTGCCCTCCTTAACTTTCCTTTCTAGCCAGCAGCTAATTCTTAAAGGGGAATGCGCCTTTTTAAGTTCGTTCACTCAGCAGCTTGTCTTTTCAGTCTCTGGAGGCTTTTCCTTGTTTGATGAATATATGGAAGAGAGAAAATATGGGGGGGGCATGAAAAAGAGGGAGGGAGGGAAGGAAGTCCCGCCTTAGCACTTGGCCACCAGCAGCTCTGCCATTGGCTTTGCTTGTCAAAAAGGTTGCAGAAGGGGATCCCATGACCCTGGGACACTGTGACCATCATAAATATGAATCGGCTGCCAAGCATCCAAATATAAATCACGTGAGCCTGGGCACGCTGCAATGGTCGTTACGTGTGAAAAATGGTCATTAAGTCATTTCAGTGCAATTGCCACTTTGAACAGGTTATTTTTGGGGTCATCAAGTTTTTGACACCTTGCTAGGTGGTACTCGAATATTGCCATAGCCTAAAAGTGGTACAGCCCTGGACTAGATGATCTTCCAATTCTGTGATTCCATGATTCTGTAAGGGTCTCCTGCTTGAGCAGGGGGTTGGACTGGATGACCTCCGAGGTCCCTTCCAACTCTGTCGTCCTATGATTCTCTGTCTCCTGCTTAAGCAGGGGGTTGGGCTAGATGACCTCCAAGATCCCTTCCAACACGATTCTGTCAGGGTCTCCTGCTTGAGAAGGGGGTCGGGCTAGATGACCTCCGAGGTCCCTTCCAATATGATTCTGTCAGGGTCTCCTGCTTGAGCAGGGGGTTGGGCTAGATGACCTCCGAGATCCCTTCCCACACGATTCTGTCAGGGTCTCCTGTTTGAGCAGGGGTTGGGCTAGATGACCTCCGAGATCCCTTCCAATATTATTCTGTAAGGGTCTCCTGCTTCAGCAGGGGGTCGGGCTAGATGACCTCCGAGATCCCTTCCAATATGATTCTGTCAGGGTCTCCTGCTTGAGCAAAGGGTCGGGCTAGATGACCTCCGAGATCCCTTCCAATATGATTCTGTAAGGGTCTCCTGCTTGAGCAGGGGGTCGGTCTAGATGACCTCCGAGGTCCCTTCCAACACGATTCTGTCAGGGTCTCCTGTTTGAGCAAAGGGTCGGTCTAGATGACCTCCGAGGTCCCTTCCCACACGATTCTGTCAGGGTCTGCCTGAGCAGGGGGGTTGGCCTGGATGACCTCCCAGGGTCTCTTCCAACTCTTAGTCTTCTGTGAGGGTCTCCTGCTTGAGCAAGAGGGTCAGACTAGATGACCTCCCGGGTCCCTCCCACCTCTTGTCTGCCTATAATCCCGTTCAGGCTTTCGTGCTTCGAGCCGGCGCTAGTAAGGTAACGCCTGGCGTTGAGCGACTCTAAAAGATCAGAAACCCCCCCCCCATCCCCCTCCTGCGCCATTCCCCCGTTCCGCGGTCTCGGCCGACAGCTCACCGTCTTCTCCGGCTGGTGGATCTTGGTTTGTACCACCAGGTTCTCCAGCGGCGTGCGTAGGATCTCGGGCACCTGGTAGGTGGGCATGCGGTCCAGACGGCTGCGCGGGAAGAGGTGGTAGGCGAAGCCCGACTGGCAGCGTCCGGCTCGGCCGCGACGTTGGATGACGTTCGACTTGGACACCCAGACGGTCTCCAAGCACGAAACCTGGGCGAAGGGGAAGACGGAGGGAAAACAAAATCGACCCGGAACGAAGGAAGAAGCGAGGACGGTTAACCAGAGGAACTGCTGGCCACCAGACGGGATGAGTGCTCCATCGCTGGAAGGGTTGTTTTTTTTTTTTTTAAAGGAAGAGACGGGATATCTGTCTCCCGCTCGAGCAGGGGGTTGGACTAGAAGACCTCCCGGGTCCCTTCCCGCTTTATTCGGAGTGAGCGTTTGTTTCCGGGGTTGGCTTCAGACAATCAAGCACCTTTTGGGCCTTAAACGGAATCCTAACCCGTAAACCTAACCCTAGCCATCGCATTAACCCTAACCCTAAGCTTAAACCTAACCCTAGCCCCAGTCCTAATGCATAACCTTAACCGAAGCCCTAGGCCTAGTTCGAACCCTAAGGTTAAGTCCTGGCCTCAGCCCTAATTCATAACCCTAACCCTCACCCTAGTCCTAATCCTAACCCTAACCTTAAACCTAACCCTAACCTTAGTCTTATCTCTAACCCTAACATTTCAGCTGAAACCTAACTCTAACCCTAGTCCTAACTCTGACCCTAACCCTAGTCTTAACCGTAATCTTAAACTTAACCCTAACCTGAAACCTAACTCTAACCCTAACCTTAAACCTAACCCTATCCTTACTCTTATCTCTAACCCTAACCCTAGTCCTAAACCAGTGGTTCTCAACCTGTGGGTCGGGACCCCATTTGGGGTCGAACGACCATTTTACGAGGGTCGCCAAACAAGGCTGTCTGCCATTTCCCCCCCCCCTTTTCTTTGGCCACGCCCCTGGCACCCGGTGATGTATACGTGGTTGGGGGTCACCACAACATGGGGAACTGTATTATGGGGTCGCGGCATTAGAAAGGTTGAGAACCACTGTCCTAAACCCTAATCCTAACCCTAACCTTAAACCTAATCTTAACTTTAAACCTAACCCAAACACTAATCCTAACCTTAAACCTAAACCTAACCTTACTCTTATCTCTAACCCTAATCCTAACCTGAAATCTAACTCTAACCTTAAACCGTAACCCTAGTCCTAACTCTAACCTTAAACCTAACCCTACTCTTATCTCTAATCCTAATCCTAACCTGAAATCTAACTCTAACCTTAAACCCTAACCCTAGTCTTAACTAACCCTAACCTTAAACCCAACCCTAACCTTAACCCTAACCTTAAACCTAACCCTAACCGTAGTCTTTTCTCTAACCCTAATCCTAACCCTAACCTTAAACCTAATCCTAACTCTAGTCCTAACTCTAACCTTAAACCTAACCTTAGTCTTTTCTCTAACCCTAATCCTAACCCTAACCTTAAACCTAACCTAACCCTAGTCCTAACTCTAACCTTAAACCTATCCCTAACCTTAAACCTAACCTAACCCTAGTCCTAACTCTAACCTTAAACCTATCCCTAACCTTAAACCTAACCTAACCCTAGTCCTAACTCTAACCCTAACCGTAAACCTATCCCTAACCTTAACCCTAACTCTAACCTTAATCCTAACCTTAACACTAACCCTAACCTTAGTCTTTTCTCTAACCCTAATCCTAACCCTAACCTGAAACCTATCCTAACCCTAGTCCTAACTCTAACCTGAAACCTAACCCTAGTCCTAACTCTAACCCCAACCCTAACCCTAACCTTAGTCCTAACTCTAACCCTAACCTTAAACCAAATCCTAACCCTGGCTTAACTCCAGCCCTAATGTTCACCCTAGCCCCAACCCGTACCTTTAAATCTAACCCCAAACCTAACTTTAAACTTAACCCTAACCCTCATCCTAACCCTAACCGGAGATGTCACAAGCAGGAGGAAGCAAGCTAGTCGGCCCTCTCTCCCCCACCCCCCGGGACTCTCCGAAAAAAGCCGGGAAGCCACCCGGAGAAGGAGCCCGCCCCCCGCATCCTTAACCCCGGTTCTTCAGGCCCAAACCTTGGTCTTCAGATCGTAGCGCTCCTCCTTGTGGGTCCCGCTGTCCACCACGTGGACGATGTCGTTGATGGTGATGGAGGTTTCGGCGATGTTGGTGGCCAGGACGATTTTCCGGACCCCGGCGGGGGGTCGGGGGAAGATGCTCTGCTGGTCCATCATGGGGATGTTGGAATGGACTAAACGGGGGTGGGGTGGGAGGGGAAGCGGAAGAAGAAGGCAAATCTCAGCTTTTCGGCTTCTCCTCTTCCCCCACCTTCTCCGGACCGGCGTCGTGGCGCTCGCCATTTCGACCACGGGAAAAAAAACACACCCGTTTCCGGATAGGCGTCGTGGCGCTCGCCAACGTTTCGACCAGAAAAAAAAAACAAACGCCCGTTTCCGGATAGGCGTCGTGACATTTGCCAACTTTTCGACCGGAAAAAAAACACCCGTTTCCCTATAGGCGTCGTGACATTTGCCAACTTTTCGACCGGAAAAAAACCGCCCGTTTCCAGATAGGCGTCGTGGCGCTTGCCAACGTTTCGACCGGAAAAAAAAATGCCCGTTTCCAGATAGGCGCCGTGACATTCGCCAACTTTTCAACCGGAAAAAGAAACACCTATTTCCAGATAGGCATCGTGGCGCTGGCCAACGTTTCAACCGGAAAAAAAACAACGCCCGTTTCCGGATAGGCGTCGTGACATTTGCCAACTTTTCAACCGGAAAAAGAAACGCCCATTTCCAGATAGGCGTCATGGTGCTCGCCAACGTTTCGACCGAAAAAAAAAACCCGCCCGTTTCCGGATACGCGTCGTGACATTTGCCAACTTTTCGACCCCCCCAAAAACGCCCTTTTCCAGATAGGCGTCGTGGTGCTCACCAACGTTTTGACTGGAAAACAAAAACGCCTGTTTCCGGATAGGCGTCGTGACATTTGCCAACTTTTCGACCGGAAAAAGAAACGCCCATTTCCGGATAGGCGTCGTGGCGCTCGCCGTTTCGACTGGAAAAAAAAAAGCCCGTTTCCGGATAGGCGTCGTGGCGCTCGCCAACTTTTCGACCGGAAAAAAAACGCCCGTTTCCGGATAGGCGTCGTGGCGCTTGCCGTTTCGACCGGAAAAAAAGCCCGTTTCCGGATAGGCGTCGTGGCGCTCGCCAACTTTTCGACCGGAAAAAGAAACGCCCGTTTCTGGATAGAACGGCCAAAACCGTTTCCCGCCAGAGCGCGTATTATTTTCACCTGGTAAGATAAGGTATCGGCTGTTGTGGGACCCGAGGATTTCCAAGAGACGCTGCTGGACCCCTTTAATCTCCTGCCAGCCGGGAAGGAAACAGAGGATGCCGCCTGCAAGGAGAGAGAGAGAGAGGGAAAAAAAGAGGGGATGTCCCGTTTCATAAAAGTGGGATTTGGGGGGGGGGGGAGAGACGGGAGGTGAGAAGCAGTCTTCCTGTATTTGAGGGTGCTGCCCCAAAGAGGGCGGGAGGAAAAGAAGGGAGGGAGGAAGGAATGACCAGAGGGGGAAGAAGGGAGGAAAAAAAGAGGGAGGAGGGAGGCAGGCAGGAAGGAAAAGAGGTATGAAGGAAGAAAAAGGGGAGGGAGGGAGGGAGGGAGGAAGGAAAAGAAGGAAAAAAGAGGGGAGGGAGACAGGAAGAAAGGAAGGAAAAGTGGGGAGGGAGAGAGGCAGGAAGGAAAAAAAGAGGGGAGGGAGGGAGACAGGAAGGAAGGAAGGAAAAAAGGGATGAAGGAAGTAAAAGGGGGAAGGGAGGGAGGAAAGAGGGAGGAAAAGAGGGGAGGGAGACAGGAAGAAAGGAAGGGAGGAAGGAAGAAAAAGAGGGGAGGGAGGGAGAGAGGGAAAAGGAAAAAAGAGGGGAAGGAGGGAGAGAGGAAGGAAGGAAGGAAAAAAGAGGGGAGGGAGGGAGACAGGAAGAAAGGAAGGGAGGAAGAAAAAGAGGGGAGGAAGAGAGGGAAAAGGAAAAAAGAGGGGAAGGAGGGAAAGAGGGAGGGAGGGAGGAAGGAAAAAAAGAGGGGAGAGAGTGAGACAGGAAGGAAAAGAGGGACGAAGGAAGAAAAAGAGAGGGAGGGAGGGAGGAAATCCAAGCCCGCCGGTTTATCAAAATGGCTGACTGAGGAATCATGGGAGTTGAAGTCTGCCAGTCAGGAAAGGGCCATGTTGGAAAACCCCGTCTTAAAGCATCCAGGCTGAGGCATTCTGGGAGTTGAAGTCCACCAGTCATCAAAGAGGCCAAGTTGGAAGGCCCCTGAGAGTCTGGATCCAAGCCCACAGCTTCATCAAAATGGCTGATTGAGGGATTCTGGGAGTTGAAGTCCACCAGTCAGAAAAGGGCCAAGTTGGAAGGCCCCTGAGAGTCTGGATCCAAGGCCGCAGTTTCATCAAAATGGCCGACTGAGGCATTCTGGGAGTTGAAGTCCACCAGTCAGAAAAGGGCCAAGTTGGAAGGCCCCTGAGAGTCTGGATCCAAGGCCGCAGTTTCATCAAAATGGCCGACTGAGGCATTCTGGGAGTTGAAGTCCACCAGTCATCAAAGGGGCCAAGTTTGAAGACCCCTGAGAGTCTGGATCCGAGCCCCCAGGTTCATCAAAATGGCCGACTGAGGCATTCTGGGAGTTGAAGTCCACCAGTCATCAAAGGGGCCAAGTTTGAAGACCCCTGAGAGTCTGGATCCAAGGCCACAGTTCATCAAAATGGCCGACTAGGGCATTCTGGGAGTTGAAGTCCACCAGTCATCAAAGGGGCCAAGTTTGAAGACCCCTGAGAGTCTGGATCCAAGGCCACAGTTCATCAAAATGGCCGACTGGGGCATTCTGGGAGTTGAAGTCCACCAGTCATCAAAGGGGCCAAGTTTGAAGACCCCTGAGAGTCTGGATCCAAGCCTGCAGTTTCATCAAAATGGCCGACTGAGGCATTCTGGGAGTTGAAGTCCACCAGTCAGAAAAGGGCCAAGTTTGAAGACCCCTGAGAGTCTGGATTCAAGCCCCCAGGTTCATCAAAATGGCCGAATGAGGCATTCTGGGAGTTGAAGTCCGCCTGTCACAAAAGGGCCTGGTTCCGTCATCGGTTCATTCCCCCACCCCAAAGCAAAGCGAGCCTCCACCCCGCCCCCCCCGCAAAACCCGGTTGGATCCACTTCTACGGCCAACCCAACGAGCTTGAGCGGCACGTGGGGGGGGGGGAAGAGACAGAGGGACTCCCACCCACCTGGTTCTCCGTGGGCATCGATCTGAAGGATCAGGTCGGCGATCAGCTCAAGATCCAGGACACACTCGTCGTCCGATTGCTGGGGGGGGGGGAGGTGTGGAGTGGGGAGAAGAGAGAGAGACAGTGACGGGGCAGGTAATCCTCGACTTATGACCATGAGAGAGCTCAAAGTTCCCGCTGCTAAGCGAGACATGGGTTACAGGAGTTTTGATCCGGTTCATCTCCGTCTTTATTTTGATCTCTCGGTCCTTAGCCGTTTCACCGTTATCCATCCATCCATCCATCTCTATTGGTCTCCCCCGTCTCTTTATTTCGATCTATCCCTATCTATTATCTACCCACCTACCTATCCATCCATCCATCCATCTCGATTTATCTCCGTCTGTCTTTATTTTGATCTCTATCCCTATCGATCTATTACCTACCCACCTACCCATCTCTATTTATCTCCGTGTCTTTATTTCGATCTATCCCTATTTATCCATTATCTACCCATCCATCCATCCCTCTCTATTTATCTCCATCTTTATTTTGATCTCTATCCCTATCTATTTATCCATTATTTACCCTTCCTCCATCCATCCATATCTATTTATTTCCATCTATTTTTATCTCTCTATCCCTATCTATTTATCCATTATCTACCCTTCCTCCATCCATCCATCCATATCTATCTCCATGTCTTTATTTTGATTTCTCTATCCCTCTATTTATGCATTATGTACTCATCCATCCATCCATCTTTTATCTCCGTCTGTCTTTATTTTGATCTCTATCCCTATCTATTTATCCATTATTTACCCTTCCTCCATCCATATCTCCGTCTGTCTTTATTTTTATCTCTCTATCCCTATTTATCCGTTATCTACCCATCCATCCATTCATCTCTATTTATCTCCATCTGTCTTTATTTTGATCTATTTATCCATTATCTACCCTTCCTCCATCCATCCATCTCTATTTATCTCCGTCTGTCTTTATTTTTATCTCTCTATCCTTCTATTTATCCATTATTTACCCATCCATATCTATTTATCTCCGTCTTTTATTTTTATCTCTCTATCCCTATCTATTTATCCATTATCTACCCTTCCTCCATCCATCCAACTCTATTTATCTCCATCTGTCTTTATTTTTATCTCTCTATCCTTCTATTTATCCATTATCTACCCTTCCTCCATCCATCCATCTCTATTTATCTCTATTTTGATCTATCCCTATTTCTCCATTTACCCATCCATCCATCCATGTCTATTTATCCCATCTTTTTATTTCAATCTCTCTATCCGTATCAATGTATCTATTAGGTACCTACGTACCTATCCATCCACATCTATTTATCTCTGTCTGTCTTTATTTTCATCATTCTATCCCTATCTCGCCTTTATGGATTACTGCCTTGTCGTGGCGAAGGGGCTTGCATAACTCAATGAAGCTATAAGCTATGCCGTGCAGGGCCACCCAAGACGGACAGGTTATAGCAGAGAGTTCTGACAAAATGTGATCCACTGGAGAAGGAAATGGCAAACCACTCCAGTATCTTTGCCATGAAAACCCCATGGACAGTACTAAAAGGCAAAAAGATATGACACTGGAAGATGAGCCCCTCAGGTCGGAAGGTGTCCAATATGCTACTGGGGAAGAGCAGAGGGCTAGTACTAGTAGCGCCAGAAAGAATGAAGCGACTGGGCCAAAGCCGAAAGGACGCTCAGCTGTGGATATATCTGGTGGTGAAAGGAAAGTCCGATGCTGTAAAGATTTTTTCTCCATAGGAACCTGGAATGTAAGATCCATGAATCAAGGCAAGCTAGACGTAGTCAAAAAAGAGATGACAAGAATGAACATCGACATCTTAGGAATCAGCGAACTAAAATGGACAGGAATGGGTGAATTCAACTCAGATGACCATCAGGTATACTACTGTGGGCAAAAATCCCTCAGAAGAAATGGAGTAGCCTTCATAGTCAATAAAAGAATAGGAAAAGCAATACTGGGATACAATCCCCAAAATGACAGAATGATCTCAATTCGAATCCAAGGCAAACCATTCAATATCACAGTAGTCCAAATCTATGCCCCAACCACTGGTGCTGAAGAGGATGAAATTGACCGGTTCTATGAAGCCCTACAGCACCTTATAGAATTAACACCAAAAAATGATGTCCTTATCATCATGGGGGATTGGAATGCTAAGGTAGGAAGCCAAAAGATAACCGGAATAACAGGCAAGTTTGGCCTTGGAGAACAAAATGAAGCAGGGCACAGGCTAATAGAATTTTGTCAAGAGAATACGATGGTCATAACAAACACTCTTTTCCAACAACCCAAGAGACGGCTCTACACATGGACATCACCAGACGGTCAACATAGAAATCAGATTGACTATGTACTCTGCAGCCAAAGATGGAGAAGCTCTATACAGTCAGTAAAAACAAGACCAGGAGCTGACTGTGGCTCAGATCATGAGCTTCTCGTTGCAAAATTTAGGCTTAAATTGAAAAAAGTAGGGAAAAGCACTAGGCCACTCAGGTATGAACTAAATCATATTCCTGATGAATATACAGTAGAGGTGACAAATAGATTTAAGGAACTGGATCTGATAGACAGAATGCCTGAAGAACTATGGATGGAAGTTCGCAACATTGTACAAGAGGTAGCAACTAAAACCATCCCAAAGAAAAAGAAATGCAAGAAAGCAAAATGGCTGTCTCCGGAAGCTTTGCAAATAGCTGAGGAAAGAAGGGAAGCGAAAGGCAAAGGAGAAAGAGAAAGATACACCCAATTGAATGCAGAATTCCAGAGAGTAGCTAGAAGAGATAAGAATGCCTTCTTAAATGAACAGTGCAAAGAAATAGAAGAAAACAACAGAATAGGGAGGACCAGAGATCTCTTCAAGAAAATTGGAGATATGAAGGGAACGTTTCATGCAAAGATGGGCATGATAAAGGACCAAAATGGCAGAGACCTAACAGAGGCAGAAGAGATTAAGAAGAGATGGCAAAACTACACAGAAGAACTATACAAGAATGAGCTTAACATCCCAGATAACCACAATGAGATGGTCACTGACCTCGAACCAGACATCCTAGAATGTGAAGTGAAATGGGCCTTAGAAAATCTGAGCAACAACAAAGCTAGTGGAGGTGACAGTATTCCAGCTGAGCTATTCAAAATCTTAAAAGACGATGCAGTAAAAGTGCTACACTCAATTTGCCAGCAAATTTGGAAAACTCAACAGTGGCCACAGGATTGGAAAAGGTCAGTTTACATTCCAATTCCAAAGAAAGGCAATGCCAAAGAATGTTCAAACTATCGCACCATTGCACTCATTTCACATGCTAGTAAAGTTATGCTTAAAATCCTACAAGCTAGACTCCAGCAGTATGTGGATCGAGAACTACCAGAAGTACAGGCAGGATTTCGAAGAGGCAGAGGAACTAGAGATCAAATTGCCAACATACGCTGGATCATGGAGAAAGCTAGGGAGTTCCAGAAAAACATCTACTTCTGCTTCATTGACTATGCAAAAGCCTTTGATTGTGTGGATCACAACAAATTGTGGCAAGTTCTTAAAGAGATGGGAGTACCAGACCATCTCATTTGTCTCTTGAGAAACCTATATGCGGGTCAAGAAGCAACAGTGAGAACTGGACACGGAACCACTGATTGGTTCAAAATTGGAAAAGGAGTCCGGCAAGGCTGTATACTGTCGCCCTGCCTATTTAACTTATATGCAGAGCACATCATGAGAAAGGCAGGGCTAGATGAATCAAAAGTTGGAATTAAGATTGCCGGGAGAAATATCAACAACCTAAGATATGCAGATGATACCACTCTAATGGCAGAAAGTGAAGAGGAACTAAAGAGCCTCTTGATGCGGGTGAAGAAGGAGAGTGCAAAAGTTGGCTTGAAACTCAACATTAAGAAAACCAAAATCATGGCATCCGGCCCTCTCAATTCCTGGCAAATAGATGGGGAAGAAATGGAGGTAGTGACAGATTTTATTTTTCTGGGCTCAAGATCACCTCAGATGGGGACTGCAGCCAAGAAATTAAAAGACGCTTGCTCCTGGGGAGGAAAGCTATGGCAAATCTAGACAGCATACTAAAAAGCAGAGACATCGCCCTGCCAACAAAAGTGCGTATAGTCCAGGCCATGGTTTTCCCAGTTGCAATGTATGGCTGTGAAAGTTGGACCATAAGAAAGGCTGAGCGCCAAAGAATTGAGGCCTTTGAACTATGGTGCTGGAGAAGACTCCTGCGAGTCCCTTGGACTGCAAGGCGTTCAAACCGGTCGTCCTAGAAGAGATCAACCCCGACTGCTCTTTAGAAGGCCAGATCCTGAAGCTGAAACTCAAGTACTTTGGCCACCTAATGAGAAGGAAGGATCACTGGAGAAGAGCCTAATGCTGGGAAAGATGGAGGGCAATAGAAGAAGGGGACGACAGAGAATGAGATGGCTGGATGGAGTCACTGAAGCAGGAGGCGTGAACTTAAATGGACTCCAGAAGATGGTAGAGGACAGGAAGACCTGGAGGAACGTTGTCCATGGGGTCGCGATGGGTCGGACACGACTTCGCAATTAACAACAACAACAATCCCTATCTATTTATCCATTATCTACCTATCCACCCATCCATATCTATGTATCTTTCTGTCAGTCCGTCTTTATTTCTATCTCTCTGTTTGTCTATTATCTGTCTACTTCCTTCCTTCCTTTCTTCCTTTTTTCTTTCTATCCGGATCAGCCTTGACCTCTCGGTTGCCCGTTTTCCACGCACCTGGTCACGGGTCCCCCTATCCTTCCCCCGCCCCCCGGATCGCTCGCGCGCCGCCCACCTTGATCTCGTAGTGCCGATGCCGGCCGAGCATAGCCATCATATCCTCCAGGTAGTACTCCTTGACCGGATACATGAAGCCCGGCACTTTGACCACCGGACAGTCGCCAAAGTACTCCGAGAAACGCTGGTTGTCCCCCGTGGCGCTCATCAGCACCAGGCGCAGCTGCCGGTTCTGCTTCTGGATCCCCTTCAGCAGGATGAGCAGGAAGTCGGTGTTGACGTCCCGCTCGTGGACCTCGTCCACGATCACGTGGCTGACCCCCTCCAGCCGGGGGTTGCCCTGCAGCTTGCGCAGTAGGATACCCACGGTGCAGAAGAGCAAGGCGCCGCCCCGGGCCGGCGGCTTGCTCTCCAGCCGCACCTGGTAGCCCACGTTGCGCCGCAGGCTGGGGCCCAGCTCCTGGGCCACGCGCTGGGCCACGGAGATGGCACTGATCCGGCGGGGCTGGGTGATCACCACGTTGCACTGGGCGCCGCGCCCCTCCAGGAGGTAGTGCTCCAGCAGGAGCTGCGGGATGCGGGTGGTCTTCCCGCAGCCGGTGTCGCCGGCGATGACCACCACCGGGTGCTGCTCCACGGCTGAGAGGATGGCCTCCTTGTGGGAGTCCACGGGCAGCGAGGGGCTGTCGGGCCACAGGTTGCCCCGCCGTTTCCAGAGGGCCAGCAGGTTTTGGCTGAGGCGCAGCTCTTCCGATTCGGAGAGCGGGATGTAGGTTTTGCCCGTGATGGCGTCGCTCAGGGCGCCGTTGCTCTCCTTGCTCAGGTTCATCACGTCGTCCGCCAGGCGCGGCCGGGACTCCCGGGAGTCGACGGGATACTGCGGAAAGCAGACGAGAGGGCTTTAGAGAGGGATCCGCTTGCAAGGTGCTGGCCATCCCCCCGCGATCAACGGGCTGGAAGAGAGAGTCAATACACCGGAGGGCTACGGGGTTGTTTGTTCCATCGCTGAGACAGGCTAGTCGTCAACTTAATGAGCGTTTGGGTTAGTGATTGTTCGAAGTGACAACCGTGCCTCATGGCCGCGGCCGCACCCCCACAATCAAGTGATCTGTCTGTGTGTGTGTGTGTGTGTGTGTGTGTGTGTGTGTGTAGATATAGGTAGGTGGTGCTCGACTTAGGACGATGGTTCGTTTCGTGACCGTTCGAAGCGACCACGGTGCTGAAAAGGCCTCACGACCGTGGCAGCATCCCCACAGTTGGGTGGCTTGTGTGTGTGTGTGTGTGTGTTTGTTTAGCGACAGTTCGAAGTAAGAAGGTCCTGTAAAAAGGGACTGGAAACCGTTTTTCACTCTTATGACCGGTGTAGCATCTCCATTCAGGTAATGTGTGTTTTTGTGTTTGTTTGTGTGTGTGTGTATACATATACATACATACATACATACATATATATACACACACATATACACACATATATACACACACACGAACATACATATATACACACATTACACATATCCACACATGTACATATCCACACTACACACACACATGTACATATACACGCTACACACATATACATATACACACTACACACACATGAACACAAGCCACATATACTACACGTATACTACACATATACACACATGAACATACACATATACACATACTACACACATGAACATATATACATACACTACACATATATACACACGTGAACATACACACTACACATATATACACATGAACATACATATATATATACACAATACACATGTACATATATACACACATACACACACATGAAGATACACATATACATATACACATGAACATACATGTATACACACCACACACATGTACATATATACACATATATGCACATGAATATACACACATTAAACATATATACACACGTACATATACACACATGAACACATACACACATGAACATATATACACACACTACACACACACGCATATATATATATATATATGTTCCTTGACTTACAATAGTGACCATTTGAAGTTACAATAGCGCTGGAAAAAGGGACTTAGCAGTGTTTTTCACACTTATTACCACTTATTACTGTGGCATCCCTAGTCAGGTGACTTGTGTGTAAAAATATCTAGGTAGTCCTCAACTTATGACGGTTTAGTGAGCGTTCAAAATTACAACGGTGCTGAAAAAAATGGGACTAAGGACTCGTGTCTGTGTCTCTGTGTGTAGATACATATAGGCAATCCTTGACTTACGATGATTCGTTTAGTGACTCTGTGTGTGTGTAACAACCGGGACAAAAAAAGTCATCAAACGGGGCACAGCTCAGTTCACAACTGTCTCACTTAGCAGCAGAAATTTGGGTTCAATTATGGCCGTTAAGTCAAGGACTTACAACAGGCCCAGGCTTTATAACAGTCCATTTAGAGACCATTTCAGCTCGTCCCGGACTTATAACAGTCCGTTTAGTGACTCAAGTTACAACGGCATCGAAAAAAGAGACTTACAACTATTCTTCACACTTAACGACCGTCGCAACCTCACCCAAGCTGGATTCGCTTAATGACAGTTGTGATGGATGTCACAACCGCAGTGGTTCACTTAACAGCGGGGTGGGGGGCGAGCTGTCGTAAAACGGGGCCAAAACTCACTTCAGAAATGTTACCCCTTCGCAATCGTTTCGGGACTCCGCAGCGCCGCGGCTGGCAGGCCTCGGCGCTCCGCCCGACTTACGTGGTTCAGGTAGTTCTCGATCTTGCGCAACGTGGCCTCGGGGACTTTGATGTGGCAGGGCTTCCGCTGGTTCTCGCCCAGCTCCCGCAAGGAAGTCATGTTGTACATGGCGTGACTCAACGGATTGTTGTTCTTGTCCACTAAGCCGAGACTCTGGAGGGAGGGAGGGAGAGTCACGGTGAGACCGGGGTGCCCGGGAGCCCACGGGGAGATGGTAACGTTCTGCGATTTGAAGTAATCTCACGGTCAATTTGGAATATCCTGGAATATTCTGGAAGGTTCTATCATTCGGTAATATTCCGCGATTTGGTAATCGGTAATTCAGGCTAGCAGCTGGAAGGGCTGGGAGATGGGGGTAGCCAGGAGAGATATTTTTGTCATTTCCCGGTAAATCGGTAAGATCGTGCACTTCCGTAATATCCCGAAATTCTGTAATTCCGTAATATTTGGTAATAGCCTGTAATTCTATAATATCCTGTAGTTCTGTAATATTCTGTTAACTCGGTAAAATTCTGTCATTCGGTTAATATTCTGAAATTCTGCAATTCCATAATATTTGGTAACATCCTGTAAGTTTGTAATATTCTGTAATATTCTGCAATTCCATAATATTTGGTAATATCCTGTAATTCTGTAATATTCTGTAATATTCTGCAATTCTGTAAAATCCTGTAAAATTCTGTTAACTGTAAAATTCTGCCATATTCTGTAATTCTGTAAAATTTTGTAATATTTCGTAATGCCCTCTAATATTCTGTAATTCTATAATATTTTGTACTATAGATATATATCTAAATAGATACACATATATCTAATTGTAGATAGGAAGATATCTAAACGTAGATTAGATAGGATATGTAAATAGAGATACTATATATCTTACAGATATCTAATTATAAAGATGTATGCAAATATCTAGAGATAGGTGTATCTAAATAGATAAATAGAAAGATATCTAATTAGATGTATATCTAAATATAGATTAGATAAATATCTAGAGATACGATATATAAATAGATATAGATATCTGATAGATCTAAATATATATCTAAATACAGATGGATTGGATTAGATAATAATAATAATAATAGTAGTAGTAGTAATACAGTTGGAAGGGACCTTGGAGGTCATCTAGTCCAACCTTCTAAATAGACATAGATATCTTATAGATAGATATCTAAATATATAGCTAAATAGTTTGACAGATTGATAATACACACACACACACACACACAAAAAAACATATATATAGACATGTACATATATATGTATACATATACATATTTGTATATATGTACATGTCTGTCTATACTTTTATTTAAACTAAATTTGTATACAGTAATTGTAGATAGATATATCTAAATAGATAAAAAGATATATCTAATTAGATGTATATCTAAATATAGATTAGATAAATATTTAGAGATAGCTATGATATATTTAATGATAGATCTAAATATAAATAAATATCTAGAGATATATTTAAATAGATATATCTAATGATAGATCTAAATATATGTCTAAATACAGATGAATTAGATTATAGATAATATCTAAATATACATATCTAAATATAGAAATCTTATAGATATATCTTACAATTACATGGACATAGATATCTAAACATATATCTAAATATATATATATCTAGTCTGACAGCGATAATACACGTATCTATCTAAATATACAGATATTGCTAAATATATGCACTTGACTGTCTATATATGCTGACGTTTTATTGAAACTAAACTTGTCTATCAGTGGTCACACGACTTCTGTCGATGCCCGACGCTAAATAAAATCAAATGAACAAAAAAATAAAATGAAAAATCACATTACCATCACAAGCTAAATAAAAACCAGCCACCGCAGAGGCCCGCGGAACGCCGTCCACGCGCTGCGGCTTTCTCGCCACTCACCTTCAACTTCTGGCAGGCCAGCGCCGCGGCCTTGTTCTCCGCTTCCACTTTGCGACGGCCCTTGGCCGCGAAGGTCATGGGGCAGGGCCAGCGGAGGGTCAGTTTGCAGATCTTGGTCTTCGTGCCGACAGTCCGGAACTGCATGTACTCCTGTCGGAACGACAAAACGTCGGGAAGAGACGCTTTTAACGTCCGATTTTCGCCGAAAGCGACGTACACACACCTACACACCTGGTTCAGGTGGCAACTCACCTTGACGGTGGAGGAGGAGGTGGCGATTTGGATGACCTGGGCGAGGAGGTTTTTCGGGAGGGGAAACTGAGTCAGGGCGCGCAGGGCGGTGTTGTCGTCCGTCATCTCCATCGACAGTCCATCCCTGTACGGGGAAAAGACGAGGCAACCGCTCGGTCGTATCTCGGGGATTCGGTCCCCCTGAAAAGGGTCTGCTGCTGCCGTAAGAGGGCGGCGCCTAGGGTTTGGACCGTGAGTGTGGAGGGAGTCCTCGACTTACGACCGTTTGTTTAGCGAGTGTCCGAATTGGCGAGAAAAAGTGCCGTACGACAGGTTTTTCGCTCTCAAGCAGTGGACATTGGGGACTGAGCCGTGGTCGTAAGTAGAGGACTAGCCATAGTTCAATCGGCTTTGATGCTTAGAGATTGTCGAAGGGCCGCACAATCATTAACAACTGGGGGCACTCGCTTAAGGCCTTTTTTTTTGGAAGCGAGTTCAGCTCCATTTTACGACCTTCCTTGCCAATGGCGTTAAGCGAATCCCTGCAGTTCATTGAAGTCACACGGTTGGGAAACAAAATCTGGCTTCCCCCGTTGACTCGGATCGTCCCGAAGGTTGCCAAACAGGATTACGGGATGCTCCCCACCAGGATGTTGTGACCGTCGTAAGTGCGAGTCAGTTGCCAAGCGTCAGAATTTTGGACCGAGGGGAAGCCAAGTCACTTTTTTCAGCGTCGGTGTAATTTCGGTCACTGAATGTGTCTAAGACGCTTTTTCCGGTGTCGTCGTTGCTTCGGTCACTAAAGGAACCGTTGTAAGTCCAGGACGTGACCTTGTCGAGATGGAAGCCAGACCCTCCCAAGAGAGACCCTCACCCAGCCACCCGAGCCCAGGGCGTACCGACGTCGTACCTCAGGTCCCTGGGCGGCGTCTGGCCTCCCGGTCGCGACACGGAGATGCCGTTAGGCACTTCAATGGCGTCCTCTTCCAGTTCCCCCTCCTCCAGTTCTCCCTCCTCCAGCTCCCCCTCCTCCAATTCCTCATTTCGGATGGGTTTGGGGAGGGGGGGGCTGTGCTCCAGGGGCTGCACGGGGTCCTCGGGCTCCATCCGCCGCCAGCAGGTCGAGAGGTCGGCCAGGGACGGCCCCGATTTTGACCGCCAGTGGCTTTCGGAGAACCACTTCCGGTCGGCGGCGCAGCCCAGCTGCTCGGCGAGCAGGCGGTACTTCGCCGCGTCGAAGAGTTCGTTGCGGGGTCCGAGCAAGCCCCAACCCTGGAGTAGGGAGAGAGAGAGAGAGAAGGGAAGAAAGGAGAAAAAGCTTCGGAGGGGATACATGGGGGACGAGTGCGGGAGAGCTCTGGCGCTCTCGAAGGTTGGTGGTTTTCGGGCAGACATCTCGTTGCCCGACTAGGGAACGCCATCAGGGCTAGAAGGGAGGAGGGTTTGTGCGGAAGAGGAGGCAGAGGAAAAGGGGGAGGAGAAAGACCGTGGAGTCCGTGGTGCTCTCTGAGCTTGGTGGTTGTCTTGGAGATGTTTCATGACCCAACTAGGGAACATCATCAGTGCTAGAAGGGGGGTTGTGAGGAGGAGGAAGAGAGGAAGGAGAGGATGAAGGAGAAGAGGAGCGAACATCATCAGTGCTAGAAGAAAGGGGGTTGTGAGGAGGAGGAAGAGAGGAAGGAAGAGGACGATTGTGGAGTCCTTGCTCTCCATTGCTAAGTGTTGTAACCATCCCTGTAGCCTTCAAGTCCCGCTAAGCGACAACTGTGACCGGGTGACAAAGAGGGTACAAAACCCGCCCTGGAAGCCGCACCTTGAACAGCTGGCATGCGGCTGCGGCGGCTTGTCTCTCTGCGTCGATCTTCTTGGTCCCGTAGCCTTCCACTTCGACATTCTTGGGCCACTTGATGAGCAGCGTGACTTTCTGGAGAGAGAGGGAGAGCCAGCCTGAAGCATTCGTCCTCGATTTACGACTGTAGAAGGCCCCCCCCCCATTGCAGTTGTTGTCGTGACAGAAAATGGTCAAACTACGGTTGGTCCTCGACTTACGACTGTAAATGTCTCCCTGCTGCAGTCGTTAAGTCGTCAAAGAAAATGGTCAAACTACCGTTTGTCCTCGACGTACGACTGTAAAAGAGCCTCCTCACTGCCGTCGTTAAGCTGCGACACAAAGCAGTCAAGCAAACAAACCACAGCGACTCCTCGACTTAAGACTACTACTGATCCCCACATTTCGCGGCTACGGGAGACATTTGTTCAGTCGGTTTTGCCCCGTCTTACGACCTTTCTCACCCCAATTGTTAAACAAATCACCACATTTCTTAAGCGAGTCCTACAGTTGTTAAGTGAATCTGCTCGTCGGAAGGACGCAAAAGGGGATCACGGGACCCCGGAGACTCTGCGACCGTCGTAAATACGAGCCACTTGCGATTTTGATCACAGGATAACGGTCGTTAAAAGTGAAAAGTGGTCCTACGTCACTTTTTTCCAGCGCCACAATAACTTTGGTCACTAAACAAACTGTCGTAAGTCGAGGACTACCCGTCTTGTTGCATTCACAATGTGGAATATTTACCTTTTTCCGCGGACCGTTGGTGTGGATGTAGATTAACTTGTCCCTCGCATGGGAGATACCAAGAGCCCGACCGATGACACTGTTGAGAAGGTTTTTCGGCTGCGGGAATTCCTTCAGCAAATCTCTTGTCTCTGCAATGAAACAGGGTGCTGTTGCGGTCGCCAAAATGTTGCTTTCCAAATATACCGCGCAATGTATATACGGGACGGCGATGCCAGGCCTTTAGTTAAAACCAACTGCAAAAGCTCAGGATGTGAGACGTTAAGTGAGGCTAAACTAAGTTAGGGGGGTCCTGGGTGCCCCCTTAGATTTTGGTGGTTTTGTCACAGACGTTTTGCGACCCAACTAGGGAACATCATCAGTGGTAGAAAGGAGGGGTGTGTGTGGAGCAGGAGAGGGAGGAGGGGGGGGTCTTTGGTGCTCTCTGAGGTTTGGTAGTTTTCGTACAGATGTTTCGTGACCCAACAGTTTCTGCCCCAAAGGGCGGGGAGTTCAGCACCCCCACTTACCTCGGGATACTTTCCCTCTCCGATCTATTTACCCTATGACATAATTCCCCCCTGGATGCTGGCCCGGGAGGGGCATTAGATCCCTCACTTACTCTGGGGCACATCTCTCCAATCTATTTTCCCAGGACATAATGCCCCCCAATCCTGGCCCACCTAAATCCTGACCCGAGGTGGGCATGTGACCCCCTATTTACCCCAGGACACAATACCCCCCAATGGTGGCTCAAAAGCGGGGGATCAGACCCCCCACTTACTCTAGGGCAATTATCCCCCAATCCTGGCCCAAAGAGGGTGTATCAGACTCCCACCCACCCTTGGTTATATTTCCTCCACCCGATCCATTAACCCTTGGGCACAGCCCCCCCCCAAATCCCGGTCCGAAGAACGGGCATGAGGCATCCCCCTAACCCAGTAGTTCTCAACCTGTGGGTCGGGACCCCATTTGGGGTCAAACAACCATTTCATGGAGGTCGCCAAACAACACAGTCCGCCATTTTCCCCCCCTTTTCCTTAGCTGTGCTTCTCCCTTTTATTCTATTGGCTTTGGAAAGCCAATAGAAGAGACTCTCTTGAATAGAGTCTAATTAGACCCCCACTTGCTTACCCTGGGGCATATTTTCCCCCCGATCCTGCCCCAAAGGGGGGCCATGAGACCCCCCCACTTACAGCAGGACATAATGCCCTCCCAATCTGGCCCAAAGGGGGGGGTATGGGACCCCCCATTTACCCCAGGGCATAATGCCCCCCAACCTTGGCCCAAGGGGAGATCATGAGACCCCCCACTCACTTACCCCAGGGTATATTTCCTCTCCAATTCTGGGCCAAACGGGGGCATGAGACCCCCATCTACATACCCCGTTGGAAATCCCCCCCCAATCCTGATCCAAAGGGGGGGATGACATCCCCACCCACTTACCCAGGGAGAAATCCCCCCCCCGATCCTGGCCCAAAGGGGGGGCATCAGACCCCCACCCACTTACCCCGGGGGGGGGGGAATTCTCCCCCCATCCTGGCTCAAAGGGGGGGGCATCAGACCCCCACCCACTTACCCAGGGGGGAATTCCCTCCCCCCATCCTGGCCCAAAGGGGGGGCAGGAGACCCCCACCCACTTACCCCGGGGGGGAATTCCCCCCCATCTTGGCTCAAAGGGGGAGGGGCAGAAGACTCCCACCCACTTACCCCGGAGGGGGGGGGAATTCTCCCCCGATCCTGGCCCAAAGGGGGGGGATCAGACCCCCACCCACTTACCCTGGGGGAATCCCTCCCCCCATCCTGGCCCAAAGGGGGGGGGGGCAGGAGACCTCCACCCACTTACCCCGGGGGGGGGAATTCTCCCCCGATCCTGGCCCAAGGGGGGGGAATCAGACCCCCACTCACTTACCCTGGGAGGAATTTTCCCCCCCATCCTGGCCGAAAGGGGGGGCATGAGACCCCCACCCACTTACCCCGGGGGAATCCCTCCCCCCGATCCTGGCCCAAAGGGGGGCATCAGACCCCACCCACTTACCCCGGGGCAGGCGGGGGGGCGAGAGGCGCAGGCAGGCGCCGTCCTCGCCCTCCCCGGGACCCGGCTCGCCCTCCCGGCCCATGTCCACGTCCCGGCCGGCCTCCTCTGCCTCCTCCGTCCCGGCCACCCGGGTGTAGCAGCGGGACCGCCACGGGCCGATCAGCCCCGGGAAGGAGCCGCCGCCGCCGCCGCCGCGCAGGAAGGCCCGCAGGAGCCGGCAAGTCACCGCCATGCGGAACGCAGAAGAACCGGGGCAGAGAGAGCGCGCGGCCAGAGCGTCCGCGGCGCGTGGGGGGGGGGGAAGACGAGAGGGAGCGTCCCCGCGCGGCGCCTGGACGATAGAGAGGGACAGGTCAGAGCGTCCGCGAAGAGAGGCAGCGTCCCCGCGCGGCGCCTGGGGAAACAGCGGGGAGGCGAGAGCGCGCGGCCAGAGCGTCCGTGGCGGAGACGAGGGCGCGAGCCCCGCGCGGCGCCCAGACGATAGAGAGGGAGAGGCCAGAGCGCCCGCAAAGGAGGGAGACGAGGGGAGCATCCCCGCGCGGCTCCTAGAGGAACAGTGGGGATGAGAGAGCGCGCGGCCAGAGCGTCCGCGGCGGGTGGGGGGGGAAGACGAGAGGGAGCGTCCCTGCGCGGCGCCTGGACGATAGACAGGCAGAGGCCAGAGAGTCCGCGGAGGAGGGAGACGAGGGGCAGCGTCCCCGCGCGGCTCCTGGAGGAACAGCGACGAGCGAGCGCGCGGCCAGAGCGTCAGCGGCGGAGGAAGACGAGGGGGCGATCCCCCGCGCGGCGCCCGGAGGAACAGCGGGGATGGAGAGTGCGGCCAGAGCGTCGGCAGGAGACAAGAGGGAGCGTCCCCGCGCGGCGCCCGGAGGAACAGCGGGGATGGAGAGCAGGGCCAGAGCGTCTACGGATGAGGGAGATGAGGGGGAGCGTCCCCGCGCGGCGCCCGAAAGAACGGGGATGGAGAGGGAGCGGCCAGAGCGTCAGCGGTGGAGGGGAGACATCCCCCGCGCGGCGTTTGGAGGAATAGCGGGGATAGAGAGAGCACGGCTGAGAGGGAGCGTCCCCGAAGAGCGGGGATGGAGAGGGAGCGGCCAGAGCGTCCGCGGAGGAGACGAGGGGGAGCGTCCTCGCGCGGCGCCCGGAGAAACAGCGGGGACTGAGACCAGGGCCAGAGCGTCTACGGATGAGGGTGGCGAGAGGGAGCGACCCCCCCGCGCGGCGCCTGGAGGAACAACGGGGCAGAGAGAGCGCGCGGCCAGAGCGCCCGCGGCGCAGACGAGAGAGCGTCCCCGCGCGGCGCCGGGACAAATACCGGGGATAGAGAGCGCGCGGCCAGAGCGTCCGCGGCGGGGGAAACCAGAGCGGCGTCAACGGAACAGCGGGGATAGAGAGCGCGGCCAGAGCGTCCGCGGCGGAGGGAGACGAGAGGGAAGTCCCCAACCGGCGCAAAGGCTAGGGCAGAGAGAGAGAGTGCGGCCAGAGCGTCCGGAAACAGAAGAGATGAGAAGGATCTCCTCCCGGCGGAGCGCAGAGAGACAGAACAGGCCGCCGCGCAGGCGCAGAAGCGAGGCGAGGCTGAGGCTGCTGTAGGGCGGGGGGGGGGTGAGGACAGACAGCCCAGGCCTCCCGCAGGCTTTTTTTGGGGGGGGGTGGTGGCTCTGTCGCCCCCCCAATTGCACAAGCTCAAAGACCGGCCTTGTAGCTTCTGGGGGTGGATGGGAGGAGGCCAACGGCCGGTTCCCCAGGGCCTGGAGCCCCCCAACCAAAGGAGTCCAATGCAAGGAGTCCCCCCAATGAAGGGAGTCCAATGCAAGGAGCCCCCCCCAACAAAAGGAGTCTAAGGCCTGGAGGCCCCCCAACACATGGAGCCCCCCCAACACACGGAGCCCCCCAATTAAGGGAGTCCAAGGCCTGGAGGGCCCCCAACCAAACGAGTCCAAGGCCTGGAGCCTCCCAACACACGGAGCCCCCCAATTAAGGGAGTCCAAGGCCTGGGGCCCCCCAATGCAAGAGTCCCCCCAATGGAGTCCAATGCAAGGAGCCCCCCAACCAAAGGAGTACAAGACCTGGAGCCCAACACACGGAGCCCCCCAATTAAGGGAGTCCAAGGCCTGGGGCCCCCCAATGCAAGAGTCCCCCCAATGGAGTCCAATGCAAGGAGCCCCCCAACCAAAGGAGTACAAGACCTGGAGCCCAACACACGGAGCTCCCCAATGAAGGGAGTCCAAGGCCTGGGGCCCCCCAATGCAAGGGTCCCCCCCAATGGAGTCCAATGCAAGGAGCCCCCCCCAACAAAAGGAGTCTAAGGCCTGGAGGCCCCCCAACACATGGAGCCCCCCCAACACACGGAGCCCCCCAATTAAGGGAGTCCAAGGCCTGGGGCCCCCCAATGCAAGAGTCCCCCCAATGGAGTCCAATGCAAGGAGCCCCCCAACCAAAGGAGTACAAGACCTGGAGCCCAACACATGGTGCCCCCCAATGAAGGGAGTCCAAGGCCTGGAGCCGCCCAACAAAAGGAGTCCAATGCAAGGGTCCCCCCAATGAAGGGAATCCAAGGCCTGGAGCCCCCCAACACACGGAGCCCCCCAACCAAAGGAGCCCAAGGCTTGGAGCCCCCTAATGAAAGCCCCCCCAATGAAGAGTCCAATGCCTGGAGCCCCCCCAACACACAGAGCCCCCCCCAACAAAAAGAGTCCAAGGCCTGGGGCCCCCCAATGCAAGGGTCCCCGCAATGGAGTCCAATGCAAGGAGCCCCCCAACAAAAGGAGTCCAAGGCCTGGAGCCCCGCAACACACGGAGCCCCCCAATGAAGGGAGTCCAAGGCCTGGAGCCCCCCAACAAAAGGAGTCCAAGGCCTGGGGCCCCCCAACAAAAGGAGTCCAATGGACAGAGCCGCCCCCCCCAACAAAAGGAGTCCAAGGCCTGGAGCCCCCCAAAACACGGAGCCCCCCAATGAAGGGAGTCCAAGGCCTGGAGGCCCCCAACACCCGGAGCCCCCAATGAAGGGAGTCCAAGGCCTGGAGGCCCCCAACCAAAGGAGTCCAAGGCCTGGAGGCCCCCCAACACATGGAGCCCCCGAACAAAAGGAGTCCAAGGCCTGGAGCCCCCCAACACACGGAGCCCCCCAATGAAGGAAGTCTAAGGCCTTGAGCCCACCAATACACGGAGCCCCCCAACAAAAGGAGTCCAATGGACAGAGCCGCCCCCCCCAACCAAGGAGTCCAAGGCCTGGAGCCCCCCAAAACACGGAGCCCCCCAATGAAGGGAGTCCAAGGCCTGGAGGCCCCCAACACACGGAGCCCCCCAATGAAGGGAGTCCAAGGCCTGGAGGCCCCCAACCAAAGGAGTCCAAGGCCTGGAGGCCCCCCAACACATGGAGCCCCCCAACAAAAGGAGTCCAAGGCCTGGAGCCCCCCAACACACGGAGCCCCCCAATGAAGGGAGTGCAAGGCCTGGAGCCCCCCAACAAAAGGAGTCCAAGGCCTGGAGCCCCCCAACACACGGAGCCCCCCAATGAAGGAAGTCTAAGGTCTGGAGCCCCCCAACACAGGGAGCCATCCAATGAAGGGAGTCCAAGGCCTGGAGCCCCCCAACATATGGAGCCCCGCAACAAAAGAAGTCCAAGGCCTAGAGCCCCCCAACACACGGAGGCCCCCCAACGCAAGGAGTCCAATGCACGGTGGCCCCCCCAGTGCAGAGGCCCCAAATCCACGGAGCCCCCAAACACACATAGCCCCCCCCACTGAAGGGAGTCCGATGCGCGTAGCCTCCAATGGAAGGAAGCCGCGGCTTGGAGCCCCTCAATGCAGGGAGCCCCCCCCCCAAGGAAGTGAAAGTCCCCAATGTACACAGAGCCCCCCAATACACAGACCCCGAATGGGAAACGCCTCTGGAGTCGTTAGAGAAATGGAGGAGGAGGAGAAGGAGGAAAGACTGTGGGGGTCCTCGGTGCGCTATGAGTCTGGTGCTTTCCTTGCAGACGTTTCGTGACCCAACTAGAGAACACCATCAGGAAGCGGAGGAGGAGAATGTGGGGTCCTCGGTGCGCTACGAATCTTGTGGTCCCCTTGCAGACGTCTCGGGATCCAACTAGGGAACGTCATCCGCTTCTCTCTCCCTTCCAGCACTGCACGACTGACGTTTCCTCGTCGGGCTCCGAAATATCTGCAAGGAAAGCCCCCCCCGCCTCCTCCAGCTCCGAGGCCCCCCGCCCAAGGACCCCTACCGTCCTCGGCGAGGCGGGGAATTCTGGGAATTGAAGTCCACCCACCTTTCCAAGGCTGGGAGACCCGGTTCAAAGGCGGCGAGCCGGACGGAGGGCTTGGCCTTCCGATCCGGCTCGACTTCAGATCCCTGCCACCTTCCGGGAAGGCTGGCTGGGGACGATGGGACTTGCCATCCAACAGGATCCAGCGCGATCCTCTTGACCTCGCGATTGTCAATTCCAGGGTGGAAGTCCGGGGCGGCGAACGCTAGAACTACGGGGAAACTTCCGTCCTCGCCTTCCCGACCAGAATTCTTATTCGTGGAGGTTTGCTCCGTATTACGACTCAGTGAATCGCCGCGGTCCTTAAATGAGTCGCCCAGTTCTTAAGCGAGCCGAGCTTCCCCCTCGCCGGCTTCCTTTGCCGGAAGGTCGCACAAAAGGGGATCGCGCGGAACCCCCAGGACGCGGCGTCCGTCGCGCATGCGACTCGGTGGCTGAGCAGACGGGGGAGGGCGCAACGATCGTTAAGTGTGGAAAACGGAAAGAAATCCCTTTTTCCCCCGGGGCGTCGTGACTCCGAGCGGTCACTAAGCCAACTGGGGTTAAGGTAGCGAGAACGATTCACCGGTGGCCCCCTAGAAATGGTGGCTGCTCCGTTACTGGGGGGGGGGCTTTTAAGGACGGATCGGACAACCATGGGCAGGGGGTTGGACTAGATGACCTCCGGAGGTCCCTTCGGATTGGTGCAATGCTATAGAAGTCTCCCGCTTGAGCAGGGGGGTCGGACTGGATGACCTCCCGGGTCCCCTGCAACTCTGTCCTTCTGTAAGGGTCCTCCTGCTTGAGCAGGGGGCTGGACTGGATGACCTCCGGGGTCCCTTCCGACTCTCTCCTTCTCTGATTCTAGAAGGCTTTCTTGCTTTAGCAGGGGGCTAGACTAGAGGACCTTCAAGGTCCCCTCCAGCTCTGTACTTCTATAAGGGTCTCCTGCTTGAGCAGGGGGTTGGACTGGATGACCTCCGGGGTCCCTTTGAATCGTGTAATTCTGTAAAA